GGTGGTTCTGGCGGTGGAAGTTCGTGGGTGCTGTCGAAAAATGCAGTCATTCCTCCCGGAGAAATCCAAGCATATGACAGTTTTTATAATCCAATTGGAAAACATCCATATGCATTCCTTAACCACGAGTACACATTTAGTGACATTAAATCGTATCCCGGAATCCGGGAAGGCCATGGTCGCTTAATTATCACAATTCTCGACAACGTTAAACTTCAAACACAAAACATCCAATGTTTGCACGATTTTAACTTTATGCTTCTTTATATCATTCTTATTGAAAAATAAAGCCAATCTAAAGAATCTGATTCAATTAATTTTTTTTTATCCAAATAATCATCAAAATCGCAAATTCGCAACAATATTTATGATGGCATTTATTCCATCTAGAATCCCTTTATGAAATGAGTTCAAAAAAAATCCGGATTTTCTAAATAACCTTTTTACTGGGATTTAATAAACACAACTGAATAGCAATAACAATGCGTTTTTATTCGTAACGATGGTCTTAGCTGAAAGAAAAAAGAATTTTGAATAATTTTTGAAACAACAATATAAAATCACCTGCTCGTTTACGATATGCTAAAAACAATATAAGGATTGTTGTACAATCTATTGCAAAACTTATGTTTGATAATCTAAAAATAAAAAAATAGATTGGGCAAATCAAAATTAACTAATGCATAAATCATGACATTTTTAAATTGAGTTTGATCTGCCATTTTTTACAATGACGACTTCGATTAAGGGTCCACTGTAAAAATTGAAAGTCTCTCAAAATTTAGAGGTGATTTGCAAATAATCGTTATCGTCATTTTTCGAAAATCCACTTTTCCTAGTGTTCTGATTAATATTATGTGAATACAACAATGAAGCATATGTTTCAATAAGATGGTAATATATTCTATCACTTCAAATCTCATAAAAATTGCAAAATCAGTGAGTTTTTTATAAGAACATGATTTTTTCGAATTTTTTCGCTTTTGGATGCGTGTTTTGAAAAATAGATATTTTCGAATTTTAATTTTATCTTAAGTATAAGTTTTATATTAGGAATTTTTTGACCTATTTCCAATCATTAATTCCAATGTTTTTCAAGGAATTTAATTGAGAAGAAATTAGGAATTTCGCTTTAATGCCATTACAAACTAATATTATGATGCATAATATATATATTTATTGAGGCTAATGCCGGGATATCTTGCATTTAAAAAAAATTCAAAGAATTGACAATTGGATAGCACAAATTTAATTCCCTGGACAAAGTATTATTGCTTATATATTCAAAACATTATCCTTAGTTTAGATATGTTGGCCAAAAATTTTCGTGTTATTTTTTGTGTTTAAGCATAAATTATGTATTTACTTATGAAAAATAAGCATTTTATTCATTATCATAAAGATATACCATAACAATTGATAAATTTTTTTTTAAAAAAAATTGTGTATTTTAGTGGGTATTATTCTGGATAATGCCAATTTTTACAAGATTTAATATTAACCATATCAATAGCTGACTCAATGTAAAAATTTAGATATTATTTTTTCATTAATCAAACTTTGATAAATTTTAGTATAATGAACGATTTTGTTTCGTGTATGATACAGAAATAAAAAGCTTAATTAATATCATTTTGCATTTTTTAAAGGATGTTAGAGTACATCTACATTAAAAAATCAGATTTGAACTGCGATACTGCATCAAATTGATGCATATCCGATAAGGATCTCAAAAGAGTAAAGTTAATTTTTTTTGTTTTTTAAGTTTTGGGCCTTAGTAAAACACCATCTCGAGCAATATTTTTGGGACGACGATAGACCTTATTTGGCCTTACAGTGGACCCTTAACTACTTTGACTAATGATATCCTACTATTTAGAAAATAATCCGTCAAGTAAAGGTAAGGTTAGCATCGATGAGGTCACACAGACATATAAATTCGATTATCCGTGTGAATCATATTCTGATTGCACCGAGTATGTCATCCATTTATCACCCGGCCTATACAAATTTGAGTTATTTGGTGCCTCAGGCGGTGCCTGCACAAACAGAACCTCATTATTCATGAATTCAGATGGTAATTGCACGCACCGCGAAGCTGCCTTCCTTTATGGCGGAAATGCTGTTTGCCGTCAGATTGTTAACCGTGGTGGTGCTGGCGGTTACATATCAGGCATTATAAAAATCCTCCACAAAATAACCGCTTTTGCCACTATCGGCGGAAAAGGAATCCATACTTGTACCCGAGCTTCAGCAAATCAAGACTCCGATTACTACCCATCAAACATGGTGAAAGGCGGATATGGAGGTGGAGGATGGGCTGCAAATTGGTACTGGCAACCAGGAAATAATGGAGCAGGGAGCGGAGGTGGCCAAACCGCCGTCATGTTTTTGCAGAATGATCTTTGGCATCGTGTAATTGTGAGCGGCGGTGGTGGCGGTTCTGACAACTGTCCTGCTCATCAGACTGAATTTATGGAGAGCTGATGATGGTTCCGGCGGTGCTGGTGGTGGTTTTACAGCTCAAGGGTTTTGGATTAATGGTGAATTAAAATCGAGTCATGTAGCAAATTCCACCTACGGCTTCAGTTTCGGTTCTGGTGAATCTGCTCAAAAAGACGGCTCTAAGAATCAATGGGGAGTTAAACGAGGTGAAATGGAAAGCGACAGACCAGCCAGATCAGGTAGCGGATGGTTTGGTGGATCGCTGGACACCATGGTGATGGTGGTTCCTGGCGGTGGAAGTTCGTGGGTGCTGTCGAAAATGCAGTCATTCCTCCCGAGAAATCCAAGCATTGACAGTTTTTATAATCCAATTGGAAAACATTCCATAATGCACCTTAACCACGATACACATTTAGTGACATTAAATCGTATCCGGAATCCGGGAAGGCCATGGTCGCTTAATTATCACAATTCTCGACAACGTTAACTTCAAACACAAAACATCCAATGTTTGCACGATTTTAACTTTATGCTTCTTTATATCATTCTTATTGAGAAATAAAACCTATGTGTCTTTATGTGTAATGATGACCATAGTGAATAGAATAATGAATAATTTATGGAATAATAATATAGAATCACATGTTCGTTTACAATATGCTAAAAACAATATGAGGATTGAAGATTGTGAAAACTAGCTAGTGCAAAACTTATAATTGAAAATCTAAAAAAATTAGATTAGGCAAATCAAAATTGACTAATGTATAAATCATGACATTTTTAAATTGAGTTTGATCTGCCATTTTTTTACAATGATGACTCAGATTAACTACTTTGACTAATGATATCCTACTATTTAGAAAATAATCCGTCAAGTAAAGGTAAGGTTAGCATCGATGAGGTCACACAGACATATAAATTCGATTATCCGTGTGAATCATATTCTGATTGCACCGAGTATGTCATCCATTTATCACCCGGCCTATACAAATTTGAGTTATTTGGTGCCTCAGGCGGTGCCTGCACAAACAGAACCTCATTATTCATGAATTCAGATGGTAATTGCACGCACCGCGAAGCTGCCTTCCTTTATGGCGGAAATGCTGTTTGCCGTCAGATTGTTAACCGTGGTGGTGCTGGCGGTTACATATCAGGCATTATAAAAATCCTCCACAAAATAACCGCTTTTGCCACTATCGGCGGAAAAGGAATCCATACTTGTACCCGAGCTTCAGCAAATCAGACTCCGATTACTACCCATCAAACATGGTGAAAGGCGGATATGGAGGTGGAGGATGGGCTGCAAATTGGTACTGGCAACCAGGAAATAATGGAGCAGGGAGCGGAGGTGGCCAAACCGCCGTCATGTTTTTGCAGAATGATCTTTGGCATCGTGTAATTGTGAGCGGCGGTGGTGGCGGTTCTGACAACTGTCCTGCTCATCAGACTGAATTTATGGGAGCTGATGATGGTTCCGGCGGTGCTGGTGGTGGTTTTACAGCTCAAGGGTTTTGGATTAATGGTGAATTAAAATCGAGTCATGTAGCAAATTCCACCTACGGCTTCAGTTTCGGTTCTGGTGAATCTGCTCAAAAAGACGGCTCTAAGAATCAATGGGGAGTTAAACGAGGTGAAATGGAAAGCGACAGACCAGGATCAGGTAGCGGATGGTTTGGTGGATTCGCTGGACACCATGGTGATGGTGGTTCTGGCGGGGAGAAGTTCGTGGGTGCTGTCGAAAAATGCAGTCATTCCTCCCGGAGAAATCCAAGCATATGACAGTTTTTATAATCCAAGGAAAACATCCATATGCATTCCTTAACCACGAGTACACATTTAGTGACATTAAATCGTATCCCGGAATCCGGGAAGGCCATGGTCGCTTAATTATCACAATTCTCGACAACGTTAAACTTCAAACACAAAACATCCAATGTTTGCACGATTTTAACTTTATGCTTCTTTATATCATTCTTATTGAGAAATAAAATCCATATTTAAATAGCAAATTTCTTCCAATAATTTTTAATTTTGCCATTAGAAAAAAATTGGGATAATCTCAATAATACCCAATCATCATAAGAATATAGGTGTATGTAATGATTCTTGTAATAGCAGTTAAAACAAACTCTAATGATTTTAATGAAATATGAACAGACCATTGAGAATATAAAGGATGATGCATAAAATCAGATGTGTTGTCTCAGATATTGTTCGGATATATACTAATGCATACTTTCAGTATAAATTTTTTCTTAATGAAATAAAAATAATCTAGTATTTTCAAGTATTTTGTGAGTTTATGAACATGTAAGGGGCTATTGAAAGTATTCAAGCTAGTAGATGAGCCAAATAAAGCGGTTTCCGCTTGAAAGAGCTTGGCATCAAAATGATATTTTGCTCATTATATCTGAAAATCAGATGCCAAGTTTGTCATGTATTTTCAATACAAATACTACACATAATATCACCAAGAAATGGCAAGAAAGAAGAAGCGGTTTCCTAGGACGATAATCGCATTGAATCAAACCGCTTTTTCATTTTTTAGATCAAAAATGGAAAATTTAATTCCTATAGTCAACGATTTGCAAAATGTGTTTAATACAATAGAGGGTGATTTAGTAGATCTCCCGCAAATCGTTGTTGTTGGTTGCCAGTCTTCCGGAAAGTCATCTGTTTTGGAATCAATCGTCGGCCGCGATTTCTTACCTCGTGGTGCCGGCATTGTCACACGTAGACCACTTGTGCTTCAATTGGTACACGTTGATCCAGAAGATGACCAGTACGCCATGTTCTTACATCAACCAGGCAAAAAATACACACGCTTTGCAGAAATTCGCGATGAAATTTCAGCAGAAACAGACAGATCTACAGGCACAGGCAAAAACGTCACAAATCAGCCAATTAATCTTACAATTCGCGATTCATCAGTTCCAAATCTTACAATGGTTGATCTTCCTGGTCTTACAAAGGTCGCTGTCGAAGGCCAAGATCCAAACATTGTCGAAATGATTCATACAATGGTTCTTCAATTCATTACTAAACCAAACTCTCTTATTCTCGCAGTTACACCCGCGAACCAAGATCTTGCCAACTCAGACTCCCTCAAGATCGCTCGCGAAGTCGATCCAAACGGCGAAAGAACAATTGGTGTCATTACAAAGATTGATTTGATGGATGCCGGTACAGATGCTGGCCTAGTCTTGCGTAATGAAATTTACCCACTCAAACTCGGCTATATCGGCGTCATTAACCGTTCCCAGAAAGATATTGATAACAAACGCCCAATGAAGGACGCCATGCGTGCCGAAATGGAATATTTCGAGAGCCATCCAATCTACAAGAACTTGCTCGACAGAGTTTCTACAAAAGTCCTTTCAAATACCTTGAATCGTCTTCTTGTCGATCATATCAAGAAATCCATTCCAGGATTGAAGACACGTGTTACAACCCTTATCCAGGATAAGGAGCGCGAGCTAGAACGCTACGGAGAAGACCCTACAAACGGCGGAATGAAAGCATCCGAATTAATCCTTACAATTATCCAACAATACGTCCAAGGCTACGAAGATCTTATCGAAGGTAAGGTCAGCAACGAGATGGATAACGAAGTTAAGGGTGGTGCTCGAATTCTTCGTATTTTCCAAGATCAATACGAGAAAGCCATCATGGAAATCCCTCCAATCAGCGCCATGGACATCAACGAAGTCATGTACCTCATGAGAAACCAAGCCGGTATCACAGTTCCAATTTATGTATCTCATCAAGCATTTGAGTCCTTAATTCGCCGCCAGATCGAGAAACTCCGTCCTCCAGCCATGAAAGCAATCAACCTCGTCGCTAACGAAATCCTCCAGATCCACGCCAACGTTAATTTCCCAGAACTCGAGCGTTATCCACAAGTTAAAGACGCAATCCGCAATGTCGTTGAAGACCTCGTCAACGGCTGCGTGGAACCATCCGTAAAGTTCATCAACGACGTTATGGATAATGAGAAGATTTTCGTAAACACGACGAGACACGATTTCAGAGGTGCAGCAGTTCTGGCCGAGAAGAAGCTGAAAGAGGACATCCCAATCAAGAAGGACAAGAAGACAGTTCAGAAGGAACAGGCCCAGCAACTGATAAACCTCGCATCGAGGTATTTCGAACTCTGCAGGACACAAATCGTCGATGTAATTCCAAAGACAGTCGTCATGATGCTCGTCGACGGAAGCAGAAAGAGTTTGAGCGAAACTCTCTTCAGAAAGATTTACGGTTCGGGCCTCGCCGACGAACTGTTGAAGGAGGACCCAAGAATCACAAAGAACAGAAAGAAATGCGTCGAGTCTCTCGCCGCCCTTCGTAAGGCCTCTGAGATCCTATCTAGGGTTGGCAAATTCAGAATTTAAATTTTTTATAATAAAAATAAAAAAACTATTTTCGTTACAATATTTAATTATAATGCATTTTCTTCCTACCAAAAATATTGATCTTTTACCTTAGAAAACTGTGAGATATGGCTTTTAAGGGTGCACTTACCACTTTCTGGCATGCTCTCATGATATCAACATATCTTTATTTTAATAACAAAAAAGTATAACGGTCATATGAGGTACTAGCTAATGAATTATAATAACATTTTCCCGATCAAAAATATTAACTTTGTGTCATAGTAAATTAGGATATAAAGCATATGTGTCAAATAAACTGGAGGATGCTTGAAAGTTGCATGAACATCCTTAAAGATTGATTTAAAAAGTTAATAAGAATATATTCATATTTGAATGGCATTGCCTTCAATTCTAGTGTTTTAATTAAAAAAAAATCTGTCACAAAACAACCAATTGTCAGAATTTTCTAAGAGAAAATGAACTCAATAAAAACTTTCTGATTAAAAAAATTGTCTCTTACGAGGAGATTACATAATTTGGATGTTTGTGATTAGAATAAACAATTTTCTAACTTGGAGATGTTGTAAATAAATACTGAAAATTTTGACACCTTTTGTTTTTTTTATCAACAATTATGACAAGTATATATTATACTGATAGTAAATACTATCTTGATTTCAGCAACCGTAAGCCTATCGAAGTGTTAAAATACCCTGACCAAGCTTCAAAAGTTATATTTGGTGTTAGTCCAACGAATATTATACAAACATCATCACAAACCATAGAATTGATTAAAAACAAGAAAATTACTATCCAAATGGCCATCCACTTGATTCAAATTTTTTCAAAAATTCGCCCTAAAAAAATACAATTATTTGCAGAACTTTATCAAAATATATCAAATGAATTTTCACACTTCATTAAACCAAAAAATAAAAAATTAGCAGCGTTGTTATATTATAGAGGTTTTAGGTTCGAAAGCTATGAACCTGAAATAGAAGAAGAAAAAATAATCAATCTATATCCAATCGAATCTCCTTTCTACTATATTGCATGGGACAAAATTGATGATCTTAAAAATAAATTTCCAAATCTTGAAATAAACACGAGAGCTTCAGATGGATTGTCTCCTCTTGATTGTGCAATAAAATACGGATCGGAGCTATGCTTCAATTTCTTGAAAAATATAGGAGCAAAATATTCCAGGGAATCTTCATCATATGCTGTTATGGGTGGAAATGAATATATTTTTTCGCAAATGATAGAAGATGGAGAATCATTTGACAATATGATTTACACAGCATTGAATTATCATAATTTTGAAATTGCAGAGTATCTTCAAACCAATCTTGGACAATTTCCAGAATCGATTGCCCATAGTTTTTTGTATGGAAATTATGATGTTGCTTCGCATATACTTTATCAAGGAGGATCTTCACGTGATTATCGAATTATCTTTCTTTTCACATTAATTATTGCTTTATCAAATTATCATTATTTTCACAAACATCATCAATTTATATAATTCTTTTTCTTTTCATATCTATCATTATTTCTTTATATTTTCTTTCTTCTCATATCTTTTATAGTTTTATGGATTTTTCCTTCTATATATATCAATTAATATTTTATGTAGTTCTAATTCTTCAAATATTTATTTCTGTATTATTCTATTGTCTTTAATTTCATATATTCATTTACTTTATATAACTCATTTTCTTTTAATATCTATCGTTATTTTATAGAATTCTCTTTTTTTTAATATTTTTCATTGAATCATGACATTCTATTGAAATCAATATGTGTCCTCTTTGTATTGCTATCGAAATGAATTCAATTGATATTGTTAAATATTTAGTTGGAAAAGGTGCAAATACCAATTTGAAAGTTGTTATATATCATTTAATATCAATAATACTTTTAAGATATTCTCATTCATGTCATATTTTGATTTGATTTATAATATTCACTTACTTTTCATATTTATCATTATATTATCGAATTTTTCTTGTATAAATATATGCCCACTTAGTGTTGCAATAAAAATGAAATCAATCGAAATTGTTCAGTATCTAGTTGAACACTGGGCAGATGTCAATATACGACTTTTTATATTCAATTTCAAATGAAATATTGTTTTATGTATTTCCATTTCTCTTCACATCAATATTTGCTTTATCGAATATTCTTTCTTTTGATATCAAATTTTGTTCAATGAATTTCCATTTCTCTTCATATCTCTCAATATTAAATGAAATTTGCCTTCTTTTCATATCGATCATCATTTTATTTCATTCGCATACTTTTTATATCGAACATTGCTTTATTTAATTTCATTTCTTTAAATATTTATTCATGTATGACCTCATCAAATTTCATATCATACAATTCTATTACTTTATATATATATCATTATTTTCTGAAATTATATTTCAATTCACATCTATCCATGTTTTCTAAAATCCTCTTTCCACATATATCTTTCATTCTTTCATTTGGTTCTCTTTATTTTCATATTTATTGTGAGATTCTTTTGATATACATGAATGTCCTCTTAGTTTGGCGGTTAAAACAAATTCGTTAGAGATTGTTAGAATTTTAGTTGAACATGGTGCACATGTCTGTAAATGGCTCCAAGTGAATGATGGGATAATCTTTCTTTATATAACACAGGCATCAATCATTATTTTATAACATTCTCTATATAAAAAAAAAAAAAAAAAAAAAAAAAGGGAGTGGGGCTTCCAGGCACTTCGTGCCTTCTAGCCCCCGAAGATGTTTAGTATAAATGAAGTCTTTACAAAGTCTTTACGAAGAAGTCTTAACAAAACATTTACGAAGAAGTCTTAACAAAACATTTACGAAGAAGTCTTAACAAAACATAGACAAGAAAGTTCATGAGTGTAAATGACCCAAAAATAATGTTTATGTTAGAATGTTAGATCTAACATGTTTTCTAACATGTTTTCTAACATGGTCTAAAACTCTTGAATTTTCATGAAATTTACACCAAAAATATATTTTAGGGTAGAAGGGTATATCTAACCTCTTTTCTAACCTCTTTTCTACCCTCTTGAATTTTCATGAAATTTACACCAAAAATATACTACTAGGGTCATTTACGATGAAATCTCAACAAAACATTTACGAAGAAATCTTAACAAAACATTTACGAAGAAATCTTAACAAAACATAGACAAGAAAGTTCATGAGAAATTAGATGAAGAAGTCTTAACAAAGTCTTTACGAAGAAATTCATGAGTTTTCTACGATGTTAGAAAACATGTTAGAAAAGGTGTTAGATCTAACATTCTAACATAAACATTATTTTTTGGTCATTTACGAAGAAGTCTCAACAAAGTCTTTACGATGAAATCTTAACAAAACATCTGTCAAAAACCTTAACCGAGTAGTTTTCATGTTTTGTCACTTTTCTGTCACTTTTCAGGTAAAAACATTTTTATTATATATATATAAAATGAATTTTACAAAACCACCGTTACCCTTCTTTGGAAATAAGAGTAGATGTAAAGATATTCTATTGAGAGAACTTAAGAAACTACCGAATGGTCTAACATTTGTAGATTTGTTCGGTGGAAGTTTCTATATATCCCATTTGTGCCATATAATATTCCCAGACTCAAAGATTATATGCAATGACTTCGACAACTATATGGACCGTCTCAAACATATTCCAGACACAAACAATATATTGAAAGAGTTAAAAGAAAAGATACCTATAGGTAAGATGGAACGTATACCATTAGATAACAAAAATATGTGAGAGAGGTTTTGAAAAAAGCAGAATATATAGACTGGGATAGTATATCTGCTAGACTATTATATAGTGGTTCTATAAGAGTTCATGACATTGAAACACTTATGTCAAAAGTTTTATATCTTAACTATACAAATGTTTTCAAAGAGGACATAGAAAAATATATTGAGGGTATAGAGTTTGTGAGATGTCATTGGACAGATTTGTATGAAAAATATAAAGACAAGGAAAATGTTTTCTTTATAGTGGACCCGCCGTTCTTTAACACATGGGATTTTCAATACCAAGTAGACTGGACTTTGAGAGACTCTTTAGAAACTTTAGACGTTTTACATAACCATCCATGCTTTTACTTTACATCCGATAAAAGTGGTTTGGAAACCGTTATGAGATGGTTAGAGGACATACATGACTATGAGTTTATATATGACAAGATAGAATATGAGAGAGGTCCTATAAACCGGAGAAAGTGTCACAATAAAGAAATTTTATTAGTAAGTAAATGTGGTTTGAAATAGGACTACTTGTTTTAGGTTTTTTCCATTGTGTCATTTACTTATTTGACGTGGCAGAAAGATATAGAGAATATGAAGATGAACCAATGCCTGCAAATGTTCAGCATATGTACTCGTAAGAGATATTTTTATCTAATATTAAATGGACGCACAGAACTTAGCGAATGCACAGCAACCTGGACAACCAAACCCAGAGAATATTCCAAATGAAGTTAGAATACAAACTGCAATGGCAAACTATGGTCAAGTGCCAACAGATGTACAAATGCAAACTGCCATGTCAAATGACGCTGCGTTAGGTTTGCCACCATGGTATGCAAATATGAGATGGAAAGAGTTTTATACAAACCCTGAAGTGGGATATAAACAACTTTATGCAGATGACGCGAACACAGGAGTTGACCCAGAATATGTTTTCTACCAGAGGAGAAACAGAATGTATGAGCTCCAGTTAAAGAATGCAATGGAACTCAACAGGAAACGTAAGAGACTAGGCGGACATTAGATTTTTACATATAGTAAAATGGGTTTCTTTGGAAGAATAGGAAACTTCTTTCGAAATGTTGGAAGAGGTATATGGAATGGAATAAAAACCGTAGGAAGAGGAATTTGGAACGGTGTCAAAAATATTGGTAAAAGAGTAGGTCAGTTCGTTGGTATTATACCTAAAGACCCTGAACCAGAAGAACAAGCTCCTGTTATACAACAGCCTGAACCTGCACCACAGTCTAGTTGGCAACCAAATCCAACACCTCAACCGTATTAAAAAATTATATTTTTACCGTTCGATAGTAGTTGTATATGAAACTAAGTTCTAAGTAAAACGCATGGTATAATGGAACTATTCTCTTTCTTCCATCTGTTGTAAACCATACTTGAAAGTCTGAAATACTTCCACTTGGTGGTTCGTATAACTTTGTAGGTTTTTCGTAAAAGTCATTTGCCAAGCATAAGAAAGAGTTTTGGGCGCCAGAAAATGAAGCATGAACAATAATAGCAGCTGGGTCGAAAACATCTTTAAATAAATATGGTTCATCTCTTGCATATCGACTGTAAATATTTGCTAAAGGAAGTTCGACTTTCTGATTTAACATTCTTTGCAAATAATACCATGACATTGCAGTGAATTCTGTATATATTTGTTCGTCTTTCTTTGGATTGTCTTCGTATATTTGAAATGACACTTGTGAATTTTGTTTGTCATATACAATTCTCACATAAAGTGTGCTCTCGGTATTTGCATATTCATCAGCATATTTTGCATAACATGAATTTATTTTATCTTCTATATTTTTTAACGCAGTCTGTAGAGAAGATGAAAGGTCAACTTGTATTAGCTCAATTTTTCCCACATTTTTCGTTTCCCTTCAGATATATAATCTATATGAAACCTTACAATAAATGGAAAACTTTTATCTTCTACAGACACAAACTTCATTCTACGAAAGCCAATAGCTTTTGTGACAGATGGGTCTCTTAGCCATCTTAATGGGTAGTCAAAACGATAGCCTTCATGCTTTACGGTCTCTGTCTCAAACTTTTGACCGACATTAGTAAAAAGTTCATCTAATGGTTTAGTTGTAGCAACTCTTGAATTTTCTTTTTCTATTGGAAGCATATTTTATCTAGAATAAAAATGTCGAAAGATATTGCTTCCATGAGAGAAATACAACACAACCGACAACTCATTATGCAAGCTCTAAATAAGAACACAACAAACTTTTCAAACTATTCTAAGATATCTGAGTCATTGAAAGAAGGAAACTTAAAACTGACAATAAACCCAATGACAGATGAGTTTCTATTTCAAGACAATAAGAACCATACTGTCTGTATAAATCCAACAAAAGGAACTTTAAACGAGAAACCTATAAATGAACTTCTTTTGAAAGCAGATGTTGACAACAAAGCTGACAAAGAATATGTAGACGATGCAATAGCAAAAGAAGAAGAAAGAGCTAACAATGCTTATGCAACAAAAGAGGATGTTGAAAAGAAAGCAGATAAAACATATGTTGACGATGAGTTAGCATATCTGGCTAGTGGGTTAGTGAAGAAGGCAGATAAGGAATATGTGGATGAAAAAGATGAAAAAATTAAAGAAATGGTTGAATGGTACCATGAACGGACATCGAAGATTTTAGAAGGTAAAGCCAATACAGGGTGGGTTTCAGGATGTTTAGACCTTAAAGCCGACAAAGAAACTGTAGATATGTTGGCACAAACGGTTTCAAGTCATACCAGAGGTTTAATGGAAGATGGACAACAGTTGAAAGAGCTTGAGAAAGGTGTTACAGAGTTAAGGAATACAAAAGCAGACTCGACATGGATAAAAGGATATGTAGATGCAACAAAAGAACGTATTTTCGCATGGACAGAAGGAACATACCCACAAAAATATCATAGACATAGCATCTCTGACGTAAATGAACTTGAAGAAAAGTTATATAAAAAAGCAGACAAAACAGAGCTTCAAACATTAAAGACAGAAATACTTCAAACAGTATATCATATAGGTTCTATTTATACGTCAATGAACTCTACCAGACCAGAAGTAGTACTTGGTTTTGGAACTTGGACTCAAATAGTCGACAGGTTTTTGTATTGTGCAAACTCTTCAAAGGAAACAGGTGGAAGTAAAACGATTTCAGGTGAAAATTTACCTGCACACAGTCACTACATAGATTTAAGTACATCTCAAGCAGGTTGGCATAAGCATAGATATTGGGATTGGTCAGGAATGACAAAAGGTAAAGGATATGATGTTAAAGACAACGTTAAGTTTGCTATAAATTGTTACTGGAGTGACACTCAGGGAGATGGAAACCATACACATCGCGTTTCGGGATATACGCAAACAACGGGACAAAGTAAAGACTACATGCCACCTTACATGACAGTTTACGCATGGTATAGAATTGCTTAGTCGTCATTTTCAACTTCTTTAGCATATTCGTCAGGAGTTGTCTTATATTTGTTAGGAACTGTCTTTGAAAGTATACCACCTTGAACTTTGACAAGTTTGAAACGAGGTCTGACAATAGTAGTTTTATCTTCTGCTTGCAGTCTGTACATTTTGCCATGTTTGCCTAAAACTTCATAATATTCTCTTGTATACTTTCTTCTATTTTTACGAACACGAATGCGAGTACCTGTCGAGTTCCCATTGTTGTCATAGTCAATAGTATTTTCATATGGGTCGCGTTTAGGTATTTCTATTTTTACTTTGTCACCTTTCTTAAGTTTGAAGCCTGGCATTCTTTCTTGTTTGTCTCTTTTGACTAAACTATTAAATATATAGTCTTTCTCTAAGTCAGGGTTGTTTTTCATTTCTTCGGGGGAGTGGTTTCCCAAACCTTTTTGTTTACGGCTATTGTAAATATTTAAAACTTGTCTCATCTTTGCCATGGAGAAGTGTCTATATTTGTCGTCATATGACATTTCATCTACCTCACCACCTTGTGGTTGATTTAAGTCTCTTAAGATTTTTATACAACTGTCAATGACACCAAGAGCAGAATGGTTTTGGTCGACAATGAAATATTGGTTTACATTTTTTGAACGCAAATAGTTTTTTACATCATCTGATTTGAAAGAACTTTCACAGTCAGATGTCAGTTTTGTTGGATGGTATTTGTCAACGAATATTGTCAAAGCTGCTAAGATATCTAAAATATTTTTGGACTGTAATGGTATGGCTTCACAGTATCTTGTGTTTTGACCGACAAATATTAGCCAGTATGGTGGTCCATCTTCTCTATATCTCGGAATGTTTTCCAAGATATCCATAAACCAAGCATTTGGTGTTGAACTAAAGATTTTTACCATGAGTGCTTTCTTTGTTGCCTTAGAAACATAGGGGTCCTTGTTTGGATTCGTCATTTTTTAACCCATAAGAAATGGGTTTATTTGGCGCATTAGCAGGAGTTGCATCCAGATTTTTACCCGCAGTGGGAACAATAGCCAGAGGTGTATTTGGAGTTGGAAGGAAGATTTTGAGTACATTAGGTATACTTAAAGAGAAAGCACAACCTATTATACAAACTGTACAGAAAGGTTGGGATGTAGCACGAGATGCAGCAAATCTTATTCCAAATCCTGAAACAAGAGGAAAAGTTCAAGGATGGATGGACAATGTAGGAAGACAAGCAGGAAACTATTATAACAAAGCAAATGACTACTATAACCAAGCAGGACACTATATGGACCAAGGTGAAAGATTCTTTAACAGAGGATATAACCATGCACAACAGTGGGTAAACAATAACCAACCGCAACCACCTCAAACTTGGGGAATGTAAAGTTTTTTACTGAGATGAAATGAACAATACAGCATTGAGACAAATGGGTTCAAGATGGATTTGTCGACTTCCAGCAGTTACACAACGTGTTTGTCAAGTTCTTCCTATACCTCAGGAAGTTTTAGACCGACTTAAAAAACCTAAACAACAACCAGTTGAAAACAAACCAAACTAAAATTTTTTACTGAGATGAAATGACCGAAGAAGTTGAAACGGTAGATTTGACACCACAAACAAAAAGTTCAGAACCATTGTCAAAACCTGTCAAAGAACTTACAGATGAAGAGAAAAATTCAATAATAGAAAGTGCCAGGTCTGGAAATACAAACCCTAACTATAAAGTCACTTTTCATAGAAATGGAACGGCTAGTATCTCAAAAAAGAAACAGACTCTCACAAATAAAATATTGAAGTCTGAAGGAGCTTTCGAGACAACAGATGGAAAAGTTTACTTCACCGACCAACAGTTCATTATAGAACATCTCATTGACTTAGAGTCGAAATATTCTAAACTTTACAACAAACACAAAAAGTTGAAAGGAAAACAAAAACAAATGGCATATGATATTTATGAAGATGTTGACGACACAACTAAACCTGCAAGTGAGGTAAAGTCAGATGAACCGAAAAGTGACGAAAAACCGATAGAAGAAGGGAAGCCACAAACTGAAGAAAAACCAAAACCAAAGGTTAGTTTCCAAACTAAACCAAGTCAACCTTCATTAGCTGGTATGGGTTGGCGTCAAAGACTTATGGTAGCTGGTGGTTATGTTAAGTAAAGAAAAAAATATTTTTTTTATTTTTATAAAAATGCCCCCATATAGAATGGATAGAAAATCTGCTAGAATAAAAGCAGAGTTAGAAAGATATGGTTGGAGAGTTTCGAAAAAGTTTAAATATAAGAAGGGAAGACCCATAAAAGTCTATGACAAACTGTCTGGTCTTCGCTATGAAATGGACTTAGAAACAGCGCGCGCCAATTATCCAAACAGACTAGAGAGGTTAGAAGAAGAACGTCTTATGGACATGCCTTTCGATGTTAGTGAACCTCAAGTTGAAGGACACGACGGCTTTGCCAGATTCTACTGGAAACATGACGAACAATTGCATCCTTTGAGAAGGAAAAAAGGAAAAGGTGAAGACGCACATGCTCCCATGGAAAGAACAAGATATGCATATGAGAAGTATCGTGAAGTTAGAAGTCAAATTACATCTGGTCGAACCTTTACAGTAAACTTTGACGAAGGAAAGAACAAAGAAGGCTTCATGGGTGTACTTGCTGCCATACAAGACGGAAATAAGAAAGGATACAATCTCAGACTAACCATAACAGATTTGGACGGTCATATATACTATGCACATGGCAATGTCACAACAGCTGCAATGCTTCTTGACGCTTTCAAGACTACAAAGAGAGAACAAATGGTTGACTCCGACTCAGACATTTTGAATGCAATTGAAGGAATTGCAAGTGTCAAGTTCGAATGGTACCAACCTAACCCTCAAGCAGTCAGACAACATGCTGGATACTTCCCCTTCATAAATAAGTCTGACATTGACTTGACAAGGTATGGAATTTACAATTCAATTGAAACAATTGTCAATGAACCTTGTATTCTTACATGTCTCAGGAACTCTGGTCTTGTTACAGATGAGAAAATGAAGTATCTTGAGTCATGTGTGAAGACAAGGTACATTCTCAGAGGTCAATTGGCAAAAATTGCACCGTTGGCAAATGTCAATATCCGAGTCAACATACCTACAGCTAAAGGTTCTTCACATGACGACTATGTTGTTGACAAAGACTTACCATGGTTGAAGATTGCAATTGTCCACAACCACTTCATGTTGAACGAAAGTCTTATGTTCGGAAAAGGTAAGTGTAACATTGTCAGAGCTGTTAACATTCTTTTCGAGAAAGGTTTGTTGGAACCAATTCCAGATGACAAGCTGACAGAAACTTTTGTACCAAAAGACGAAACAAACTTTTCATTGTTAGTAAGACCAAAAGTTGTTCCAGACAAAGTTATAGCACAAAAGAAGTACACAGCTCCAAAAGGAGTTGGATTGTTCGGATACCAACCTGAACCAGAAGAACTTCCAATGAGGTTGCAAGAACTTCAAGATGCTATAAACAAACTTCCATTGAGACATCCAATTGACGTCAAATTGTATTGGAGAGCTTCTGAGTTAGGTCAGAAGGTTTTATATGAAACAGGTTGCTTTGACGATGTTTATGAGATAACAGGAGAAGTTTCTCAGAAGATAAGAGACTCACTTGAATTTCCACGAACTGGACCGATTGGATGCGACAAGTTCGACTCAAACGAAAAGATATACTATGTTGACCTTAACGCTGCGTACATGAGGTTTGTCCAATATATCCCGACTGGAATTCCAAACGAAGATGGTGAGTTCCCGGGAAGGAACTATACAGTTGGAAAAGTCATACAACAACTGTATGATATTAGGAAAGCTTCAAACCCCAAACTTGCAATGACACTCAAATTGCTTATGAATTCGACATGGGGATATTCCATTAAGAAACCTCAAGCGATGAAGAGTAAACACTATGAGAAGGTCGACAACTTTGTTGAAAGGTTTTCTCCTTTTGTTTTGAAATACGAGTTCACCGAAGGTCAATGTGGCTCAGTAACCACAGTAAAACCTATTGTCGAACATTGGTCTTACCCTCAGTTCGCAAAGGCAGTCCTTGACAACTACAACAAATTCTTCTCCGAAGTCAAATCCAAAGTGAAGGTTTACTATGAGAACATTGACGCACTCATGACGAACGAAGAAGGATACAACAAACTCATTGAAATGGGTTTAGTCGGTGAGAAGATGGGCTGTTTTAAGCTAGATAAGGTATTTTCCGAAGTTCATGTCCTCTCCAAGCGTAAGTACTGGGGTGTACTTGAAGACGGCACAGAAATAAAACATTGCATGAAATAAAAAATTGCATGAAGTAAAAACGTTTTTAAAACAGTATATTTTTACATATATTAAATGCTTCAGGTTGAAAAACAAAGAACAAAAGTAGCAGATACAAAACCGTTAGACTATATGTTTACAAACGCCGGTAGGAATATATCAGATGAAGAAATTTCATCCCGAATTGTCTTTCATATACAACTACGGAAAAGTGCTGAAAAAGTATTGAAAAATATATTTTAGGTGAAGAGGTGAGATTTCACCTGTTTTTTCACCTGTTTTCTCACCCGTTGAATTTTCATGAATTTTGTGCTGAATTCGACAAAAATGAGTTTTTGGTTGAAAAAAGAGGTGGAGCCAAAAGTGGCTCGACCTCAAAACAAGCATTTTGTGAAGAATATACCAACCCGCGGAATTCCGGCGGTTGCTTTTTATACAAAGTTCAACAGGTGAATTTTCATGAATTTCCTTAAGATAGAAAAAAATATATTTTAGGCGACCAGGTCACTCGGTCACTCGGTCACTCGGTCAACTAACATCTTTTTGAAAAAGTGTGACAACATGACATTTTGACAACAACACAGGAAATAGATTTCATCGTATATTTTTTGTTTAGACTTCATCGTAAATGTTTTTTTGAGACTTCATCGTATATGTTTTGTCGAGATTTTTATCGTTGTGGTCCGACGGTTAAGCCACAAACGAATGTCCGACGGTTAAGCCAAAAATATTTTTTATTTTTATTGTAAGAACAGTATGACAGTCGAAGCAAAAACGTTCACGAACAAATCTAATGGCGAAACATTCACAAAAGGCACTTACAACGGTATTGAAGTCTTACGTAGAGACAAGGATGGTTATATAAATGCAACAAAGATGTGTCAGCAGTTTAGGAAAGACTTTAGAAGGTTGTTGGAAAATAAGTCCTGGGAAGAGTATTTTAAGGCATTTTGTGAAGAATATACCACCCCGCGGAATTCCGCGGGTTGCTTTTTATACAATGTTAATGCAGGAATTCCGGATGAAATCAAACAGGTTAGAGGAATGTATGTAGACCCAAGACTCGTAAACTATATTGCAATGTGGGCTTCTCCAAAATATTGTATAGCAGTTGGAAAAATTATGGACTCCATAGACAAGAAAGTTCATGAGAAATTAGATGAAGAAGAACTTGAAGATACAGTAGAGAATGCAAAACCTTTGTTCGAAGAAGAAGTTAGAAAAATGCATGAAAAACAAATAGAACATGAACGTGAGATATGTTCTGGTTATAGAGATTCTCCATACGAACTAGACCAATGGGAACAAGAAGATTTAAAGAGAGAATTTAGAGAATATGAACTCGCTAAAATTTCATTAGAAGCTGCAGAAAAGAAGTTAAAAGTTTGGGGTCGTTTTGTACAAAAATATTGTGAGTAAATGAACCATTTTTTTTATTGAATTCAGCAAAAATATAATTTATGTTAGAATGTTAGATCTAACATGTTTTCTCACCTGTTTTCTAACATGGTCTAAAACTCTCGAAAATCATGAATTTTACACCAAAAATAATGTTTATGTTAGAATGTTAGATCTAACATGTTTTCTAACACGTTTTCTAACATGGTCTAAAACTCTTGAATTTTCATGAATTTTGACACTTTCACAAAAAACATAAAAAATAAAGTTAGTTTTTTAAAAAAAATATTTTTTATTTTTATTGTAAGAACATGTTAGCAACAACAGCACCAAACTCGTTAGTCATGAATCCTACGTCAATGTTAGTAGAGATGAAAAACTTCATTCCTTCTTCATATACTTTCGAAACAAAAATCCAGAAGATAAAGCAAGAACTTTTAACAAGTACTTTGGACTGTAGTGCGAAAGATGAAACAAATGAACAGTATCTTTACGACATGCAGGACCTCATCGACCATCTACCTAAACTTCCTGAAATCCAACAACAAAAACTAACCATTCCCGAATTTGACGAAATAGAAGTCAAAGCAACTGACTCAGTAGAAATAAAGAAGTTCATACGAAAGGTAAATTATGAATTCCTTGGTTTTCATTGCAACCATAAGGTTATGGACAAAGATTGCGACATGGTATATAAGAACATCTCTGACCTTTACAAATCCGAAGAATTTAAGACCTACGACAACTTTGTTTCGTTAGTTGCAAAATGTGTTTGGGAAATAAGAGATAAAGATAGAAGAGGCAAAGTATGGAACGAACAAATAAAACCCGCTATGTTCGAGATGAAGAAAACCATTGACGCCTTGGTCATACTTGCAGGTAAGGTTTCAGAATATAACGCAAAAATGAATCCGCAATGTTCAAAATGTAAAGCAGCAATGAGGAAATATAACTACTCCGTCAAAGAGATAGAACGTATGCGAAACGACTATGCAGATTTAAAGAAAGAGGCAGAAAAACCAGCAGAAGATAAAATGAACATGTTAGAATTTCTGAACAAAAACTATCCAACCGCTAACGATTTCCTTCTATCTGACGTCAAGAAGAAGTATAAAGAAACTTTCGGTATCGTTAAAACTTTTGACATACTGACAGAAGAAATAGAAGCTACGAAATTGTTTAGAGTCATGAACCATCGCAACATATACCATGTAAAACGCTTGTAAATAGTTATGTTAGAAAACATGTTAGAAAACATGTTAGATCTAACATTCTAACATAAACATTATTTTTGCTGACTTTTTACAATTTGAACTTTGTTTGCGTAGATATGAATTCTGAAAGAAGTATGAGGGTCTTGTATGACTTTGTACTTCTCCCATAGTTCATGTCTGTCAAACTTACCTGCCATGGACTCTTTCATAAGTTCCATGAAATCGTCTTCGGACAATCCAGGGAAAAGTATAATGTCAGTAAGTATTCTTTTAACATCCTTACTTAAACTCTTTGCTGTCTGTACCAAATGAAACTGAGATGTTAAAGTGTCTGAGCTTCTTAGAATTCGACACATGTCTTGTTCTCTGTTCTTAACAAAGGATGAGAGGCGAATCATCTAAGATAAGAAGACACCTATGAGGTATGTCTTCCAATCGTAAGATTGCAATTTCTTCGAAATGTATTTATCTCTTTCTGTTTGTTTCTGAAGTGTTTCTTCTCTAATATTCTCTGCATTTCCTCATTTGGGTCTTTAAACTTAGAATTTATACTCATTTATAGCATTATACTTCAAAACTCTTCTTTGGTACTTCTTTATCCAATCTAACAACTCAGTATCCTTTATACATACTAACTTAGACTTCTTATAATATCTTTGAACGAATTGACGGTTTTGGTCAAATTGACCAGAAGTACTACAAATAACAACTAACTCATAGAATGGGTTCTTCTCATCTAGTTCTTGTTGTTGTGCACCATTTTAAGATAAGTGAAAGTCTTACCCGACCCAGGTGGTGCGATTAGAACCTGTTATACCATTCTGAGCAAATAAGAATTGTCATGTAATAGGCTTTATCTGAGCATTTTCTAACTTCCTCTTGTTCTTCTTCAAAACATTCTCAAATTTCTTGTCAATGTCAGCAAACTTTTTTTCTAACATATTTTTAGAAAAATTAAAATTTTTATCTTTTTGAAAATGTCTAGCGATTTCGCCATCTATATCGAGACAAACTTTTCGACAGCAAAACATCTGTCGACCATAAAATCTTACATAGTGTAAACAAGAAAGGTGAATTTGTTCTAAGTTCTGTTTCTGGAATTGACAAGAACCATAAAACATTAAGCAGAGAAGTCTTAAAATTTGTCAATGACAGACTTGTTGACAGAGATGACGCCTCTTGGAGAGATGAAGTCCAACAAAACTTCTTAGAATGCAAAGAAGACACATGCGCTGTTCTTGAAGATGAAATAGAAAACAGAATAGAAGAGCTATTAAAGGACAAAGAACTTTTACAAAAAATATGGTTCTGAGAAGTTTGACATAACTCCACCAGAAAAGAAGAGAGAGAAAAAGAAAGAAAAGAAAGTAGAAGAAGAGAAAGAAAGAACCAGGCCAGAGAAGAAAAGAAATTGACATGTAAAAATAAAATTTTATTTTTAGAACATTTCTGGGTCAATGTCAATGTTCTCTTCCTCTTTAGGAGTAAACACTGGCTTAGACTCTAAAATCTTTTTACCCAATTTACCTTGAACTTCTACAACTTTAGACTCATAATATTCATAGTCGTCTGCTTTCTTTGGTTCATAAGTATAACAAGTTTGTATGCTTTGCCTTCTTTAAGGTTTGAGAACGTTTCTGTCAAAATTTTCTTTGACTGCTAACAACCTTCTATGTCTAAGTCTTCAAATTTCGCACCATTTTTAGTCACAATAGCAAACTTAACGGGTTCGATGTTCCAAACTTTGTCAAATGTAGACTTTTCAAAATGGTAGAAGTAAATATTCAAATATATGAATGGGTCGAGTTCTTCTTTGACTTCTGTCATGTACTTGTTGACTGAAATATATTTCGTCATCTTTCTATCGATAAAAATATTTTTTTTAAAAACGTTTTAAAATGGTATGCCATATAGCTTCTTGAATTTGTTAAGACGTATTTGAACGCGTTTTCCATCTGTATCTCTAGTGTTTACATAAGCATAGCCATCCTTAGTAAAATACTATTGTAATTTTCTATAGTTACGCCGGTATAAAAGTAGAAAGAGTCCTGTTCTTCGCTATAGTAGTAAAACTCAAACGTATGCTTGCCATAGTCTGTAATTTCAATTGCTTCATCTTCTAGTTCGTCGACAAATTCGAATACTATATCTGCAAATTTGCTTTTGTTCTTATTGTTTTCAGAACGAGTGACCCAACGTAAGTTTTCAAGTCTATTGTCGTTTCTTATATGGTTTATATGGTCTACAAAAGGTAAATTGTTAGGGTTCGGTATAAAATGAGTTGCAATGACAATATGTTTAAAATAGTTTTTTCCACTCATCTTCATCCTAGCATATCCGTTATTTTGCTCCCATTCGCTTAAAACTCTTTTTGTCTCTTTTTTTCTGACTTCAAATGACTCACAACAGTGAATTTCATATTTCTCATCTAACAAACAAGTTTTCCAACAGTCTTTTCCAACAAACTCAGCGTACATTTCAAATAAAATAAAAAAATATTTTTTTAAAATTTACTCAGAAAAATTTTTCTTTGTATATACGCCGTTCTGAACATCTAAAAGATTTTTGACATTTGCCAAGAATGTACGTTTAGACGCTGTCATATAACCATACTCTTGACAATATTGTTTATATTCATCGTACAATGACCTTTCATCTAAACACTCAAAGTTAGTCTCATCTATAAACAGTTCATATACCTCTTGTTTGCTTCTAACAATGTTTGTCTCTCTTCGGTATATGGAATTTGTCTTGGATTGAACTTTGAAATATCTAATGTCATAAATATGAGAACAAGTGGTTGTAAAAGTCAGATGTCAAAGTTTCTGCTAAGTCGTCAAAATATTCTGTATCTGCATATGAGAATCTGAGTTCTGACAACTACATATCTTCTGTCAGAACTTTCTAACTTCATCGGAACAGTATTGTTTGAAACCATAATGAAGTTTGCAACATTTTCACAAACTCTTTGGTCTTTATATTTTCTTTCAACAACTCCAACTTTATCTGTTATAAGACTCTTCAAAGCATCTGAGTTCAAAACTTTTGTTGTATCTATACTTTGAAGTTCGTTACATACTATAAGTTTCATATTCTCTATTGAGGAGTTAAACTTGCCGCAGATGTTTTCTAAGTTTGTCATATTCGGGTTCGAATAGCCCTCTAACAGTTTGCACAAAATATCTGTAAAGAATGTGTTCTTACCAGTTCCTTGTTTTCCAATTATAATGAGAGCAGTTTCATTTTTAGCACTTGGATGTTGTAAGATGTTTGCAAACCAACATAAGATATACTCATAGACTCTTTCGTTTCCATTGCATATAATTTCTTTGACATGGTCTAACCAAGCTTCTATAATATTTTCTTTCCATTCTACTTGTTCATATTTATATCCAGTGAAGATAGAATAGAAGTTTGGAGAAGGTGTATAAAACTTTATACCTCGAACTGAAAAATCTTCTAACTTTGACAATAAGATATCCCAAGCATCTAACATCTTCATGCCAACTTGTACAACTTTTATTTTCTTAAGTTTCTGTCTACATTCTTGTTCAGACACTATTGTTGCTCTTGGTTTGTTAAAGACAACATCCCATTCTTTCATGACATAACATTCTGGGGCAGAGTCAACATAAATGACTAAACGTTTCAAATTCTCGACTGCTTTGTTATAGTCTCGAAATGGACACATATTTCTGAATGCTTGGAAGTCATAAAAATCTGAAACATCTATTCTGTACATTTTTATAAAAATAAAAAAAATATTTTTTTTATTCTTGACTTTGTTGTTCCATTTGTTGCATTTGTTGTTCTTGAGCTATTTGTTGTTGAAGTTGTTCTTGTAATACAATACTTTCACCAGTTGCATCTTCCAATTCGAAACTTTCTGCCGTCATTGACAAATACATAGGACATAAAAGTTTTACAGGAACAAAGTTTGCGTCAACTAATGTCAACGTTATACTTGCCAAAGTGTTTGAGTTCACTAAGGTTGAAAATTCTGCATTCGAATGAACAATAGGCAAACCAGCAGAGAAAGTATTGTTTATACGCATAAGTATCTTTTGGTCATAATAGTTTCTGTCGACATTCGAATAACACTTTGAACCTAAGTTTGAAACAATATATAAGATTGGTGTGCTTAATGTCAATGGAATAGACATTCCTTGTATGACACCTTTTCCTGTTATAGGAAACTGTTGGTAGTAAAAACCAGAAATAAGTTTTGTATTATAGCTCATATTGTTTATAGTAAACTCAGTCGGACATCCAAACATAATGAAACCTGCTCTAGTTGCAGCACATGTTACACTCGTCCTTAAAGTATTAAATAAGTCAACAAAACCTGTTGGTGGTATATCTGAGTAAGTATCTTCAAAGGAGTATTTTTTACCATTCACAACAATAAAATCTTCTGGTGTCAAAAGAGCAAAACAGGCTTTAGTCGTCATTGTGTTTAAGGTTAGTTTACAATATCGTCCTTGAGGACTTTGTAAGTTTGTTGTTATAGAATTATATGACTCAGGGTTTTTAGTCGTAATAGTATAAACCATTATGTCTTCTGCCATTTACTTAGCAAATAAATTTTAATGAAATGTTGTGGTCGTCAAATATTTTTATAACGTCTGGGAAACTATATTTTAAGTTCAACGTTTCACCTCCTTTCATAACGTATATCTTGTCAATGACATTATATGAAACACCACAGCAAGCAATGTCGGGTTCTATTTCTTTGATGTTTATATCGTCTGCCTCTGTCAAAAGTTTCAATAGTTCTTTCAAAACTTCACGAGGTGCGATGACATAGGAGCTCACCTTTACAGGGTTGTGTTCGACCAAGTTTAACATTATACCTAAAGCTTGACAAATCTTCTCCTGAGTTTTAAGTTTGTCTTTAAGTTGTTGGTAGTCATTTCGAATATCTGCAACAGAACTTAACTCTCTGCTAACTTCAGGATATGTTGGTTGTTCTTTTACAGGAACAATTGTTATACCATCTTCGTCCTCGTATGGTTTCCCCACTTCAACATCTCTTTCTTTGACATTGACAACAACACTTTGACTGTTTGTTTGAGTTGGTGAATTTAACTTCACATCTGCCACCGCCATTAAACCTTTTGAAACACTCACGCTTCTATTTTTCGGAAATGACATTTTACTTAGAATAAAAAGATGGACGTATTCGAGTATCTCTTCGAATTGAAGCAAAACAAAGTTTACACACACAAACAATACAAGTTCATTGACAGAATAGTTCTTTATACAAACAATGGAAAATGTTATAGAATAGCAGTCTTTGCTGAACCTAAATATTTTCATAAAGCAAAGAAAGTTGGTATAACCGAGATGGTGAAAGTTCTTGAAGCAGACAAAAATATAACTTCAAAACTTACAGATATTACTAAAGGAAAGTTTATAATACAATATTATGTCAAAACTGGCGTACTGTCAATATTTGACGGAGAGAAGTCAGTTCAAGAACAACTTACTGACCTGCTGCCAAAATCTGCTCGATGGAAGCTGTCGTTATGCCAATCTGAGGAGCCCCAGCAGGTTTCATCGAACGAATCTTCAAAAGAGCATCTTCCGTGAAAAGTGCTATTGGTTTTGTAAACTTCTTTGCTCTCAATTCATCTGGACCGTCTCTGTCACCAGTATATTGTATTTGTACAGTACCAACAGTTGAAATACCACCCATAAAGTCTTCTGAGTCAGCAAATGGAATGCCAAGCCAAAAGTTTGAACGGTCTCCATTTGTATATTGAGTTTTTTGACCTCCTGTATGAGTCCATACTTTCACATATGGCATAATAGAACTTTGCATTTCAGGGTTAATGGTTGTTGTGAAGTTGTTGTTAAAGTTCATAGCATCTAATGTCAAGTTGTATGACCTCATATCCTCAACTGTGGAATATTCTTCTCTTGGATAGTATTTGCCATCTATGTTTATATGATATTTAATACCGGGGTTGTAGAAACAAGAATAGTCATTTATAGTTCGTCTGAACAGTACAAACATAGTATCTGCATGTTTCATTGCAGTTGTTAAAGCAATATCTGTTCTTGCACCTGGGTCAGCACTTTGGTTTCCAACTTCACCTGCAAAGTCTTTGACAGATATTTGGTGTATAGGGAACATAAGTGGAACTGCAATATATTTGGCAGCTAAAGCATTTGAAATATCTGGGTCCAACATATAGACTGCAAGTCTGCTTTCTATTCTCTTGCATTCAAATTTTTCGCATGTGAACTTAACTGGGTCCCAAGCAGTTCCAGCAGCATTGAAATAGTAGTTTACTTCAGTGTTGAAGTTTGAGAAACCAAAGTCTAAGTCAACTTTGTCTTTGCAAAAGTCACAGAACTTGGCTCCACCAGTTCCAGCTACAGCAATGCTGAATGGGTCTTGTGTTGGTGCAATGACTAAGTTATTTTTGCTTGGAGTAAGTTCGATAGAAATTTTTCCTGCCCAGTTTGGCAAGTATCTTAAAAACCTGAAGATGAGGAAAGATGACAAAGGAACTCTAAGTTTCAGTTTTACTTTGGTTACTGCATTTCCATCTGAACCAGAAAGGTTAACATAAACTCCTGGAACGTTAGGGTCAAGTCTTCTTATTTTCTCAATAGTTGCATACTGGTCTGTTTGTTCTCTAGCTTGTGGTTGTACTGAGTTTCTCAAAGCGAACCATTCATAGTTTGCCCATGTTACTGTTTGAACTAAGTCAGAGTTAGAATATATCTTATATCCCATGAAAACTTCTGGAGCATATTGGTATCCGACATAGAAAATTCCATTGCAACCTTTCTTGTCAGACAACTTGGCAGAAGGTTTTATTTCAATGTCTTGTTCCACGTATAAGAATGAGTTGTCAATAGAAATAATATGAAACCTGTCGCAAGCAATATCTACTGTTGTTGAAGAACCTTCTCCAAACTCACCTACGTTTCCATAAGAAACAGCAGTTGTATATTCGTAAGTTCCAGGAACTATTTCTGACCTTCTAATGGCATTGTCGCATTCGTTATACCATTCGGAAACATTTCCGTTCATGGCATCCAAAACTGTTGGCGTTATATTCTGAGCGGCGTACATTTCATATGAGTAAAAATATAGAATAGTTGGATTTATATGTCATAATAGAACCCACGTGGACCAAGCTTTACTTTCTTCCTGACTGAGTTTTTAACTCTTCTTTTTCCTTCATTGCCCTCTGCTTGAAGTTGTTGCATCTTTGCATTATGTTCATCTAGTATGTTGCAAATTTCCCATGTCCTTTTTGCCTTTTGGCTCTGGTCGCCCATCTCAGGTAACCTATATCCTAGAAAGAGTTTGTCATAGTCTGTATTTGAGTCTTTGCGTATTGTTTGCATGACTCTTTCCTGAGTTTCTGGTTCAAGCTCTTCAAACAGTGCCTGTCCATATGGAATATGCTCGTTTCCAAATATATGTTTTTGTAGCCATTCTGGTTTTCTTTCCATGTTACCAACAATATCTTTTGTGAATGGGAAAGCTTTTACCCAATCTTTCAGTCTTGCGTCGTTTATTTCTGTAGTTGGTTTTATTTTGTCAAGGAACATGTTTTTCAATACTAACATTTCATCTGGTACTGTCCATTTGAGTTTTCTTAAATATTCATCCCTTCTCAGTTCATTGTCTGCAAAGTAAGTTTTTATGACATTTTGTAAACTTTCGTTTGCAAGGTCATGTACAATAGGTTCTCTTCCTTCTCTCTCCCTAACTTTCTTTCTAAACTCTTCACCAAATATACCATCTTTATGGTTCTGTGTAGTTCTTTGAGATAAATGTTTTAGAACGTCAGGTGTTATATTTCCATCAGCCATGTTCATTTCATACTGGTCCAAAATATCTGCATCTTTCATATCTTTCAATGGCATTAAAGCCGCGCTGAAAATACCAGCTATATCTGGTTCACCATTGACTTCCATTGCGTCTACAACTTCTTGGAATTGAGGTTGTAAGTTTATGAACCACCTATCCGGGTTAGCTTTATGACCCCATCTCATTGTAGTTCCATCGTCTGCAGAAACAAAAGTAGGTTTGTTTCCATCTTGGTTAGGTTCTGAATGAACTTTAAACAATGTTTCATTTCTATATGTTTTCTTGAAATTTAACCTTTTATCTTCACCGAGTTCATCCGAAGATTGAACGTTAAATGCTCGTAAGTAAAAAGGGTTGTTGTATTTGTGTACATTTTCTTTCAGTACTTCCATTCTATGCAGAATATTTTCATCTGGTGTTGGAGTCTTTTGTATGTCGGCAAACATTTTTCGATATTCTTCTACTATGTCAGCCGAATTTTTTTTAGACTCTTGGAAATATTCCATATTCTCCGCATACTCTTGTTGAGGGTCAAGATTTTTCGGCTGTTCCAAATCTTCATCTAGTTCTGTGAAGTTAGTTTCCAAAGGAGTGACTTGTTCGTTTCCTTCAGGCTCTTCTAGCTGTTGTTGCTGAACTATTTCTTCCATGTCTGGTTGTATCTGAACTTCTTCCTGTGGAGTTTCTTGTACCTCATCTGCTGGCATTTCATATATTCCGAGACCGTTTTCAACAATTTCCCTATCTACGTCATCCGCATTCATAAGCTTTTGTTCTTTCGTTCCGTCTCTATTTTTTACGCGTTTCATGACGAAAGTTGAATTGTCATTTAGCTCTGACATCAAATATCTCGGAGTAAATTCATCCATGTCATTTGGATGATATGCTATTAAATCATATCCCTTAGCGAGCTTGTATTTTCCAGGTTTGAGATTATATCCGTTTTGGTGCTGAGCCATAAAGCTAAATAGGTTCGGGTCAGTATTTCCATCCTTGAACTTTCCAATAGCTTCTTTATATCTGTCACTAAAGTCAACAGTATCTGGGAAACCACACTCTTCTTTAAGCATTTTTAAGAATTCTTGGTTTCCTTGTTCTCTACTTCTTTTATGTCCTTGCTCTGTTTGTGGTTGTTGTTGTGCTGGATTTTGAACTGTTGGTTGCTGTGCAGGGTTTTGAACTGTTGGTTGTTGTGCTGGTTGTTGTGTTGGTTGTTGTGTTGGTTGTTGTGTTGGTTTTGGTGCATGCCTGTGTCTGTGTCCATGTGACGATGTAAATGTTTTAGGTAGTCCTGGTGCAGGTGCTTCTCTTGGGGGGTTTGGTGGTATATAAGTTCCACCAGCTGGCACATATGTTCCATCTGCAGCGTAATGTCCTACCTGACTTTTCGTTTTTAAGAAAGCATTTACTAGGTCTGTTTTGGTCTGTTGTAACTCTTTTTCTTGACTTTTCACAACAGTTGCTCTAACGGCGTCATAGGCACTTTGAACTGCCTGTCTCGTTGCTGCATCTGTTATTTTCGTCATATTTTGTGCTACTTCTTTTAACTCTTTGTCGAAACCTTCAGACTTCAGTTTCTTTCCAGATGAGAAGTCGTTCACTTGTTTCACCTTACTATGAAGAGCTTCGAAGGCGTTCTTAAAGTCAGCATTCGTTAAAGCTTCATTTGAACTGTCTTCATCCGCTTGTATTTTTGTCCTTATTGACCCTATGAGTTGGGCTGCTTTAGCGTTGGCTTGGGCATCTAACCAGTCATTGTTAGCTTTTATATATTCTGCGCTTTTCATTGCCTTTTGCATGGCTGCGTCGTTATTTTTACTTTCTTGTGCTAAGTTTTCATACTGTACGGTTTGGTTTTGCAACTGTAAAAGTTTTTCTGCCTTTACATTTGCTTCAACTTCTTTTTTATACTCATCGCTATCCATATATGTCTTCAGGGCTTTTTGTTTTATCTCTTCATCTTTCAGTACTTTATATCGAGTAGTATGGTTTTTCAAATTTATAACATCTTGTTCCATTTTTGCTACTTCTTCTGCTTTTTCTGACACTTTTTTCGCATATTCCTCTGTACTTAGTTCTTTCAGTTGTTCTTCTTTCTTCTTTTTCTCTACGTTTAACTCATTGAGTTTCTTTGTGTGTCTGTCATATTCTAGTTTCTTTTCGTTTTCACTTATTTGCTTCTGTATGTCTATGTTTGACTTTTTGACATCTGTTATTTGATTTTTGAGTGAACTCAAATTCATTTGACTTTGAGGGTTATAGGCTGTTCCGTCTGCAGCTCCACCATAGCCTGCCATTTTCGCTAAAAGTGCCGCTCTTAAACCTCCACTCTGTGCACCAAGAACTCGGTTTAAAAGCATAGGATTGCTTGACATTTGTTGCAACATAGTGGGGTCATTCAGCATTTGTTGTTGCAACTGTTGTTGTGGTGTTAGTCTTACTTTTGGATGTTTCAATGCTCCCTTCCTCTTACGTATATTCTTACGTAGCTTACGTGGCATTTTAAGTGAAGTTAAAAACATTTACGATGAAGAAGTCATGACAAAACATTTACGAAGAAATCATGAGTTTTCTACCCTCTTGAATTTTCATGAAATTTACACCAAAAATATATTTTATGTTAGAATGTTAGATCTAACATGTTTTCTAACATGTTTTCTAACATCGTAGAAAACTCTTGAAAATCATGAAATTTACACCAAAAAATAATGTTTATGTTAGAATGTTAGATCTAACCTTCTACCCTAAATTATATTTTTGGGTCCTTTACGCTCATTACGAAGAAGTCTTGACAAAACATATACGATGAAGAAGTTTCGACAAAACATTTACGAAGAAATCATGAGTTTTCTACGATGTTAGAAAACATGTTAGAAAACGTGTTAGATCTAACATTCTAACATAAACATTATTTTTGGGTCATTTACGCTCATTACGAAGAAGTCTTGACAAAACATATACGATGAAGAAGTTTCGACAAAACATTTACGAAGAAATCATGAGTTTTCTACGATGTTAGAAAACATGTTAGAAAACGTGTTAGATCTAACATTCTAACATAAACATTATTTTTGGGTCATTTACGCTCATTACGAAGAAGTCTTGACAAAACATTTACGAAGAAGTCTTGACAAAACATTTACGAAGAAGTCTTGACAAAACATTTACGATGAAGTCTTGACAAAACATTTACGATGAAGTCTTGACAAAACATTTACGATGAAATTCATGACAAAACATTTACGATGAAGAAGTTTCGACAAAACATTTACGAAGAAATCATGAGTTTTCTACGATGTTAGAAAACATGTTAGAAAACGTGTTAGATCTAACATTCTAACATAAACATTATTTTTGGGTCATTTACGCTCATTACGAAGAAGTCTTGACAAAACATTTACGAAGAAGTCTTGACAAAACATTTACGAAGAAGTCTTGACAAAACATTTACGATGAAATCATGACAAAACATTTACGATGAAATCATGACAAAAAAGTCAACGGCTGGTCGGCTGGGGTTCGGTCCTCCTCTTGGGTCTTGGGAAAAATTCTTAGGGCTGGAAGCCCTCCGAATAAAAACTTCATTATACTAAACATCTTCAGGGCTAGAAGGGGCGCAGCCCCTGGAAGCCCCACTACCTTTTTTTTTTTTTTTTTTTTTTTTTTTTTTTTTTTTTTTTTTTTTTTTATATATACCATATTTTTATTCAATTCATTTGATATAAGGTCGCCAAAAAAAGTGCGGAAATTAAAAACCGCAGTTTGAGTACTTTCTGAGAGTCTGTTTGTCAGAAAGTATACATTTGTAAACTTTCTGACACTAAAATTTTTTTAGTCCTTTCAAAGTTTTTGACAATGTCAAAAAGTTTACATCAGGCTCTCAATTTTCCTCTCAAACGGCGGTTTTTTAAAAACGCTCATTTTTTCATCGACCTTAAATAAAAGACTTCTTGATATTGCAATGAGACAAAATTCAACTGATATTGTTAATTTCTTAATACAACATGGGGCCTAAACATTAATAAATTTCCTACATTTTATTAAGAGTAAAGATTTATAATTTAAAATTACCAAAATTATATATCAGCAGATATTGTTCAATTTCAAGAAAATTTTGAGCACTTTCTCAAAGATAACAAAACTGTAAACTCATCTCAGTATTATAATTGGCTAAATAATCATCTAATATAAAAGATATTTTAAGTACATTTGTATTTCTATATTAACTAAAAATGTGTTCAAAATTGTTTTAAAATTTGAAGAGTATTTTTATTAAAACATGTTATTATGAAAAGGAAAGATAAGTTACTTGTCAATTGTGAAGAATCCCCAAACTTCCACGATATCAGCTCTGAAGTTTGGCTCTCCAGCTAAGAAAGTTTGTGCTTCTGTACTTCCTCTATCGAATCCAACGCCGTAAGAGTTTTCAATGACAGCGCTGCAAGTGTCGAAGTTGTCATCAAGAATCAAATCCCATTTTCCGAATGTCAAAGTATCCTTTGTTGCGTAGAGGCAGCAAGAGTCAGCAACTCTTGGTCTGTAAGGGATATAAGCATCGAGAGATACAGAGAATAAGAAAGAGTTTGATCCATTTCCAAATGGTTTTCCATCGCTGTTCCATTTAGCTGCAGCGAAACCACCAAAAATGAAATCACCTTTCTTGATGAGCAAACAAGTGATTCCGATGTTGTCGATCAACTGGTGCATCTTAGCGATATCTCTGCCATCACGTTCTGTGCTGAATAAGAGATGTGTCTGAGGAACATTCCTGAATGGGAAGCAAAGATAAAGAGCTGTTGATTGAGACTGAATTGTCAAAATCTTTGACTCTTCGAATGGTTGGAATGTTAACTCAATTCCACGTGACTTGTTCTTTGCCTCTTTCTTCCTGGCCATTTCGACAAGGGATGGTGGTTCTACAGGTGGACGCATTGGAACAATCTGCTGTCTCTGAGGAAGAGGAGCTGATGTTGGAGGAGGTGTGTCATGATGTTTCTTCGGTGAATCAAATGCACTTGAAATACTTGCTGTTGAATCGAAGTTCTTTCTTGGTGGTAAACTGTTTCCTGTCTCTTCTTCATCGTAGCCTTCTTCTTCCTGGTTGTTATCTTCTTCACTTTCGACTTTCTTCTGTTTCTCAGCACTCGAAATTTGCTGTTTGGAAGCAGATGATCTACGTCTCGTTTGTTGCATGTCGGATGGAGATGATTCGCGTCTTGCAATTGGAGCAGCGCGAGGAGCAACGTCTAACTGGTTCTCACGGAGCTGTGAGATAGATTCGCGAACATTCCTTGTTGGTTTGTTCGTTGTTGGACAGACATCAAGTTTTCCATAAACGCAAAGATCAGCTTCGACTGTTAAGTCTTCTGGAAGATCTTCTGTGCCTTGGAGATTGGCAACAGCCATGGAGTGTCTGTCGAAAGCGCTGAGGAAGGCGAGTGGTCCGGCGTATTTCTTTTGGACACCAATGAACTTGGCGAGAACATCGAGTTCCTTCGTTTTCCTCTGCAATTCTGTTTTGACAGATCTGACAATCAAAGCTTTTTCGCTTGAAAGCTGCTTTGCGCGTTCTATTGCAGCGTTTGCAAGTCTCATGATCTCTTGCTCGACATCGCGCTCGTTCTGCATGATTGCTTCGAGCTTGGCATCAGCAGCTTCTGATTTCTGGGCGATTTCTTGTCTTCTTCTTGCGAAAATTGGATCTTCTTTGGAAGCTGCTTCAATTGCTTCAGCGTAGGCTTGTTTGATTGGAATGAGAGGGTGGCTGGCTGCTTGGCCCTTTGAGTGGCTGCCAACCATCTTGCATTGAATACAAACAGGCATTTGGCACTCTGTGCAATAGTATTCAACTCTTGTATCTTTATGGAATGGGCAGTATTCCATGAGAGCGCGTGCTTCTGCAAGAGTCATTCTGCGGTGACGTGCTGCGATGTGGGATTGATGTGCTTCTGCATCACATTTATCACAGAATTTTGCGTTATCGTTTTCACACCATATTGTAGCAGGTGCGACACCACATTGGTCGCAGATATCACCTTCCTCTTTAAGCTGTTCAAGAGAAGCTCCGCCTGGGAATCTTATGTATTCGCAAGTTTTAATTTGGGCAGAATTGAACACTACGTATTCACTCTTATCGGAAACACAAAGAGAATGATATCCAGCACGAAGAACACCACTTGTTGGCTGGTCTTGAGCGAATTCATAATTCTTTAAGTCGGATGATGCAGATTGAAAGTTAAGAGTGTTACCAAGAGCAACAGTAATGCGTATGACTTCGATCATTTCTTGTTCTCTATCAATATCAAATGTTCCTACCTTAAAACGAAATCCTGTTTGTGGATTAACGATAATTCCTTTTGCTGCGATATCAGAAATTGTCTGATCGATTGATGTAAGTGGAACAAAGACATCAACGACATTTTGAGGCGTCAATGTTTTGAAGTAATTGATATAAGATGCTTCAACGTGTGGATTTTTAAGAACATAGCAGTCAGAAATCCTAAGCTTTGGGGCATTAAGCTGTAGCTGAAGCTCATACTCAATATAGTTATAGTCCTCTGTATGAGGAGCTAAAGGAACTAAGTTCTGAGTCATTTTTCTAATTTTTTTCTAAACGGGCATTTTAAAACGTCACTTTTATGGTTTTATACTTTATCAAACATAATCAATAGCTTGAAAGTCTTTCTATCATAGGCATGATTCTACATAACAAATAATTGATCAGATGAAAGGAAAGAATAATCGGATAATGAAATATGTCAACAAAGTAATATTTTTTTATTATATCAACAATTATTAAACTTATTTCGGAAGCTCAAGACCCATGGAAACCCAACCTTCTCTGAGGTTGTGGGGTCTTGCGAAAATTTCGAGATACATTGAGTTGGGGAAAACTCTTTCGATAAGTTCGTATATTTCGACTGGTTTGTGGCTTTGACGAAGTCCTCTTTGTTGGATAATAAGGTCATCAAACATTTCAGCGCGCATGTTTTCGGGATCTCTTCCCTTGCGGCCAATTAGAACAGTTTCCTTATTGTGCTGAAGATAGTAACCGTGTGATGGCATGTAACGACCGTACTTCGAAATCTTTACCCAATTGAGATACGTTAAGAACTCATATCCCCATTTATTGAGAATTTGGATACCGTTTTCTAACTGGGATGCAATAACCCATAAGAATATGTATCCATTCTTTTGAATTTTATGAAGAGGAATTTGGGTGATTGTGTCAGTGCCAAGTTGGTCATAGTTAATGGCGACACCACGTGTAATTGAAGCCTGTGCAATAAGCCACGGCGGATCCATTGTAATGACATCGAATTGAGTAATTGCTCCAAGTTTATCAAATGGAAATTCTCTGACATCACATGCAATAGCTGCCGAATGCTTGATGTTTTCATCAAATGCTGGAACAATTGTGCATGTGCAATCGCCTTTTGTATCGTATTTCTTTATTTCGGCTTCAATCTTTTCGATTTCAGCATCAAGTTCTTCGTCTGTGTAAGCACGAATTTCATTAAGGTCAACTTTAACTAATTCCTGATTATATCCAAAGTATTTCAGTTTATCAGGGTCATCTGGTTTGAAATTCGTTAAAAATGTATTAACACCACGATATTTTGAGTTAATATATTCTTCTGGGCGGAGAACTATGTCCTTAAGCTTCTCAAATTCGATGAATTCGCATGGATCGCCGCCAGGGCAGTGGTGTAAATCTTCAGTTGAGAAATCTGTCACAAATTTAGCTGGAGGATTGTATGCCATTTGGCTCAATGGGATACTCTTCGACTTATCAGTTTTTTCTTTTCTTGGTTTGTCAGTCCAAGTATAATCTCTTGACTTTCTACTTGTCTTCTTCTTTTTCTTTGTATCTTCCTCATCTGAAGATGAATCATCTTCCCAATCTCCATCATCAGGATCGTCAGAGTCCGAGAATCTATAATTTGGGACTCGGCGATTCTTCATTGCGCGCGACGACATCTTTTATTTCCGATTTTTTGGCCATGCACGTTTATTTTTCGCGGTAAGTATTTGAATGATTTACAACATTTTTTGGCACCACAATTCTTTCAATTCTGAGTTTTGGCGGGCTGTAATAAATACATTAAAAACATCTTGAAATATCACACTAATTGATTCACTTCGTATTCTTTTTGTTTTTCGAAAATACAGCCTATTTTAATACATATAGTAATTGATCAATATACTTACTTTAACATTTCTTGCAGAAATTAGGATGCACAATTATTTCACTGGTCATAACAATTAACAACACATATTGAAGAGCATATTATCTCATAATTTGAAGTTAAAAAAAATCTGACTTATTTTCAAGCTCTTTTATGGTTCAAAACTACAGAAAGTAGAAAATTGAAGTTTATCTAGTTGTTTCTTTTATTTGTGAATCATTTTAGAAAAGCTTCTTTATTTAGCTCCAATTGAGACAAGATATTTAACAACTTCGAGATGACCATTGCTTGATGCACTAATGAGTGGAGTGAATCCATAAATATTCTTTTCATCTTTGTCGGCTCCAGCTGAGATAAGATATTTAACAACTTCAAGATGACCATTGTTTGATGCACTAATGAGTGAAGTGAGCTCATCAATAGTCTTTGCATCTTTATCAGCTCCAGCTGAAACAAGATATTTAACAACTTCAAGATGACCAATAATTGATGCAGCAATGAGTGAAGTGAGCCCATTAATATTCTTTGCTTCTTTATTAGCTCCAATTGAGACAAGATATTTAACAACTTCAAGATGACCATTTTGTGATGCAACAATGAGTGAAGTGAATCCATAAATATTCTTTGCTTCTTTATCAGCTCCAGCTGAAACAAGATATTTAACAACTTCAAGATGACCATTGTTTGATGCAGCAATGAGTGGAGTGAATCCATTAATATTCTTTGCTTCTTTATCAGCTCCAGCTGAAACAAGATATTTAACAACTTCGAGATGACCATAGTTTGATGCAACAATGAGTGAAGTGAGCCCATCAATATTCTTTGCATCTTTATCGGCTCCAATTGAGACAAGATATTTAACAACTTCAAGATGACCTTCAGCTGATGCAACAATGAATGGAGTATTTCCATCTTTATTCTTCGCTTCTTTATCAGCTCCAATTGAGACAAGATATTTAACAACTTCAAGATGACCGCCAGCTGATGCATGAACGAGTGGACTAGTGCCAAAATTATTCTTTGATTCCTTATCACAACCATTTTCAATGAGTAGTTTAGTAAGTGTGAGATTTCCTTTGTAACAAGCTTCATGAAGTACATTGTTGCCGTTAGATCCATTAATCTTCCAGAGACCGCTTTCACAAGATTCTGAAATAGTTTTTTGATCGCCTTGGGATGCAAGATCTTCAAAGAATTTATACATACACTCGAAATCCTCAGAATTGTTAAGTTCTTCTTTGTTTGTAATAATCTCCTTCTTTTCTTGTTCTTTGGTAATTTGATTGATTTGCGGGATTAAATCAGACTTTGGCATTTCAAATTGGCCCAAAAAATCAATAGTACCGTCAAGTATTCTCATTTTCATGAATTTACTGACTGATTTAAGAAATGAAATTGCATCTTCAAAGTTTTGAATGATTATATTTGCATTTCGGATGCTGTAATATAATTTATTTGCACCATGTGTAGAACTAGCTTGTTCCAGTATTTTAATGAAGTCAATTGTTGATAAATTGGCAAATTTCATGATTTTAACGATGTCTTCGATTTCGAACGTGGTAAATAACTTTTCATCTTAAATGTATTGTCCGAGGTGAGCGGCAATGTACTTATAATTGTGAGTAATACCTATACTCATATTTTTTTTAATTTTCAATGCTTTACAAAAGTCGAAATTTACTTTACAAATTTTAAGATTTCTCATGATTCTATAATTCTTTAGAAATTTCCTCTTTTTGACTCTAAATAAGGAATATTTTACAAGATTTCCATTTAATGTGATATAAATATGCTTGAGTAATTAAAATGAATTTGAATATATTTTGGGTATTTGCATTTGTAGAAATTCGCGGGAAAAGGGGGCGAATACACCTTTTTCCATACCTATACATGCTGTCTTAGCCATTTCAGATCAGATTTAGTTACTAGATCTTTAAAAAATTAGATTTCGATTCATTGAAGACCTTTGAAACATTGATTTTGGGAGCAGCTTAAGATTCAATGAGAAATATATTAAGGCTGCACTTACGCCCATCTGACTTTAATTCAATTTTGACAACTGGTGATAAGCGTCATTGAAATGCCATCTGAATTGAAGGCCATGTCATAGGGGATTAAGTGCACCCTAAAAAAAAAACATGAAAATATAACATTTATTTATTAAGTTTATGCGCGTTGGCCACGGCTGAAGAGAATCATAGTGATATCTGGGTTCTGAGAGTTCATAGCCAACTTACCAGGTGTGTTACCGTTGTTATCAGCGACATCAGTCAAAGCGTAGTTATCGAGCAAGATTCTGCAAGCTTCGACGTTCTGTGTTTCGATTGCTGTATGAAGCAAAGTCTTGTTTTCGCTGTTCCTGATCTGTGTGGAAACACCCCACTGAAGGATTGCCTTGAGCAACTCGTTCTGTCCTGTGTGGATGACCTCGTGGATGAATGTGTTTCCGTTTTCATCGTAGTGAGCCATATCAGCACCGTACGCGATCAATATCTGTACAATCTCAGGGTTCTTCAGTCTTACTGCGTCATCGATTGGCATTCTCATTGTTGACTTATTGAGTTTGTTCTGGTTTGCGCCGTATTTGAGAAGGAGTTTGACCATTTCGGCATCTCCATTAAGAACTGCTTGATGGAGTAATGTAAATCCTTCTTCATTCCTTATGTTTGGAGAAGCACCTGCTTCGAGAGCTGCCTGCATCATCTCAACTTTGTTCCTGTGATATGAAATTCTGATCATTTCAACAGCGAGTTTTGTCAAAACGTCTTTCTTGACATTGACATCGTTTGAGTTCAAGGCGTTCTTTATTGCGTCTGTTGCTTGTGGACCTAAAATCTTCTGTGTGACAGAGAGATCCAATCCGCTCAAGCAGTTGTGCATGTCGTCGATTGATCCCTCCCAAATTGCCTTCTTTATGGAGTTGACATCGACTTTCTGCAGCATTAACTGGAAGAGTTGTATCGATATCTTTGAGAAAGCGTATTCGAATTTCTGTCGATCGTTTTCTGTCAAAAGACTCTGGATATCGATCTGTTCCAATGCGGCCATCAAGAACTGGTACATTGTGTATCTGTGTGAAACTTGGATGAACTTACGGAGTTCTGCAGGAAGATATCTTTGTCCGAAATTGATGACTTCTTTGAGCAAACTTTCGTGGATTTCAACTGATCTTCTTCCTCTGATTTCAGCAATTCTTTGTGGCAAGTTTGGCATGAATGAGCCTAATATTGCTGTGTTTGTGTTGTTTAGATAAATCTTCATCAAGAACTGGCAGAGTTCATCGTATTCCAACACATAAGCGCATGCAAAAGCAGTGAAATCTTGGTCTTTTACTGGTTGCATGACCTTTGCTGTTGTTATCAACCATTTGATTGTATTTATGTCCTTTCTCAAAACAGCCCATGTCAACAAAGAATTCTTTCCTGACTTGAGATAAGGATGTAAACCGTGTTCGAGCATTTGTCTGGCGAACTCGTATTCGTTTCTCGACAAAGGACCTCTCAAAGCGTTGAATGACTGTGAAGGAGAGAACTTCGCTCCCAAAGAGAAGAAATAGGAAACTAAATCAGCATTTGACTGATTTGATGCCATTGTAAGTGGAGTTTCTTTGTCATTGTTCATTTCAACGATTGTTGTTCTGTCTTGTGTCAACAACCTAATGACATTCAACTGGTTGTATTTGACTGCATAATGTAGAGGAGTATTTCCTTTGGAATCTCTCAGTTTGACTTGTCCTGGAATACGAACTAAGTCATAGAGAATTTCCATGAGACCCTTTTCTGCAGCGATATGGATTGGAGCAACTCTGTTCTTGTCAGAAGCGAATGGAGAAGCTTCATTTCTAAGTAGGAATCTGAAACTGTCGAAGTTTCCATCAATAACTGCGTAATTGATTGGAGGAACACCTTCGTAATCGACGAGGTTAACAGATGCACCGTGTTCGACCAAGAAAGCGAGGAATGGACCTTTTGAGTGCTGGCATGCATAAGAGAAAGGAGTTCTTCCGAAATTGTCCACTTCGTTGTAGTGAACGTTTTGGATGTTATCCAATCTCTCGATGTTGTCGCAATCTCCTGTAATTGCGATATGATGTATTGGTGTTTGTTTGTTGTTGTCTTCTGCATTGATGTTTGCTCCTTTCTGGACTAAGTAGTCGACCAAAGAAATGAGGTTGTTTCTGCAGAAAACGTGGAGAATTGTTTCATTATTTGGTAACAATGAATCAATCTTTTCTCCAAGTTTAATTGCCAATACAACAATATGTGCCATCATACTGATATCGATCTTTGTTCCGTTCATTTCGAAATCATCATCAGGCTGTCTATCGAAGTCAGTATTGATATATCTTGTAAAATCTAATCTGTCACGAGAAGTGAAGTCAGTAAGACTTAAAACATATTGGAAGAATGATTGTGTTGATTGGCTGAAGTTTCTATCTGCATTGTGTCTCATTAAAACTTCGACCATTCTCATGTTTCTGCATTCAAATGCAATTTGAAGTGGACTTTTTCCATTATGATCTTTTGCATCGATTTGTTCACCTCTTTCCATCAACAATTCAACAACACGTGTCAAGTATTCATATCTCATTTGTGTTGTCTTAGTTTTGACTAAAGAAATCGCTTGTGTTGCAGCCAAAGAGTAAATTAAGTTAGGATGTGAAATGTCAATTGGTGTTCTACTTGCTTCGTATTCGAACAAGATTTCTAAGTTAGTAATCATTCCATTTAATATGGCTTGGTGTACTGGTCTTCTCCCGTGATCATCTTCTTCATCGATATCAATGATTCCTTCACCTTTTTCTACGATATATCTCAAAATTTCAGGAGGAGAGAATTTAGTACAAATCTGCAAAATCTTGTTATTTGAGAAGAAGAGTTGGAACAGAGGAATATCTTCTTCATGAACTTCTACTTCATCATCTGAAGCACCGAAGAAAATAAGAATAGCTGCAATAACACTCAAACCTCTCTCAGAAGCCTCAGAAATCAAAGTTCTTCCATTCATTAATCCTGCTGGATTTGCACCCATAACTAACAAGAAGAAAACAGCTAAAGGATCACCAGAAAGAATTGCGTTCTGAAGAACATTTGGATCTGTTGGATCAGCGCCATAATTAATTAGCATGATTGCTGCTTTGAAATGCTCTTCAAACACATCAACATCCAATAAACAACTGATATCATCCAAAACAGATGGAACATCACCTGATTCCAGTGGGAAAGAAAATTCTGGATTGGCTGATGCTGCTGCCATAAGAGGTGTTTGATCTCCAAATGGCATTTTAACATCAACTTTGTGCGTATCAATAACCATTTTCATTATCTCTGTGTTGTTAAATGATGCTGCACAATGTAATATAGAATATCCATCGGAAAACATTGGTGTTCCGTTCTTAATCAAAGCGGCAATAGCTCTTGAATCTCCTGCTCTTACAAGTAACTCTGCAGGTGTTGTTCCATCAGTTGCTTCTGTTGAAAGACTTGCACCGCTTTGAATAAGTTTCATGAAGATTTGTTCATCGTATGGGGTGTGATCTGCTGAATAATGTAACATGGAGTAGCCTTTCTGGTCCAAAGCATTGATATCTTTGAGGTTTGTGATGAATCTGTTGATGACTTCGACGGATGAAACATCAATTGCGGTCTTGAATGGCATTTCGCTTCCGCCAATGAGAGGATTGGCTCCGTGATCCAGTAAATAGTCGACCATCTTGATCTGATCACGTTGTATGGCAAAAACTAATGGAGTATATCCGGTTTCGTCCGGTTCATTGACATCTTCGCCAATTGTAATGAAGTATTTGAGGAGATCTTGGTTGGATAGGAAAATACTCGTGTTAATGTGATGTTTCGAGTCACGACCTGATTGCTTATTCATCAGGTAAACAACGATATCTGTGTATTTGTGCTTGATAGCGCAGTTGATGACATCATCACTGGACATGATTTCACCACGAATCTGTTCATAGTACAACTCGAAAAGAGTTTGGACGGATGATAAGTTTCCTGACTGAACAGCGATGTAGAATGGGGAATGGCCTTGAGAGTCGGACTTGTATGAACAGATCTTGTACTGTAAAATAAGTCTGAGAAGTGCAGAATCTGTCATTTCGAGAGCTTTTGTTAATAAGTTCTTGTCACTGTTATCAACTGAGTTGAAATTGATGCCTTTGCGTGAGAAGAATTCGATTAATGATGGAATGTTTGGTGAATAACCGAGGAAATGAACTGGCTCACGACCGAAATCGTCTGTATCTGTGAAATCTGCGCCTTTTGATGACAAATATTCAAGGCACTTTTTGGCTCCATAGTAGACGCAGATTGAAACTAATGGAGGCTGATCTTTTAGTAATTCTTCTGTTGGCTTGTAAAATTGTGTTGGAAATGAATATAATGGGAAGACACTTGGGCAAAGCTTGGCAAATTCACGGTCATTGTCTGCCTGAATTGCTTTAATAAGGGCTTCTGCTGACTGTGAATTCATTTTTAAATAAAAAGTGACAATAGAAGTGAAATCTTTTCGTATTCGACAAAGTTGGAATATAATCTAACCAATATGGATGAAATTTTCATCCATATGGAGAAAAATCTTCTCCAACTCGAAACTTCAGTTTGGAGACATTTTACAAATTGTAAACTTCAAATTGGCAAAATATATATCTCAATATCAGTCATGTTCCTAAATTTAACAAGCTTGTGCTCAAACTTGATATGTAGGAAGTACTTAACATTTAATTAACAATTGGCAAATTATATCAAAGAATATTTTTGTAATTTCATGAATAATATAAATGAAAGTAATCAACATAGAAATGCGAAAGCAAACTCCCTTAGGCTAAACTGATTTTATTGGGAATCAATGAAAAATATTTTAGATTTAATTTTATCGATGATCTAAGAGAGATCATTAATAGATTAGATGAAAGCTATTGTAGTTTTATTCGTATTATCAAATAAAGATTGTTTTAAATTGAAAATGCATAAAAAATCTGTGATATGATATTTTGTGGTAGTGACTAATATCTATAGGTGAAATATAATATAAACTCGCCATAAATGCTGATTAACATTCAAGAAATAAAAATTCAAATAATATATCTAAATAAATATTGGAATTATTTCTTGGGATCAGTAGATCATTGAAATCCCAAAAATATTGCCCATAGGAAGTTTCCATGAAAACGAAGGCAATGCCCGTCTCCAAAGCTTCTCCATTCCTCCATCTCCATGGAGAAATTGAACTAGTCTGTCTTCTTCACCAATTCAAAATTGAATACTTTCTCCACGTCTCCATGGAGAAAATGTGAGGTGAACTCATTGGGAGTTTTGACATTTCAAACTTTACAAATCTAATGGTTTGTAAAGTTAAAATCTGGCATTTTGATAAGAATCTAGGGAGTAATATTTGTAAAAAATAGGGTATAATTTACATTAAAATTTACAAAATTGGAGAAGCTTATATTTTGGAATTTGGAGATCCCAGCCGTTATTTCTCCAAACGAGATCCTTAAATGAAAATACATTAGATATACATATGTGAAAAATGAGAGTTATTTAAAAAAAAAAAATAATCCCAAATTGCGAATTGAATATTGACAAAGATTGCATTATTTAAATAATTATAAAGGATACAAGGTTGCAACAATCAATGATACAAATTGGGTTCGTATTTTCCATCATAACACAACAAACTACAAGTTATTCAGCAACGACAATAACACACTTCGAGAACAAGTTTCATTTATTAACGAAACGGACCGATTTAGTGTTCTTGGCTCTATAGACGAACGATTTTACATCGAAAACACATTTAACTTTTTATACTACGAACCCGACACATACCCGAATGACTTTTTCTTTTTCAATCAAACAAACAATCCATTCAGGACCAAAAACGCTACAGATGTTTCTTTTCGACCTGTAATCAAAGATTGTAATTTAAAGAATGATTCGAGGTATGATTTTACAGGTTTAACGATCTCTAATGAAAATAATACATGTTTAGATGGTAATTCATACACTAATTTTTGGCACTACAATATAGGAGAAAACACTTTTTGGCCGAAGTACAATATAAATACTATACCTGGTGTACCATGTAATTCAACATCTGAAACTCAATGCGTCGAGCTTTGGATTCGGTATAATGACTTGAAGGTTTTCGATTGGATCCCTTCAAAACAGAATTGCTCTATATGCCGATGTGTGATTTGGAGTAATCCCAATTATATTATATTCCTCTCTTTATTATTCGAATTTTCATAAAAATATATTTTCTAAATTCATTGATTAATAATATATTAATGCCAAGTACGAACGGTTAAAAGAAATAGAGATATTGTTAAGTTTAAATTTTTCAAAGTAAATCATCGACCTGTGAATTGCTTGAAAGAAAAAGCTGCATTATTTAAATAATTATAAAGGATATAAAGTTGCGACAATCAATGATACAAATTGGGTTCGTATTTTCCATCATAACACAACAAACTACAAGTTATTCAGCAACGACACTAACACACTTCGAGAACAAGTTTCATTTATTAACGAAACGGACCGATTTAGTGTTCTTGGCTCTATAGACGAACGATTTTATATAAACAACAAATATAATTTTTTATACTACGAACCTGATACATTTCCTAACGACTTTTTCTTTATCAATCAAACAAATAACCCCTTTAAAACAAAAGTTGCAACAGGTTTTTCTTTTAAACCTGTACTCAACGATTGTACATTTATTTCAGATAGAAATTCCACATTAACAGGTTTAACGATTTCTAATGATCTATCTACGTTTATAGATGGCAATTCAGCCTTATATTATTGGTTTTTCCCGATAGGAGAAAATCAATTTTGGCCAGATCTAAGCGTAAATACTATTGCTGGTGCCCCATGTACTTCGCCAAAAGGAACTAAGTGTGATGAGCTTTGGATCAGGTTTAATGATTTGAGGGTTTTTGACTGGCTTCCAACAAAAAAGTATTATTCTGTTTGTCAATGCATATTCTGGAACAGACTGAATATTGATGTCTTGATTCCCATATTATTCGATATTTCTTAAAAATTTAATTTTCTCATTTTTTCTTTCATTGAATTTAATGATTTTTCATAAATGTATGCTATATTATATCGTCCAAAAAGAAAGGATATTCATTTAATTTTCATTTTTTTATTATTCAAATATCGAAAGGTAAGATCTGTGATAGTCGAAGTTGCACTATTTAAACAATTATAAAGGATATAAAGTTGCGACAATCAATGATACAAATTGGGTTCGTATTTTCCATCATAACACAACAAACTACAAGTTATTCAGCCGTGACAATAACACACTTCGAGAACAAGTCTCGTTTATTAACGAAACGGACCGATTTAGTGTTCTTGGCTCTATAGACGAACGATTTTACATCGAAAACACATTTAACTTTTTATACTACGAACCCGACACATACCCGAATGACTTTTTCTTTTTCAATCAAACAAACAATTCATTCAGAACAAGTTCAGCCACTGATGTCGTATTTCGTCCAATGAATATCCAATGCACTCTTATTAATGAATCAAAATTAACATTTGAGGGCTTATTCGTTTCTAATGAGACGTATGCGTATATAGATGGCAACACGTTTCATAAGTATTGGCATTACCAAATTGGGGCCACTCAATTTTATCCATATCCAAATAATAACACTATTCCTGGAGTACCTTGCAAACAAGGTACATATGTTAAATGTGTTGAGCTTTGGATTCGATATATTGATCTCAATATTTTTGAATGGCTACCAACCAAAAACTTCTACTCGGTTTGTCTATGTTCAAGCTGTAGCCAAATTAACTTTTCTAATTTCATTCTTTTCTTATTTGATATTTCATAAAAATTTAAAAAAATTGTAGAATCTTCCAGAAATGAGTGAACATATTTTCTCTTTACTTCATATGAGTGACGTTCATTGTATATTTCCATGTTCTGATCATAAGTGCCAAAACACAAAAATCATGTTCCATGAGTGTAAAAGTTGGAATATTTAAACAACTTTAGAGGCTATAAGGTTGCAAAAATCAATGGAACTGATTGGATCCGTATATTTCATCATGATGTAACAAATTTCAAATTATTTTCCGTTGAAAAGAGTAAACTTAAAGCTGAAATCTCATTTATTAATGAAACAGACAGATTTAGTGTTCTAGGCTTCATTGATGAAAGATTTCATATAAACAATACTTTTGTTTTTATGTACTATCAGCCACTATCTTATCCTAATGATTTTTTCTTTTTCAATCAGACCAATAACCCATTTAGAACAAAAATAGCAACAGATGTTTCCTTTAAACCGACATTTAATGAATGCAAAATAATACCTGATGGAAAAGTAGATTTTACAGGTTTCACTGTATCTGAAGATAATACTTCTTATATGGATGCTAATTCATATGGAAACCACTGGCATTATGCTATTGGGGCTACTGAGTTATGGCCAAATAATACAGTTAATGAAATTCCGGGTGCTCCATGTCAAGCGAAAAGAAAAAATAGATGTAATGAGCTCTGGATCCGATATAATGATTTAAATGTGCTGTTTTATCTCCCTTTAGGCATTCATTGTTCTTTGGGTAGAATTGAATCTTGGTATAGATTTGCCTTTGCGGTGTTGTTCCCTATATTAATTGATCCAAAATAAGTTATGTGCATATATGCAATAAGTCGACTATAAAATATTGGTACCGATTATTAAATATTGATCGCATCCAATTATAATTCTTTTGGAATCGGTTTATCATTGCTTGATGTAAAACCATATGTCCAATTTGCTTAATGAGATAGATCTATTTCTGAATTGCATACAGATAAGAGATAATCAAATTACTAAAAAGGCACGATGAGAATTAAGAAATTAATTCCTTCAATCATAAACTTTTACCAATAAATAAATAAAAGAGGAATTGTATCAAGGCAATTATGAGATTCTGAATTCTCTATTTCAGTTAATGTGATGTCAATTCAACAATATCTAATATTATATCCCTTTGCGATTACTTTCATGCATTCAAACAAGGAATATGGACAAACAGCCTTTCATATTTTTGTAATTATTGAGTTCCCTGAAAAACCTGTCTACAAAGAAATAACGCTTCATATTGCCGCATCTAGTTAGAGTATATAATTAGTTGAACCTCTTCTTTCACATACTATAAATATGAATGAAAAAGAAAATAATGGATAAACTGCTCTTCATATTGCAATAAAAAATTAAAATTAAAATAAATCAAACAATTTATTCATTTATCTTCAACAGAAGTTATAACAACTCTTCCTCCGTATCTGCGGCCAGACAAAGCAAGTTGTGCGGCTTTCGCTTCTGATGGAGTTGAAAATTTAACTTTAATCACGGCGTAATCGGATCTAATTGGTAACTGTTCAACTTCTACATCGAGTACATTGCCAAACTTTGAACATTCTTGTTGAATATCTATAATAAGTTCTTCAATCAAATCATGTTCAAAAACAATGACTGATTTAGCAATATTATAGATGTATAAGAATGTGCCTGACTCTGGTTGTAGTTTTTCAACATCTGGAGTGATTACAACTGAAGGATTAATATTCGTATTTAATATATCAATCAAATTTGGATTTTCTAGTAGTTTCCTGTTAATTACTGAATAGTAATTTTGTCCACCGTCTGCAATTTGGTTTCTGATGAGTTCATTTTGAGATATATCTAAATCATCTGGATTTTCATTGTAACAAACTCTTGCAGTGACAGTTTTATCTTCAACTTGTTTTCCATTGACTGTGTATGCTGCCAAATGTGCTTTATATGGATCATTTAGCTCAACAAAAGCATAATCTGTTTCTTGCTGTATAATTACTTCTTTAATTGGGAATTCCGGTTCAAATAAAGCTCTTATATTATCTTCTTGTATTGTTGTGGATGGAATTTGAACGTAAATCGGATTAGAATATTTAGATTCGCTTAATTGAAGTTCTGAAGCAACATTGAGATTGCCTTCATTATACCAAAACAAGTTAATTGTGTAATTGTTGATAATGAGTGTTTTTTCAAGTAACATGCAAGCTTCTGCATCTTTATGTGATTTAAATTCGATAATTGCGGTGAATTTTTGAGTCATGTACTCGATATTTTCTATTGGATCTGTATCTGTGATTAACTTACGTTTTAATAAAGTAGAGACGATTAAATTTTTGAAATCTTCAACAGAAGTTCCTGTTGGAATATTTGTTGCCATGATCTTTCTTTTTATTAGTTCTTGGTTTATTGGTATATGAGATGGAATTGCAATTCCATTTGTTTTCTTGATTTTTTCGACTAACTCTAAAATTTCGGGTTTTAAGGGCATTTTGATTCCTGGAGGAAGTCCTAATGTATAACCCATCTGTTCATATTCTTCTGGTCCAACAAACCAGCCACCTCTTAAATGTGGTGGATTTTGAAAAGATTGATCATACATTTTAATGGCTAAATATTAATGATATATAGTAGTTATGAAATACAAAACAACGTTATGATAAAAACATATGATAAAATCCGAAAAAAATCATTCGAAATGAAAAATATTAGTCAGATTTTTTGATTTCAGATTTAAATTGAATTAACATGTTAAAACATTAATTTTGGTAGAGTAAAAATGTGTTTTAATAAATTTGAGAGAAAATGATCGGGAAAGGTGACAACAATGAATACATCTGTTGATTATATTTTAGGCTCTTTGGAGCGTGGCTATTCCATAGAAATAGAATTATATAAAATAGCAGCTGCAATTGATGATTTCGTAAATTGTTCAAAGTTCAATCTCGTTCCTTTACACATAATTCGTCAAATTATACAAGACTCAAGCGGATTTTCCCCAAAATCTGCAGCAAGATTTATAGAAAAGCTAGTTGAAGTGCATGGTAATGCAGCAGCATCATTAATTTACGATTTTAAATTCAAAGAACAGAAAGATTACGTAGAAACATTTAAGAATTGCAAGAAGCTCGCATTAAACACTCGTGATGATATTTTCACCGCTATTACTAACAAAGATTGTTTTTCAATCAGATATTTTTTATTCGATCCTAAAAATGCTAATCTCGCAAACAGTGATAACGAAACGCCCATATTCAAAGCTGTTGCAAGTGGGGAAATTGATACAGTCAAGTTTTTAATCAAGTGCGGAGCAGATGTAAGACATACATCAAGAACAGGCAGTACTTGTCTCCATTACGCGTCATTAAACCCTACAACTGAGATTGCTGAGTTATTGATATCATACGGATGCCAAGTAAACAAAAGAGGAGAAAGATATCCGATTGAATACGCCATTTTCGATAATTCTATTGAACATGTTAAATTATATATTAACCATCGAGCAATTCTGATGCCAGAGCTACTATGTTTGTGTTGTATTTACGATAGATTGGAAATCTTTAAATTATTAGAAGATTTATGTCCTTTAACACAAAAACACGAGTTCTTATACTTGTGTTCTGTCAATGATTCCATTGATGTGATGACGTATTTGCTAGATAACGTACAAAAGTATAAATTGAATGTTTTTCAAATTCAAAAAGACGGAAAAACAATTTTTGGATTTGCAGCTGAAAAAGGATCCGATAGATGTTTGGCAATACTTGCTGAAAGGTATAAGAGTGCTCTATTAAGAGAAGATGACATCTTCAATCTCGCAATTAACAGTGGAAACGCGAAATGCGTAAAAATTCTTCATGAAAATGGATTTGATGTTACGAGTTTTAGTTTTTATTTGGCAGCGAAAAATGGTCATTACGATATCATGGAGTACTTCTTTGATAAGTTTGATGGTAATTATTATTACTATGATTCAAATGGATATGATGGATTGTTGTGTTCAATTTATAATAATTATGTAAGCACAACAAAATTTTTCATTTCGCATCAATTAAAGATTTCTTATGAGTATTTGAAAACAGCAATAGAAGAAGATAAAACGGAGATTGTGGATTTGATTACTGACGCTGTGGATGTGGATAGTAACCATCCTTTGTTTTTGGCAGCGCGCTTGAATAAGAAAAAAATGATGCTGATGTTACTTAAAAAAGGTGCAAATCCAAATGTAAGTGAAAATAATGAATGCTGTTTGACTTATTGTATTAAACATGGAACTCCGAAGTTGGCACAATTACTATTAGATTATGGTGCTGATCCTTGTTTATTTAATAAGGATCAGGATTTGATTCCAATTGTAGCAGCTTTTAATATGAAGATTGACATCTTGAAATTAATTTTGAATTATATTGATCCAAAGAAATTGGATACAAACATTCAAGGTATACTATTTGCATTGTGTGTAAAAAATCCAGGAACTCCAATCTCTAGCATGATATTGAAGCAATTTTGTTTTACACCAAATTTAGCGAGCGGAAAATAATTTTTATTTTTATATTTTGTATTGTATAAATAAATAAAAAAATAGTATTTAACTAGACTTATTTTCACAAACTCCGCTTCCAATTCTGTATCTTTTATCTCAATGTTCTGTGATAGTTATAGAGAATTAAACCATGAAAATATGTTTAAGAAGTCAATGCATTCAAAATGTAAATAGAAAGATGAAATTACTGTGTAAAAGAAACATATTCTGTTAAATTAGTCATACATTTGAAGTCTTGTAGATATTGCAAAAGTGTAAAATCATACTAACGAAATGTTCTTTGATATGAGCCAGAATGGAGTAAAGATGTATTTAAATCTAAATCCGAAACCATTTTGCCTTATGAATAATTGTGTAATAGGGTGTATATTCTATGTATAACCATGAAATATAACTATAAATTCAAATATATTCGTTGAATTGAAGAAATTGCATTTCATAAAGAAATTATATGTATTTTACTATAATAATTGAATAAACTAACATATGTGCATAATAAAGTCATTCAAAACATTAATATTTATACAAAAATTAAAAATATTTTATAAAAAATTTTCATAATCATATAAAAATAGTATTTACAGCTCTTCAACTTTTTCATCAAAGAATGCAAGGATGTCTGCAGAGGTAGCAGGTCCTTCATATTTAATTTTGTTATTTCCTTGAAGAAGAACCATGCAAGGTTCAGTAGATCCGCAGTATTTCTTTACTTCTTTTGGATTCTCAACAGGATCTATTGCTCTGATGTCGACATCTCTCTTTTCCTCGACTAATCTGATTTCTGTCTGATTGTAATGGCAATTTCTATGTGTATCAAAGACGAGGAACACTGGGTTCTCCTTTAGTATCTTTTCGACTTCATTTGGCTTAGCATAAGCTAAATGATTTGGAGATGTGTAAGGTAACATATTTGCGTTGTTCTTTACGAACTTGGTTAAGCCAACAACGTCCTTTCCTCCGAATCTCTGACCCATCTTTGAATGTGGAGCGAAGAATTGTGTTGTTGGTGTGCTAGATCCGTCAAATGCAGTGCAAACACTCTTATATCTATCGCAGTTTACTGTAGCAAATGTGATATTGGTGAATGGATTGTACATTCTTGTGACTTCATTCCAAACTGGTGAGAATTCGGCGCAATGAGGGCAATCTGGAGCATAGAAGTGAATAATTGCTGGTTTTTTCTGACCAATGATTGTGTACATGTTTTCTTTAGTTAATACTTCCGAAAATGGATGCGTGAATTGCTTTGTAAGCTGAGAAAACAGAAGAAACATTGTTAAATTTTTGATTGAAACAAAAAATTGACAAAATTTTATGAACTGCTCATGTAATGCTTTGTTTGTAATATTGTTATCCAACTGCTAAAGATGCCATTTATTGTTGAAACATTTCAATAATTATTCATTTCACCTCATCCAATGAACCAAAGAAACAAATTAATCCATTACTTCGGTATTGGCTTTTCTTATATATGGCAATACCATTTCGGACTGAAATATTTCGCTACAATCACTAATATTTGATGATGAATTATATTGTACCATTGTTATCAAAGATTGTTACAAAATATATACACTACTTTTAGAAAATTCTAAATATTTTGAAAACACATCTAGTTTAAAAAAATTAAATATCACAATGGTCTTAAAAGGCATCATCGGATCCATCGTCGGCTGGAAGAGGCTCTGCTTCATCGCCAGAATCTTGGATTGGGATGTTTGGATTGAAGGAGTCCTTAAGATCTGAAATTAAGACCTCTTGGCTCTTACCAATCTTCTTAGAGTAGCGGGACTGGTAAGCTTCGTTATTCTTCTTAACTTTCTCGGCTTGCTTTGAAATTTCTTTCTCGAAATAGTCGACATTGCGATAATGTTGGAAGTATGTCTTGAATAATTCGCCTAATTCCTGTTCGAGCATTTCGTATTCTTCCATATAAGCTGGACGGATTGTTTGAACACTCATCAATCTCTTTGATTGGCGCTCATATTCGTGCTTCCTTTGTTTAATCTTTGTATTTAAGGCATCCTCGTCAGAGTTAAGGCGATCTAACTCCTTTGTTAATTGTTCTAATCTAGCAGCAGCTCCATCAACTGATTCAAGAACTGACTTTTCAACTTCATCAAGAGAAGGAACTGTGGAAAGAATCTTGGTTCTTGTCTCACGAATCTGGACTTCTTTATCAAGCTGATCGTATAATTCAACAGAATGGCGAGGAACAGTTGCAGACAGCTGAGAAATTTTCTGGGTATTTTGGTTTTTAGGGAATGATGTTGTCTTTGTATCTGCAAGGCGGCCAGAGCTTGAAATGCCGCGATATATTGGAACAGCAATTTTAAGTAATTCACGAACTGCAAATCTATCTGATGCATATAATTTTCTTGGATTAAGCCTTATACCTGATTTAATAGCCATTTGCTGAACAATTCCTCTGACAAATTCAACACGTCCGTGTTCATTTGAAAGCTCTGCGAGGATTACAATTTCCGGATCATACAACGTTGCAAGCCAATGTAAGAGATTTGCCATCAATCCGAAGTTAGGTGTATCGAAAGAATCAATACCTACCGGATGAGGGTACCCGAGAATTCTAACGATCTCAGTAAACTGCCTGAGCTCTCGATAAGTCATTAATGTACGTTATCATTTACACTCAATTTCATTTTATTTTATAATTTGGCCCACAGCAATAAAGAATTGCATTGTACACGCATAAACAAAACATATTCATCATACAATTTCGAAAACAACTTGAAAAATCCCGCCAATTGATTCATTTCGTATTCTTTTTGTTTTAGAAATACAGAGTATATGTTAATGAGATTACCTTAACAATTCTGGTAGAAATTAGTATGCACAATTATTTCACAGGTCAAAACATAATCTGAAGATATTAAAAATTCTGACTTATTCTCAAGCTTTTTTATGGTTCTTTATTAGCTCCAACTGAGATAAGATATTTAACAACTTCAAGATGACCATTTTGTGAATCAATAATGAGTGGAATAATTCCGCCATTTTTTGATTCTTTATTATTATTCAACTAGCTGCACTTCAAATATGAATCAAAAGATTTTCGGGGAAAAATATCAAAATGTTTCTTCCCATTTCGCAACTATCCAGAAATTAATAAAATTTTGTTGGAGAAAACAAAACAATATCTGAAATTGTCGGCCGTCCTAAGTTTAAAATGATAGTACTCCCTGTGAAAACTTAATTTTTATTGAATTTCGAAATAGAAAAAGTATAAAATTTTGTATTCCGTATAATTTTTTACTCTGTGATTTCACCGCAGTCAGCGATGATGATCTTGGCCTTTGGTGTGCCAGATTGTGAACCTAATGATTCGATCTTCTTAACGATTTCCATACCTTCGATAACCTTGCCGAAAACAACGTGCTTGCCATTAAGCCATGGGCATGGAACTGTTGTGATGAAGAATTGGGAACCATTTGTGTTTGGACCAGAGTTAGCCATGGAAAGGAGACCTGGGCCATCATGTGTGATCTTGAATGACTCATCAGCAAACTTACTGCCGTAGATTGACTCGCCACCATAGCCGTTGCCAGATGTGATGTCACCACCCTGAATCATGAAGTTAGGGATAACTCTGTGGAATGGAGAGCCCTTGTAGTGGAGTGGCTTTCCAAGCTTGCCCATTCCCTTCTCGCCTGTGCAGAGGGCGCGGAAGTTTTCGGCTGTCTTTGGAACATCATCGCCGAACAAGCCAAACTTGATTGTGCCGGCATCCTCTCCATTAATGGAGATCTTGAAGAAGACTTTCTTTGTGACCTTTGGTGCGGAGATCACGCGTGTAGCAAAGAATGCTAACATTGAAGTGAAAAAGTGACGAGAATTTGCAACCAAATATAATTATCTCACTGTTGATGAAATATATGACTATCAAAGTTTTGTCGATGATTTTATTAATTAAAAATTAATTTTTAGATATTATTTCACATCTGGAATATTCATAAAAGTGCACGTTTAGCATTTATTTTTTCATGAAAACAAATCTCCATGATATAACAAAGAAAGCACTTTGGAATGTTTCTACAACGAAAGGTGGATATGAAATCAGTGCAATGTTCGATGGAAGCAACGAAACATTTTGGCAATCAGACTCTGTTCCACCTCATTACATAATTGCTCAGTTTTCAAAGAAAACATATATATCTAAACTTTCTATGTATATATCAATTCAAAATGATGAAACTTATACACCAGTTGAAGTTGCTTGTTATATAGGTTCTGATCCAAACTTGATGCAACAGTACAGTCGCGAAGAATTAAGCATTTTACAAGGATGGGTTGATATTCCACTTGGTATCTCTACAATTTTCCTTAAAATAGAAATAACTAAAAATCATCAAGGCGGTAAAGATTCAAGAATACGTCAAATCAAACTATGGGGACTTCCTCAATCTCTTACATTTGATACATCATGCTTTGTCACTTCAAATGCTACTCAATTCTTAACAATTCGTTAAAAAATCATTAGTTTCATTCTTGTTTGATAGTAAGTTAATAAAATTGTTATGTTAAATATTAAATTACAATATAATTTTTTGAAAAAATTTGAGATGAAATTAGATAAAAGAAAATAATCTGAATTTTTATTCTCAACTTAATATAAAGCTATCACATAAATTTCTTTAAGTTATTAAGGATTGATCCAGCGAGCTGATGTGTTTCTTTTTCTAAAACATTTTGGAATTTGTTTTGAATCATAATTTTTGCGCATTCTTCGGACTGTGAAACAGCCACTAAGTTCATGAGTGCGAATTCGACGAGATTACTAGGAGTCTTTGTTCTAACAATGTCAATTTCCGGAGCAACGATGTATTTCAAGTCCGGAATATAAGCAATTCTAATCAATGTGTCTGTTAGGACCATCAAGTTCTGGAGGACATAATTATCCTGCATTGCAATGCCTACTTGGTACCAATCTGAGAAAACCCCAGCATTAGATAATTTTAAGAGCAAATCTGGCGTCAATGAGCATCTTCTTATGACAGATACCAAAACTACTAATATAAATGGTATCTTTGACGCAATCAAATTTCTCATTAAAATTGGGAAGCTTTCGCGGTTGGCAACGTAAGGTCTCATTGGTGGGTATTTGAACAGGATCAACAAAACCTTGAGAGTATCGATTATTGTAGGTAAACTTGCATTACACCATGATTTGTCGTAAAGGAAAACGTTTGCCTGGTTGATAGATGTATCCGCGTACTTAAGAAGTACAAGACTTGCAAGTTGGCTCGTCCTTGCAGCGGCAATTAAATTTTGTGTTATATCTGTAGAGGCAGGAAGGTCCGGATGGCGTATGAATATGGAGAGGATTGGATTAACAAGCGATGGGATGTTCATGTGCCAGAGCATCATGTAGAAATCAAGCTGAATTTTTGGTTTGAAATGTTGGGCCAAAGCGTTGTAAGCTGCCTTTGCAGTTTCAACACTCTTGGTCTCTGAGAAAGCGACCAATTGCCTCAAAGCTGCATCTCCGTAGTTCATCTCAAATGATTGAACGTTTTTCAGCATGAAAGAGATGATTCCGATGGCTCGCGTTGCTGCTGGTGTGTCCTTGAACAATGATGTTGTTGGTAAAATGTACTGCATCACTGTAGATTGGATGGATTCCGGATCATTAATAAGAATTCTTATCAAAACAGCGGCATCGAGTGGTTTCTTCTTGGCCAGATAGAGAATTTGTGGCCAAAAGTTGGCGGTTACGAGTTTTCTGGCGCGTTGGAAGACGATAGATAATAAATCTGCTGCCAAAACTTCGCATCTTTGATCAGCGAATGGCATACCGTTGAAAGCACTTGCAGATATTAATGGTTCAATGAATTTTGGCCCAAACTTGATGCATAATCTGACAGTTGCGAGCAAAACTGCATATTGAACGAGAGGACTTGTATTTTTAGCCATGTAGAACGCAATGAATGGTGCAAGTGTTGCAAGATGCTGGTCCTGGATCTTTGTAAGAAGAGATTCGACGCATTGAAGGAATTGTGGCAAAGAAGGATTGGAAAGGATGCTCGAATCGACCGGCAAATTTCTTGATGGCTGCGGGAAAGGTGCAGGGGAGAACTCCCTAATCTCAGGAGGGGGGAGAAATGCAGGAGTAATAGATGGAGGTGGAGGAATGTTAGATGGCAATGGAATATCACCATCATAGTTAACTTCTGGTAAAGGATGTGAACCTGCTCTTGTCTTATTTGGCCTTGGTCCGAAATTAGTTGGCTGATTTTGCATCATTGGCATCGGAGGAGGTTGGTATGAAGACTGTGGGCCATTCATGATCTGCGCGAACGCTGATTGTTGTCTTTGCTGGACAACTGACATCGGATTTCTTGGAGGAGCTCCTCTGTAGCCATGGGGAGTGGAACTTTGGGCCATCGCTGGCATAGGAATATTCCCTTGTGCAGGAGGGAATCCCTGTGCCTGTGGGAATGGCTGTGGCCTCCCGAAATGTGGATTGATCATTGTAGAGTTCGGAGGATTGACACCAACGCTGTTATCAGGTGGTCTCTGTTCCTGTCTTTGTACGTAATCGATATCTTTTCGAGTTACTTCGCCTCCTACGTTAACTTTCGGAGCCAAATCGAGATCTTCATCGGAAGAAGGATCTTGTAGCTTGAGAACCTTTGGTGCTGGCTCTGGTTCCTTTGGTTTCTTCGGTTCAAGAGTGTCAAGAAGCCTTTGAATGTTGACTCTGACTTTTGATGAAACTTCTCTTGGAACTTCTGGCTTTTTGTCGTTCTCGCGGATCTGGTTGACGACCTTTTCGACTTTCTTTCTGTCGGCATCCTTCCATTTGGCTTTTCCGTCGGCAATTTGATCGAAAATTTCAGTAAACTCTGGACGATTGTTTGGATCTTGATCCCAGCATCTTGTGATCAAGTGCTGCATTGTTTTATGTGTCTTACGAGTGAATTGAGGGCGTTCTCCACGAGTAATTGCGTTAATTAACTCTGATTTTACTGTATAGCCTGTGAAAGCACGTTGGCGTTCAACCATTTCGTAAAGCATGACACCGTAAGCGTAGACATCGACCTTATGAGTATATTGTGTTGATTCAATTTGTTCTGGAGCCATGTAATTTGGTGTACCGATACCTTTAGAGCATTTTGTGCCATTTTCAATTCGAGCCAAGCCGAAATCGCAAATTCTGGGGATTTCTTTCTCATCGAGTAAAACATTTCCTGGTTTTAAGTCGCGATGGTAAACTCCGTGGGCGTGAATGTGCGCCATACCGTTTGCAATGCAAAGAGCAATAATGCACATGTGTGTTTCGGACATTTGTTTTCGATTTGCTCTAAAAATAGCTTCATCAAGGGAACCGTTTTGCAAATATTCAAGAACAAGGCAGTATGGAGGTACTGCTGAAAATCCAAGCATTGGCATGCAAAAACGGTTATTAATTAATGCCATTGTATGAATTTCACGAATTAGATGTGCTAAAGACTTATCTGATAGGTCTTCTTTGTATAATCTCTTGACTGCGCATTCTACTTTAAGTTTGGAATCGTAAGATTTGAAAACTTCGGCAGCACCACCTCTGCCAATCATACTAATTTCACTAAAATCATCCATATCAACTACAAGAGCTTGATGCTCTCGAACAAGATCGGCCATGGTTGCCGGAACTTTCGAAATCGTCATCGAAATGCTCTAAATAATTTTTTTTCACCCTTATCGTCCATGTATGAAAATCTTCTGAAAAACGCATTTTTTGAAGAATATTTTGGCTAAACGACTCGCATTTGAAACACAATGATTTCTTTTAAATTTCGTGGGTGACAGCTGTCAAAATGTTGTTTATTAATACATCCGTATTAATTGAAATTTTGAAAAAAATTGAAAAGAGTCATGGAAAGAAAAATAAACATTGGTTTGATCTGATAAATATAGTTCATGTTTCTGTCCTCATTAGAATTGTTACATTTGTCAATTGACATAACAATCTCATAATTTTCAAGTCCCTTTGATCTGTTGTCAGAATATGCGCTTTATTTTTATAGCAATTTGTCTACAAATAGTAACCCACCCGCTACCAAAACATATATTATTCCAAAATCACAAGTGCTAAAATCGCGCTGATGACTATTTATTGCTTAAATTTATATCATCTCAGCTTTGGATATGTATCTACGTAATATCTAATAGATATATTACTAATATGCTCAATAACGAGAACGTATCAAATATTTGTAATGATAAAATCGAAGAAATTTTTTCAAACAATGAGAAACAAGAAAAATATTTTCAATAAAAAGCATAACTTTTATATAACTCTAATATACAAACAAAATATACAAAATATAATATTAATCAGATGAATAAGAAACGTCAATTGACACTGATCTGGAAGAATCTTCTTCTTTATCTTTATAATTTTTCTTTTTCTCATCTTTTTCATCAGAATCTTCTTCGTAATCATATTCTTCACTTTCTTTCTGATCCTTATCTTCGACTTTTTGCTTATTCTTCCTAAACATGAGAACAATAATCAAAATAGTTATAACAATAATAACAACGCACAATATACTTATAATAAGAACAATTGCAACTGTTGCATGAGACAATGATTTATTGGAATCAGCTGTCAAAGTTTCTGTTGTTGTCATATTCCCTGTCAAAGTAACTCTTTGAGTAGGAGTGTTATCAATGTCTTTACCGATGAATATTCTACTCAAAGAAGGGCTCTGTTGTATTGGCGCTATTGCCAAGTAAGCCTTGATTGAACTGTCTGCGTAAAACCAACCTAATCTCACTTCCATTGTTGACATTCTACAATAACAGTTGTAAGTGATTTCGGTTGTCGGACACATGCAAGCGTGGAAGTATCCGTGTGTTAAGTCATTGATGTACACGGAGTAGTCAGTGTTGTTATCTGTTGTGAAAGAAAACCACGAGTACTGCATGTTCGGAAGGATTTTTGTCGCTGAAATATTGTAAGGAATTGTTTCGACTTTTTCACGACAAAGAAATCCTCTTGTACCATCAGGACACTCGCATCTGCCTTTGTCATTGTATTTGGATGATGTACAAATGACAGCGGATTCTTCATTACTTATCTTTCTGACAGCACTTGATGAAGTACTCGAAAAACCGCCCAAAATTGACAAAGCATATCTTTCATGGTATTTGTCTTGGTAATTATTAGCATAAACATAGAGTTTGTAGACACCTGGGTCAGCGTCTTGAAGAAGAATCCTTTCGTTGGTGCTGAGGCATTCTTCGGCGTAGTTTGTTCTGTTATTCGGATAAATGAAGTCGCCTTCAGTTGTTTCAAGGACAATTCCGATATCTGCAAATAAAATAAAAGTATTCGCAGTTGGTCGGTCGAGATAACTCATTGTTATGCTAAGATTCAGTTTCTTCGTGGTAGAAATCCTGTAGGTATGGAGTTCCCCGGGATCTAATGTAACGTTGTCGAAGAATCTCGAGGAAAGTTCTTCTAATCCGAGTCCACGACTGACAAATGGGACTCCGTAGCCGGAACCTGGTGTTCGGAAGTTACCTGGATAGAGCTGTATGCATGAATTAATTATGACGGCTCTAATGAGGTATGATGACGGTTTTTTAATGGATGGATATTTTCCTTGCATGAACCACTGCCTCACCAAAGCTGCGGAACCGCTAACTAATGGTGTGGCCATGCTTGTACCTGTTTTCTCGGAAAGTCCATCGATTCCATTTGATGTAGAAAGAGCCCTGGCAGATAAAATATTATATCCAGGGGCGGCAACATCTGGTTTGAAGATTCCATTGAAGCATGGACCTTGGCTTGAGTAAGGATGTAAGAAAATATCGTATTCAATAAGTAAATCTGAACAAATCGAAAGACTTGTCCAAGTTCTGATAATATCTGCATCTGAAGTAGCAACTCTCGCACAAACAATATTCTGTACTTTATCTCTTGAACATGACTCACTCGTATATAAGAAAATTGCAGCCTTTGCGTCAATAGCCCTTTGTAATTCCGTACAAGGATCATCTGTTGAGAAATACGCCTTACCTTCCTCAGGTTCATCAAAAGTGATGGGGATATCGCGATAAGTCTTCAGCTTTTCGCCTGTTGGAAAATAGGGCAAACTGTAATTTGGAGTACCAATGAGAAATACGCGGTCTTCTGTACCTCCCGATACGTAATATTTACGATAGAGTGGGTATTCGAAGTGAAATACGGATGGTTTTGATGTCATTCCAACTGTCAAGACGTTTTTAGTGTCTCCAGGCGAAAGAATGGTCATTGGGCCATATACGTTACCAGCCGAGAACACGAATAGTATGTCTGAGTTGTTATAAGCCATTGAATCGAAGTTTTGGGTAATTTCTTGTGAATATTCATTATAACTCCAACTATTTGAGAAAATTCCTGAATTAAATGTTTTCATGTTTGATAAAACAACTTGATAATCAAGGTATGCGCTTAAATCTCTGTTAATATTTGCTGATCCCATATCTAACATGTAAAGTTTAGCTTTTGGGGCAACACCTTTGTATTGGAATGAGTATGCTGTTGAATCATATGGTTCGCCAAGTGCAACACCCGCTACATGTGTCCCGTGGCCGTTTGCGTAATCTGAATAATCTGAAAATGCTTCAATGCGGATTATTTTCCTATGATATTTGTTGGTTTTGTTAACAAGTGTGGATACATCAAAGTTAGGGTCTACAAAGAAAGGATGAAGGTAATCAACGCCCGTATCTCCGATTGTGATGACTTGATCTTGGCCCATTATTCCAAGCTCATGGAGATCACGTCTGACAACGTATCCATCATTACTATCATAAGATAAATTATTTTCGTGACTCAGAATGAAGCCCGTAGCATATCTGTTATTTAAATTCATTTTCGGAGCGATTCTGTATGTTTTAATGCATTTGTCTTGTGAAAATATCGAGGGATCTGAAATATTTCCGACGTAATACAAATCATCATAAATTTTGATGAATTTATAGCTTGGTTTATATGATTTGCATGCTACAACAATATAATTTTCCATCGTAGATTCTAATAAGCGTGTCCTTTTTGAAGTATTTGTACACCATGTTGAAATAAAATTTTGGTTTTTAAATGTCGAGTATTCTGTTTCATTTAAGTATGAATAATATAAATGTGGGTAAACCATGTTCTCTATATTGAAGACGTTAGAGTGCCTTTCTTTGAAATCTGTTATATTTTGCATCTGAGTTACATTCGTAAGAAGCTGAATGTAAAACCACCCAAACAGCTGACTACAATTGTATGTATACTGCCGATTTGAGCTCGGATGAAAAGGTGAATCTAAAAGTCTTATTATTGGAAAAAATGTGCTCAGACAGAAAAGTTTGAGAACATTCCAGTGAAAAATTAAAAGTGCTTAGATATCGATGACGATCATAATGTGCTACTCTTAGTTGATGGGAAACCGCGGTATTTATTGAATTTCAAAAAATTGAATAGGATCTTTGAAAAATAAATCTTAGGTAAAGCCATCGTATTATCTGCATATTGAATAGGATATTCTTCATTATTAAATATCAGATAGATATTTCACGATGATATATAGACATTGTATTAAATATTTTTGAAAAATCTATGAAGATAAATTTTATTTAGATAATATCAATTGCTTTACATGAACTCATTCAGTGTAACTAAAAGCCTTCAGGAGTTTAGTTATTTTATTAGCTTTACATCTCTACTTATGGGGGTATATCTGATCAAAAAACGTCTTCTTGGTTATATAGTGTATGAATGAAAGGATCTTACTCAAGAATAAATATAAATTTGTTTCGTGCATTATAATGTTTGGTCTATACAAGAAGTTTACTCGTTGTTATTGAAATCATTTTTTTACTTCCGATTATAAATCCTATATTTTGCTGTCTTTTAATATGCTTATAATTGTTATATATGATAGTTGCTGCAAAACAGCGCAATCAAGAAAATTGAAAAATATCCAAATGAAAAACCTTAGTAGTAGATATATTGCTTGCTTATTTTATGTATTGTTGTGTGTACTGATTCCTTATTAGAAAAACAAAATCACATAATAAATTACTTTATGCACTGAGAAATATCATATCTGTTAGTTAATACCGAACTTATCATTGATGACTACGACAAATATTCATCTTTCTCCAAACAATTTCAGAAAATTGAACTCAAAAATTCGTGAAAAGTTGGTTAAGTCATTTAGGATCTTCAATGTGTATTCGAACAGACGAAATATTGTCATCGGAATGAGAAAAAGAAAAATCTGAATATTTTGCTGTCTTTAACATCATTTATGCTTAGGAAACTCTCGGCATAATTCAAGCATTCAAAATTACCTGAAATCCTGAATGCATGAAGGATACTTTATCCTTCTGTTCAAAGCTCTATTTCATGTCAATAAGCCATTCCTTTATATATCCTGCAATGAGCAAGCAATTCATTCCTTTGATTTATCATTCACAATATTCATGCTTACAACAAATTTCTTTTGATTTTTTGAATATTGGGATAACTCCTCTTCATTCAACAGCAAATTAAGCAGTTGATAAAAAGAAATTATTTACAGATCGCATATTTAGACATGCACAAATAAATGGAATGAATGTGATCATTTATCATAATAATGTAGGGAAGTTTCATATATATTATGATAAATTTATATTGATTGCTATAAGCACAGAATCCCATTGTTTTAATTCAAATAGAGCTTCAGATTTCAAATTCTCAATTTTCATTCGATACTAAAATAAATAAAAAATTTAACAAAATATCAAAACGAAAAAGCAAGCATTGTCTACATGTTACACAATAATAATCAATATCCTTAGAAACAATAGCAGAATACCGTGGAGGAAGCGTATTATTGAAGCGCGTATTCCCAAAAAACATCCGTACTGATGCTCTCATTGCTTTGGCTCCATTTTGCACATTTATTTTTAATTTTTCACCTTCAACCGGGATATAATCGATATATCTATATTGATCACCATATTGGAGCAAAAATGTATTTTCATATGTATTAATACAAACCATGTATTTATCATTTAATTTTGCATTCATGATTGTATTCTCTGTTGTTATTCTATTACCATTTTTTCCCAAAGCAATTGGTGAACGTTATCAATCATAAATACCTGAAGATCTAGTGACCGACTTGTAAACCCTACTACATATCCACCAGTTCCACTTTCCCATAAAAATTCCATGCATTTTCTTCCAGAAACAAAATGGTTACTTGTATAGCCTATGTAAGTTCCAGAAGCATAGTATAAGTCAAAGGCTTGATTATCAATAGAAGTATCAAGACTCAATTAAATATAACTCGATATTAAAAAAATTCTTATAAACGATTATTTTTCATTCAAATTTTCTGTAATGTTTTTTTTTTTTTTTGATTGTAAAACACAGCACACCTGAAAAATATAACATGATGAAAGGATCAATTAACGCCTTGTCTATATTGAAGACATGTTGATTATAAACATTAAACAGTAGATGTATATGATGTTGTAAAGTTTTTTTTATAATGAATTTCAAATGACTGATTTTTAATTGAATCATTTATATTTTGATAACATATCTGATGTTTGCATCAGATTACACTTTTCATTCCCGTAAACCGGATCTAGTCACTTATTTTCCACTTAAAAAAGAAGTTGAATTTATATTTTTATAATTGCGCTAGAACTAACTTGTAAAACGTAAAACAAGTTGTTGTTAAGCCAATCGGCCAAATGCCACTAGGTTCCGGCATTTTCCACCATATAATGTTGAAAATGGTCATCATTAATAACCCTCAAACGATCAGAATCATGTTAATTCCTTCAAATGGTAGGAAAACATTGGAAGACCTAACAGATTGGTCCCATCTAACTTCTTGTTACCAGTGGATTCGCTGCTTTTATCGATTGTCCAAAATGAATCTGTTTTCATCTTTGAAGATATAAGACCTAAAACTCAAGAAATTAAAATTTCCTGGTTTTTGGTTCTAGGTATCCTGGTTTTTGGAATTTTTTTGATAACATTCCTTTAAAAGTGACGCCAAATTTAGGATACCTCGATATTTATAACTTATGAAATAAGAAGTTTGGCTATTTCTTCATTATTATATTGTTCTGCAATATGAAGAGGGGTTTCTCCATTATCATTTTTTTCATTGATATGTATACCATATGATATAAGAAGCTCTGCTGTTTCTTTATTATCATTTAATGCTGCAATATGAAGAGCGGTTTCTCCATTATCATTTTTTTCATTAATATTTGCACCATGTGAAATAAGAAGCTCTGCTGTTTCTTTGCTATTAAATAATGCTGCAATATGAATAGCGGTTTCTCCATCATCATTTTTTTCATTGATATTTATACCATATGATATAAGAAGTTCGGCTGATTCTTTACTATTATTTTTTGCTGCAAAATGAAGAGCAGTTTCTCCAAATTCATCTTTTGCATTGATATTTGCACCATTTGTTAGGAAATATTCGCAAAGAGATGGGATATTAAACATCCATGAATAAGCAAAGCATTTGTTAATATCATTAGTCTGATCGTAATAAACTAAAAATCATTCAAGATTATTATACAATCCACAATAAAATAAATCTATCTCTATATTGTATTCATTCATCAAGAATGTAACAAAATCAATGTTGTGTGAAATAATTGCATATTTCATGCAATCATCATCTGGTTTTTGATATTTCAAACATTCACTCATGATCTCTTGATTTCCACCTAAAAATGATAATTCTAGACATTCTTTAGTTATTTTTGATTTAAATTTGGTTCTTAATAACTTGAAACAATCAACTGCTCCATGGTAACAACATAATTCAAGTAATGAATACCCTCTGAAAGAATATGGAAATAAATCGCTTTTCAGTGTTTGATCTTTATCAAATCCATCTCTTTCTGTGAATTGGATGAATCTTTCTAAGTCATTATACATAATTGCTCTGTAAATTGTATTTTCTGTATGAATATCCAGATTTTCTGAGTTAATTCCTTCGAAATCATCGGATTTGTCTAATTTAATTCCATATTCTTTATAGAACAAGAAGTTGTAAATAAGTTTAATATTTATGACCTCTTGGACATGATATTCATCAGATATGAGTTTGGCAAGAAATAAATATGACTTTGTATAGCGATTATTATACGGAATGATATTTAAAATATCTCGCATAATTATTTGTAGAGGATATTTATTTGAATCAATCAATTCTGTTTTGATCATTTTGTATATTGAGTTTAATTCTTCTTCTTTTTCTGTTTTCAGCCGATACAACGCAATATATGAATCAATATAGCATTTATAGATACTTCGTAGTTCGCTGAATTTATTTGGAGGAATGTCTTTGTCGGACATTAATTATTTTTTAAAAAGACATATTTGCATTTTAACGGATAAGTATCTTTTAAACTCATTACAAGAAAGAAAGATTGTGTTAGATATGTGGAAATCAATGATCACAAAGATTTCGGTAATAATTTATGAACTTTAATTGAAATCATAGGTATTAAATGACACAACAACAATATAAAAGTCGAAACCAATAGGATTTTCATTCAAATGATTATATTCAAACAAAATTGATAAGATTTTAAGTTTTGAATTTGTACTATTATTGTTTCGGTTTTTGTGATTCCTAATCACCATTACTTTACATCAATTAACTGTAATTCTTCCTGAAAACGTGCAAATTATATAAAGATAGAATAATTGTCAATAGATATACTCTATACATTGTTTCATTGACTTAAGAATCATAATTTTAGGAAATGCGGCTGAAAATAATATATCCCATTGAGACGGAATAATTTTCAATCTATTATCTTTACTAATGAGTCTAATATAATATATTATTATAGTCAACCACGATCTTAAAAGAAATCGTTGTTTCTTTGAAGATTTAATATCAGTGCGTCAAATTTACTCTTTAAACAGAATTCTTTTCATAATATAAGCATATGTTTTAGAACCAATGTATAAATATCATAATTAAAATTCTCAAATGTCATTCCTCGAAGAAATTTTTGAGATGCCAGTTTTTAGAAGAAATAAAATCACCTTAGTGAAAAAAATGATTATTGTACTGATGTGATTAAAATATGATCATAAAAATGTCGGATTCATTTTAAGGATTTTTCAAAAAAATTGAATGATAAAGAGGCCGTACGATAGTAAATTTTGAAATGATGCATCGGTATAAATTTGTCAGACCTAATTATATATTATTGTATTCGTCGTATTTAGCATATTTCATTGGGTTATTGATTGAGAAGTTTCTAGAATTCAATTAGAATATTTTGAATAACTAGCCTTGGATTTTTCAGAAAATTATAAATATGGAAACAGATCTCTTGTCCTCACACGCCCAAGATCCATTAACATACGATTCCATTGAAAAGGTCCATCATAGTGATAAGAGGAAAATCATCATTCTTGGCTTACTTTCCTTGATTTTTGTGGTCTCATTGATTGTTGCTGGAATTATTTACAGAGCGCGTAGTCATAGAGCTGCCGCTAACACTATCAGAAGAATTGCGCCATCAGAAGCTAGTTTCCTCTATTTGAACGATATTCATGCTGACCCATTATATTCACCAATTATTCCTTCTAAACATGACTGCCGTGGAGATCATAAGAAGACTATTGATCCTCACAAGTATGGACAGTACGAATGCGATTCCCCAATGGAACTCTTCGAATCTCTTGTTTCAAATGCCAAACAAACAAATGAAAAGCCCGCATTCATTTTGCTTGGTGGAGATTTAATTGCCCATGGATTAAATACAGATTCTAAGATGCTCAAGCAAAGTTTCAAAAATGTCACAGCTCCTTTAGAAGCAGCGTTCCCTAACACTAGCATCTATATTACTTTAGGAAATAATGACTTTGCATCAGATTACGGATCATTTGACACTGATGCCGACAATTTCAAGACAGCTTACAAAGTTTTCGGTAAATGGATGAATGACGAGCAATCCAAGACATTCTTGAAGGGTGGATATTATTATGCTGACTTCCCAGAAGTCAATTTAAGATTTTTGTTCCTTAATTCAGTAATGTACGCTGCAAAGAGAGATCAGACTCAACATGCTGAAGATCCATATGATCAATTTGCATGGATCGAATCTTCATACGATGATGCCGTTCAAAAAGGCTTCAAAGTCAGTGTTGCTTTGCATATTCCACCAGGCGTATATTATTACAAGAACAAACTCGGTTGGAATGAAGATTACATCACGAAATTCTCCAAGATCATGAAGAAATGTGATTTCTCGTTCATTCTTTCCGGACATTCTCATACAGATATGTTTCTTCCTTTGTATTCTCCAACAGCTGATAAGGATAGTGTCCTTTATTCATTAAGTGCTCCATCAGTATCTCCTGTTAACTATAACAACCCTGGTTACAGAGTATTCGAATTATCTAACGGCATTGTAAAGGATTATACACAATACTATGCAGATCTCTTGATGAATCCTTCTGTTCTCAAGTGGCAGGTTGAATATAAGTTCTCAGATGCTTATTCAGCATCAAATGTCACAAGAGAAACGATCAACAATGCTGCAGAATGGGTAAGAACAACAGGAGAAGGACAGTGGAGATACAGAGAGAGAATTTATACTAGAGCTGATGAGCACAATGCTTTCTATTATTGTGCACTCAAAGCATTGTTGCCAGATGATATTGTTGATTGCGAGAATAAGCTTAATATTGATAAGCTTAGCGCTCAGCCATACTACAAAAAAGCGGACTTTCTAATTTGAAAAAAAAAATGAAAAATTTCTTATGAAATTTTTTTATTTTGCATTAAAAACTTTCATATATTTGTGTACATGGTGTACATTATAATAATGTACATAGAATTAGAAATGCAAAAGTTAATCTTACCATGTTATTAAAATATTGTTTTGTAAAAGCTTATTTTCATGTCAAATTGTTTCTCTTTCTACACTATAGTGCTCTGGATATTGACTTTTCGTCAATAGCAATCATATGACTCAAGTTGATTTGCAATTTCTTTAAAAACATTCTCAGTTGCACCTTTAATGATTATCAAGTCTGTGTATCTATTTGTATTGGTATTTTGAGAACGCTCAATAAGGAGTCTTTCTTATTATTAGCGATCATTTTCTAACTCACATTATGATGGGATATAACACTTTCAAAGTTATCTATAAATAGTGTTTGGGTAATGCAGACTCGGGTCGATCTTAAAAACACGGCAATCGGCGCATCTTGTTATGGAGAAAAGATGATTTTGAATGTAAAAAACGAAAAATCTGTCAAAATTCAGAAATGAACATTTTTGTACGCTTCTGGCGATGGCTATTAAGCTTATTCTGGTCTAAAAGTATTTCTATGACAATAGTTGGTCTTCCATCTGCAGGAAAAACAACATTAGTCCGTGCATTTGCAAATCAAGATACAGAAGAACCTGTTGTCCCAACAATTGGAGCACAAAATTCAACAATGAAGATCGGAAAAATCAATGTAAATGTTCATGATATGAGTGGAAATAAAAACTCACGTGCATTATGGGAAGAATATTGCCAAAGAGCAGATGTTATTCTCTATGTCATCGATTCGTCTGATCAGGAAGCTGTACTTGCAAGTGAGAATCAGCTCTCTGAACTATTCCAGAATTTTTCATTATCTCGAAAGCCATACTTAATAATTGCTAATAAGCAAGATATTCCTGGAGCATTAAATAGCGAAGATATCATGTCTCGCTTGAAATTAGATTACGTTAGTGACAGAACTGTTAAATTATTCTGTATTTCTGCCAAAAAGAAGACGAATATCGATCAGATCATTGAGTGGATTAACAATGAATTTTAATTGTTTCTTAAAATATTAGATTTAATCTTCTATCCGATATATTTCTTTAAAATGAATGAAATTACTTTAACTTTTAATTAATCTAAATAGCAAACAAGTATTTGTAATTACAGAGGCTTAGAAATATCTTTAATGCAAAAAAAAAAAAAATAAACTTTATGCACTGCCTGCAACAGCGGATTGATATGAAGGAATCATGTATTTGATGTTAATGTAAGCTTCTGGACCACCGCTCTTTTCCATTTCTTCGAGAGTTTCGTGAATCAAATCTGAAAGATTGTTATGCTTGCGCTGGCTATATTCGATACGATCACCGATGTTCTTGTTATCAAGGAAGAATTCATTGAAAACAGGGAGAATCTGGCGGTAATATGGAACAAGAGCTTCACTAATGAGAGGATCTGCTTTGACAAGAGCCTGGATAACGGCCATGCAACGGCACAAGATTTCTGGTTCGCGTGTATTTAAGTCTTTCTTTAACGGAATAATTAATTGTGGAACAACTGCAAGGATTTTAGTTGGACCTTGAGCAATAAGATCAAGAGTTCCATAGTATGCAAAGTACCAGTATGGCTCTTCTGTTTCACGAAGGCCATCGAAAAATACTGGTAAATAGTGATGATAATCCAGAAGATCTGGAGATACTTTCCAGTGAATTGGACCTTGCTCATCACCGTAGTTACGTGAGATTGGAAGATCGCCACGATCATAAAAACGGCGGAATTGTGTAAATTCACGCGGCGGTTTAGGCTTTGGTGCCATTCCAAGTCCACATGATGTTACTGTAGCTTTCTTACGTTTGATTGTGCGTGATTGGACTGTTGGTTGTTCTTCTGTCTTTCCAAGGCGAGGCCTTTCTACAGACATTTTAGAATAAAAACGTATTTTTTTCCTAATTATCGTTGTTAAAAAAGTGCATTACATTTGAACGAGAATTCCTACTTCTCACTCACTAAAAATAGTATGAAGCTTTTCTATGAACCTTATAAGATGCTCTTCACCATTGTTTATTGAGGTTTGAATCCGAAAATATTATTTGAATTAAAAATCAAGTATTTATATTCCCATATATAGCTATTTCTTTGATTTCTTGTGCATTGCCATTGTGGTCTAATTGTATACATATTCATAACTTGAGACCACAAATCATTAACTGCAATATCCACTAGATGGATTTCGGAAATTCCAAGGTTTACATAAGAAAATGTGTTATGATTCAAAAGATTAGTTTAATATTTTAAAATATATTCTTGTAATAGAATTATCATTGGATTTGAAATATGTATTCAGACATTTTGATCATTAGAAATATATTATTAACTAATCTAAGACTTTTTACATAAGCATTTATTTACTAAAAAAACTAAAGTACATAAAAATAAACATATATTATAAGTATTACTGAATAGTTTGCTTTGTCTTCACCTTAACTTGTTCTTCCACATCAAAGAAATCAGGTAGAGAAGATTCTTCAGTCAAAAGGTTTCCATTTCCTTTAACAATGACTTTTTCCTCTCTATTTACAGAGCTAAATGAAGAAGAAACAATGAATAGAGTTGAATCTTTTTGAAGTTCAATTGAAGAAGGCAAATTTGGTTTAGAAACTCCATCATCGCATTGAACTTTCACATTTTCTGTTACAACTAATTCAAAATCTCTATTTTTGAATGTTGTATTTTCAAATGGATCAACTGCTGTCACGTTTTCATTGTCAAAAATTAACTTTTTGATTTGGTTTGTTAAGAAAGTAAATTTATTGGATTTAATTATATCCAATGTTTGTGATATTCCACATACAACAAGTTGATTAGTTGTTATACTTGTTGTATTGATAATATCGCTTGAAACTAATTTCAACATTTCCAAAACATTGTCACTTTTTGTGTAACATAAATTAATACCATTCAAAATCAATTTTTCTGTTTGACAATCCAATATGACGTCTTGTATTGTAACAAGAGCGAACATCTCTACCTGGGAGAACTTTATTCTTGATTTGATTCTCAAAGGAGAGACCGGATTCGTGTCACAAATGTAAAACCAAACAGAATTCAATGCGAAAATTTCGACAGAATTCTCAGAATACTTCACTTGTCTTGCACCGCGTGGACACGATTCAGAAGACATCGAATCTGAGAAAAGACAGATATCTTGGGACATTACTGTCTGTGTGATTGTTGGGTCGATGTCATAGATCAATTCTGGAAATGTGTCGTATATAACAACTTCTGTCATTCCTTTCAAAAATCCATGGGATTCTGATCTGACATTTATCCATTTTCCATCGAAAAACACGATTCCTTGCTTCATTGAGATTGATGGTATCAATGATGCTGTGTCTGAATGTGTACTCATGTTAAGATAATAACTACTCACGAGAAGATAAATGGATCGGATCTTTCTCGTGTCAAATTTCGTTTTTTCGTTGTTTTTCTCATGGAAAATGTAGTATTTCTCGAAAACTTCGATTCCTTCAACATCCAATGGCAAATTAAGTGTCAAGTTATTGATGTAATTGTCATTGAAACTGTCTAAAATGTCTTTGGACTCATAGTTCAATTCGAAACTCGTCAAATCGAAGCCTTTCGAAATTTTGGAAATTCCTTTTGCTCGAACATGATTCACTCTGAACATGTCATTGATATTTAATGTAATGTTCTCAAGCTCTATGTATTCTAAAACAGATTTCGTTTTAATAATTTCGATGGTTTTGACAGAATTTGCCAATAATTTGAGAGAAAACAAAGAAAATGATTCCCCGTCAATTATGACTTTTTCTGGCATTATGAGTAACTCCATCTGTTTAATGGACGAGTCGAGGACTAATGGCTTGTTATTGTACTGCAATTTAGTATATCCGGACGGACAAGAGTCATGACGACCGTGGACGCAGATTTTGGCAGCAGAATTTATGTATTCTTTGGAGAATTGGAAGCCATCGTGGACAACACCGAAGATTTTAATCGGAACATCACTCGTCATGTTGGCATTGGTCCTGTTTGCGGTCGGAATCGTTTCCCAGGATGAATCAAAAGTAACTGAAGGGTCATTTCCGGCGAAATCGATATTTAGAGGCTTGGAACATATGTAATTACTACCATACGGAGCGAAAATGACTGTATGGAGGATCGTTAGTGAGATATGGTCGTAATACGTATAATAAATCGGAATTTCGTTGATGTAAATTACATCGTTTCTGAAATAAATGGTTGACATGTTCTCATCGAGTATGATTATGTCAGTAGTTGGTCGTAATTTGTCTTGTATGTTCTTATAACATTCTAAAGACAAAGTTGCGTGGCTAATGTTCATTGTATCTGATAATATGGTTGAAGATCCAATCATTGATAAGTTATAAACAGGAATATTCGTCTGAGAGAAAACATAAATATTGGTATTAATTAAATTCAGCGTTTTGATGACTTTTTCGGCATGTATTGCAACAAACTGTGTATACTTAGCCGTAATTGTCAACTTATCAAGCGATGCGACGTCTTCATCTATAGTTGGCATATCTGATGGAGTCGAATCCGCAATAAATATTGTTAATTGCTTGGTATACGACTCCAGGACCTTCATACTGATCTTCTTTGAGGAGTATTTGAAAGGAATGTACGAATCCGGACAAGATTTCGGATTTGATTTGTACAAACAATAAGAAGAGTCAGAGAAAAAGCTGACAATTGGTTCTTGGTCGAAAATAAAAATATCCGGAATTACATTCCTCGGAGTAAAGACTTGTGCTGGATAAGCATGACGAGTTGTGATATGGCCTTTACTGGATACGACAGGGTTGAGCTCGAACCAATCCTCGGAGAAGGAGATATAAGTTGATAAGCTGAGGAATTCTAAATCTGGCATTTTCGGCAAAAATACACCAAATCGGTTAGTTGGAGCAATAGTAATCTTCGTAGCCTTCTGGGAAGCATGGATATATGTGATAGATGCAAACATTGAGAAGTTTGCTATAACTGTATATTGAGATGTCATTTCGAAAACGAAATGGTCGGGACAAACGATAATGTTTGATATTGGCTTGGAGTCATCGCTTGAAACTAACTCGATTCTACGCGTCGTCGATGGAGTTAAAAACGAAACTAAGTTAAAATAGGCCGTAGCCAAGATTTTCATAAGATTATGGACATCTATCGGCTTGTTCATTCCGGCTGTTTGGATTTCGGATGTATCTGAGATCAATGTTCCGATGATAATCGAATCCATTTCATCTACAGTTCTGAAATTGGTTGTTAAGTAGTAGATTTCGAGTTTCGGAATAATAACATTAGGTCTGAAAAGCAAGGTGATCGTATTTGAGGACTGTGAGTATAATTTCACATTAATTCCTCCGAAACAATGCATATCGAGGATAACATTAGGGGAAACTACCTTTATAGTGCAATCTCCATACGGATCAGGCAAGAATATTCTACTCAAGACCTTATCTGAGTTTGGTATAACTTGTTGATCTTGTCCGCATTGGGATGGATCATCAGAAATGCAATATCCGGAGCTGTGAATTCTATCTGAGTGGATATATTCCTTTAAATCGAAGATCTCGAGCAGTTTCGTAATTGATGATTTCGAATGAATGTAATTTATCTTAGTTGGATGGAAGAAATCACCTCTACCGGACTTAACACCAATATTGTTGTCTTCCCAACTCTCGTCAAAGTCGTAGTTGACAGAAGATTCGTTCAAATAAATTATTTTAGGGAAAAACTCCAATTTGTACTCATAAGGAAGTACTGCTCTTATTTTAATTTCTTGGTTCTGTTGATACGGAAGTACAAAAGACAATTTCAAGAGCTGTTGGTTCGGAATTCGAAATGCTTTGCCAGCAAACTGGATTTGGAAGCTGTTTTGCCTGAAAACGAGCTCCTTTATTTGGTGGCCTTCCTTGAAATTGACGTAGGTGTAGTCAACTTGGTCATCATCCAAATCATCAATTAAATTGAAGTTATTTGAAGGAATAATGAGGTTATGGCAGTGGAATCTGCAGTCCTGGAAGAAGTCAGTTGGTTCCATGCATTCCAATGTCGAAACATTGAAAACTGGAAGGTTTTCGTCTTTGAAATTTAATTTAACTTTTTTTCCAAGGGTTAAATTCTGAATTGAGAGCTCTGAACCGATCAGTTCGATATCGGCGTTCTCAAGAAACATGTGTGCAGGGCCACCATGTGATAAATCCACTGAAATTTTTGTGATGAAGTCAGCTCCAACGATTGAGATGGTTCTACCTGCGAAATAGGCTGCATCTATCTGTGCTTGTGTTGGGTAGGTATCGTATATCAAGAAGTTGGCCAGTTTTAACGTGTTTGGAATTGGATATGTGATTGGACCGCCCAAATTGTACTTCACGAAGGCGCAATCTTTATTTTCTGGTATGTTAACGTTGTAGAAGCAGAATTTGCCGTTGTATTTGGTGGTATTCTTAGTAATATGTCGAGCATAAATTTTATAAATGGATGGAGTGATATCTTCGATGTTTTCGAAGTCAATTGTAATTGAATTTTCCGCTCTGATAGTCCCTGGACCAACAGTTGTAACAGGAGCCGCTCCCCAAATTGGATTAAAAGTAATGAAAGCATCTGGTGAAGAAAATTCGATGCTTGGTATCTCTTGCATGAATATAGGTATCGGGGCTGACTTTGTTAGCCTAACTGTTGACTTTGCTTTGAATAAAATCGATTTAAATTTCATTGTATTAATAAAGATCTCGGAAGCATAAATACCTTCATTAGCAAACTCTATTACATCGTTTTCTTCTAATACAACTTCAAGTTTAAATGAAGGATTCACAAATAACTCTTCATAAATGGGAAATGTAACCATAGATGTCCGAAATACATTTGTAATCGTGAAGTTTTTAATTGTAATTAGGTTTTTCTTGACTCTATCGCGAAATTCGATATCTCCATCATTGCAATAATTTTCTATGATAAATGAGCTCTGCCTGCTACCATAGAATATAACTTTAGTCGGGCTATCGAAGATTAATGATTTCATATTGAGATCATAGTCCTTGTATAGAAAAGTAAAAGAATATCCGCTAAAATGAATGCTTTTTTGGTTCAATTGCTTATTTGAGAACTCAACGATATCAATAGGTTTGACTGATTGTTGAACATATATTTCAATATGTCCAGATACACTTGGTTGAAAAGTGTATTGATCAACTCTATCCAGCAAAACGTAATCTGTTGCTCCTTTACATTCTGATTTGTATCGACTGCTCTGAATGAGACAGTACTTTTTGTCTTCATAGAATGTAAGGAAAAGAAAAGAAAGCATTTTTGAATTTTTTTTTATTGTTTATATAAATTTCGTAAGTTTAATACGTTTGTTTTAATACCATAGAATACCTTTGTTGATTCAATTCCATAAACAAATGAGAAAATATTGATATGACAATGTTGAGAAATTCAATTCTAATGATTCTAATAGAATTGTTGTGAAAAGCAAAAAAGTTATATTTGGAATTCATTTATCTCAAATATTCCTCAGCAATAAATATATAAATAATTAGTTTATTATGATAAATCTATCTCGTTTGTAATAATTTCATCAGTGTGGATTGAAAATGATTCACCAGAATCTTCATTGTCATCTTCATTGATATCAATTGGAACCAAATTATGCGGTCCAAATGGTGGGGGATTTTCATCATCCATATCATCAGAATGGACAGATATTGTTTCACCCGAGTCATCTCTATCAATTTCTTCACTTGGTTCCTTAACAACCTGTTTAATCTTCGGTTCTGGTCTAATGAGAAGAATGATAATAAAAATAATGAATAGAATAACTGCAATTATGCAAGCAACAACAACTAAAATAATCCATCTTCTCTCAACAAGGATACGTAAATCGACATTACCAGCTAAAGCTGCATAACTTCCTCTGATTTTAATCATTACATAAGTAGAATTGGATTCAGCACCAAACTTATCTGTTGCCCAAAGAGTGATGTTATAATCATCATCTTTGTAATCACTTGGGATAGTAAGATTGAACTCGAAATATGTCCAATTTTGACCTGTTTTTGTTTTATTTATGATATTGACTTTGTTAAATAATTTTTTTTCATCTGGATAAATCTTCATGTAAATGTTTGCCCAGTCGCCAAAATTCGAATCTTTGACCCTGAATTTTATTGTGATATTTCTAGTTTGGTAATATTCGTTGTCTTTTTCTAATTCACTCTTATTTGTGTATTCAATTTGAGGTGCTCTGTTTCTGAATGGAATTTCCGCTGTGATATTTTGGCCTTGGCCATCTGAATCAATAACTGTGACGTTGATGATATATGGTTTTGTGATTGGATGATCTTCAGGAATCTTAATATCGATTTCATAAGGATTGTTATTGCATTTAAGTTCAGGTTCGTTAATTCTACTGCAATCTGCTTGTTTTGAAATGTTTGTTCCATCAGGGAGATTGATAATAATTGTAATATTCTTATCTCCATCTTTGTCAGAGACTAAGAACTTAGGACGTGCAAAGTTGCCAGGGATTGTTGTATTGGAGTCTGTCCCTTCATATTGGATCACAGGAGCAGTGGGAATATAGATCGATGTTGTGTCACTTGATGAAAGATTAAAATAATCCTTTGCAGTAACTATGATGCTTTCATTACCTCCTTTAACATCTGAAGGTATGGTTATAGAAAGGTTATGGTTTGCACCTGATTCGTTTGTTTGAAATGCATCATTGAAATGGAATTCTTTATCTAGGAATTTAACTATAAATGTAGAATTATCACCTGGATCATCATCTTTAATGAAAACGCTCAAATTAATTGTACTTCCTGGAATAAATCGTTTTCTTTGACCCTCATTGATCTTAATTTCAGGTTTCGATCTGATTGAGAAATTCAATTGTACTGGTTCCGATTGAAGTCCATATTTATCAACAGCTTTTAATATGATATTTGTTTCACCTAATAGGTTATTTGGTATTTGAATATCCAAATCAGCATCAGTTTCTTTACTATTTGAATAGAATTTCTTTGTATAATTTTTTCCATTAATAAAGAATGAGAACTCTTCTTCTGCATCATTATCTGTGACTTTTACAGAAATAGTGTATTTTTCATTCCTTTGAACAATTTGAGGAATTCCTTTTTCAATTTGAATTTCAGGTTTATTCCTGATTTCGACAGTCAATGTGATGTTCTGTGATGTTATGTTGTGACTGTCAATTGCATAAAATGTTATACTGAAAACACCGCTATATTCTTCAGGAAGAGGGATTTCGACTGGTACAGATGCTTGATGTGTAGATTGATTAATTGAAGTTCGTGAAACATTAACAGGTTCTTCAATGCCATCATAATGATAGAATAAATCACAATAATCATTTTCATCATTATCTTCTACCTTGATCGTAAATATTGCATTGCTCGATGGTGTTTTGATTTCTGATATGTTTTCACCTGTGATAACTAGTGGATCAACAATGTGAATTGTTATATTCAGGTAATTTGATGTCATTTCGTAATCATCTTCAACGATAATACTAATATTGTTTACACCAAGATGAAGTTTATCTTTTTCGATGATAATATAAAGTGGAGTGACTTCTGATGCTCTATTAACACGACCACTATAATTATTATAGTTTTGATCATCGATGGCATACTTCATTTGGAATGAATCTGTTGGATCTTTATCTTTGCAATCGAATGTGATGTTGAAGACATCTGTCATCAAATATTGTTCTTTGTGTTTGATATTCGATATTTCAGGTTTATTCCTGATTTCGACAGTCAATGTGATGTTCTGTGATGTTATGTTGTGACTGTCAATTGCATAAAATGTTATACTGAAAACACCGCTATATTCTTCAGGAAGAGGGATTTCGACTGGTACAGATGCTTGATGTGTAGATTGATTAATTGAAGTTCGTGAAACATTAACAGGTTCTTCAATGCCATCATAATGATAGAATAAATCACAATAATCATTTTCATCATGATCTTCTACTTTGATCGTGAATGTTGCATTGCTCGATGGTGTTTTGATTTCTGATATGTTTTCACCTGTGAGAACTGGAGGTTCCCGAATTGTAAGAACTAAAGTAGCATTTGTTGTAAAGTTATATCTATCAGTGACAACAATTGTAAGATTGATAGTTCCAGATCTGGCAGTTGATGGTATCTCAATTTGTTGCAAATCACCGTTATAAACATGTGTTGAGCTATCAATTAATATTGATTGGAGATGTTTCTTACTATTTTCATCATTATCGAAATAGTAAGATATACTTTCATTTTCATCTTCATCAAGATCAGTAATTATAATATGTGGCGAAATTTTAGAACCTGGAATGAAGAAAGACTCATTATTCGATACGATAATAGTCGGTGGCTCAACGATCATAATTAAAAGACTTATAGGATCTGATTCTATTGAATAATTATCAACAACACTTAGATTGAAAATATTCCTACCTCGCTTGAGCTTATTTTTATCTACCAGGAAACTCATTTTTGTTGTATCACCTTCTCGTGGTACTCTTTCCCCATAATTTTTGTATCCTGCATCATCTTCCATTAAATATTGAATTTGGAATGAATCAGTTGAGTCATGATCAATGCAATCAAATAATATATTGATAGTTTCAGAAATTAAATATGTTTCTTTGTTCACTATATTTGTCAAAACTGGTTTGTCTCTTATCTTGAGAGTTAAACTGTGATTTTCTGATTTTAATATATCTTCGACTGTAACACTGTATGTGATTTGAAAATCACCGAGTTCAGCTGTAGATGGGATTTGATATGAAATATGAAATGGTTTATTATTTGTTATCAATACAGATTTCTTCTCATTAACATAAACAGTATACCATGTGTCAATTTCTTCTAGAATTGGGAAGACAAATGTCAAGTTTGATTCATCATTTGGATAGTAAAATTCTTTATCGTGCTTAACAAAATTTATGTCCATCTTTTTTCTAACAGCATAATCAATATTGAATTCGGTTTTTGAATTTTGAACGGTTCCATCTATAACATATAAATTTAGCGTATAATTATGTCCAGAAGGCTTAATAGAATGTAATTTAGTGGTTCCTTGAGTACTTTCTTTCTGATGTTCAAAATAATAGTTAATAGACTTATTATTTGGCCAACCTATTCTTCTCCTTGGTGATTGAAGAAATATTTGTGAATTATGATCAGGATTATAATTGGTGAGATTTATTACAATTGGAAGTACAGTTTTGGGTGAGTATTCAATTATCTTTGGTTCCATAACAGCTTTATGAACCTCAATTGGTAACGCAATAAAAGCTGTAAAATTTCCTATACCTTCAACTACGCCATTCTTGATGAACTTCACATCGAACGAAACGGAACCTCTTGGAAAGTAATTTTCATAATCTTCATCCATGTCCAAACCAGCAGCTCTAAAATATGGTTCTGAGTCTAAATTCAACTGGTATTCATATGTTTTACTTGATTGATTAATTGTATAAACAACTGTATAATTTCCTGTAAAATCATCTACATTTTTTATTTCGAATTGGTTTCCAGTCATATCAAATAGATCTCCAAATGGAATGATTGGTGATTCGAAATTTATCTCAATAATTGATAGTGCAGCAGCCAATAAAAAACACAACATCAATGAAAAATAAATTTCAATTAAAAAAAAATAAAATTGAATTATGTCATATATATGTGTGAATAACAATATGGTAACTAAAATTTATTTTCTGACCAATTTCAAATAGAATTAAGTCCAATTTTGAATAGTCATTCAAAACAAATAAAATAATTTATTCAATTTGATTTAGAAATTCCAAAAGCAATATCTTTAAATTCTTAAAATGAATTCAAAACATTTTAAAAAAATTGAAGTAGCTCTCAAAAAATCTGAGTGAATCGACACTTAAGTGATCTTACAATTCATGAATTGCTAACTTAAAAATAAAACTCTGTCACATAATAATTGTATTTCGTTGGAGATAGATGACACGTAAAATTAAATTTTCAACATAAAAATATTGTAATTCCGAACGACAAAATCTTATATAGTTTCGTTATATATTAAAAATTGATAATTACAAAAATTTATATTAAATTAATTATTCAAAACCAAAAATTCAATTAATTAACATTATTAGCTTCACAACATAATATATTGATATTCTACATCAAATTGTGAATATTTTTTTTATAAAGTAAATGTATATTTTGTAAAGATTCTTTTTAAGGATACCCTTACATTGCGTAGTTAGAAAGAGAATATGATATTGTCATGATTGCTAAAGTTTTAGGCTCCAGAAATGAATATACATCAAACTGAAACAATTGATAAATTGAATGAACTTTTGAGAGGTTCTCAAATAAAAAAAATTATCTAATTTTTTACAATATTACTATTATTTTATCCACATATGTATATATAGTAATTTGAGAAAACTTTGAGGAAAAAATAAGTTTAATAAAAATCTGAATTTTACTTGTTGTGGGATTGTTATTAATTGACACTCCAGACGTATTACTAATAGTTATGCGTATGCAATTAAAGTATTTCTGATGGACAAAATGTGAGATTTATATCAGATAATTCATTTCTACTATTAAGTTATTCATTTATGAGTTTGCACTTATTCGCACTAAATAAATAACTATTAAAAATTGTTTTAATTAATTGACACCATATAATAGAGTGAATTTTGTTTGATCAAACAACAATAGATGATAGATATAAAGCCAAGAAACTTGCTATTAATATGCTCTACTTGCTATTTCAATGTAAGTATGATATTTTCTAAATGTTTCGTTCAGATAACTTAGATATATTAGTCAAAATTTGAAATTTTAATAGCACATATATTAAAAATAATTATTATTCATAAAAGATTAATGAAATAGTAAAAAAATCAATCAAATTATAAAAATACAACATTTAGAAGAATTCTTATTATCCTTCAAAAAGTCAGTATTTCTGCTGTAATTTTCTACAACATTGTAGTTATTGCACTTTGTCTATGGATTTGTATATATGTTATATATAAATTATATATCTAAACTGCCCATAAGTGCAATTTTTATATAAATTGTTTATTTCTTTAACAATTTCATATGAAATATGCTTTTTTAAGCGTATCAAAGCTGTGTTCTTAATGTGCATGGATATATCAAGAAAAATGTCGAAAAAAAATGTGAATTCACAAATTCACTGAATTTTCACCGTTTTTTGAATTTTGCTACAGCACTAATATTAAATAATACTAAAATCTTCTGTCTTTGTAAAAGAATAAATTCTGACAAAAAGTGCTCGTTTAAATTTAATGATCATCTGTATGACTAAGTGGTAAAAAGTGTTTATGACCAAAAAAGGGTTACATGCTTAGTCTATTTTTCTGACAGGATACTCTAGATTTACATGATCTCTATTTCATATCTCCGTTTTTAGATTCTTCGACAGATTTTATGATAGAAAACCAAGATTAACAAATTTCCGGCATGTTAATGAAGAAATCTGCAGCTACCCTCAATATTATTTCAATAATCAGTATCGTTTCTCTTACAATTTATTTTTTTCTCAATAATTTAACAAGAAATAACAATACACACTTGGTTTTACGTATAAAAGCTAAGTGTCGAACTTAATCAACTTTACTTACTTAGCAAATGAATATTTTTGTGGTTGCGAGTTCTGAATGCTGAAGTTTTAGATTTCTCTATAAATGATATCATTGCACTTACAATGTTGTTCCAGCCTATCGCATAAATCATAGAAAATCCAAAAAAAAATAATATAAAGAAAATTCATGTCATGAAGTTCAAAAAATACCGTGTAACATTAAAATTTGTTATGCATAATACATTTTAGCTATTATTGATTTTTTTTAATTTTCGAGAAATTGAATGGTGAGTCCGATAGAGAAATTTTTAAAAATCCTAGTGCCTCATAGAAGTAATTTCCCTCGTCTCCCATACTTCCAAATGTATGCATATGACATAAACTTTTATGCATTACACAAGTGGCCAATAATATCTATAGAGTAAAAAATTAGAAATTTAATTTTTTTATATGATAGTTATATTTCAGATTTGCGAGCGTAACTTTTTTCTCCATGGCATACTTGTTTTAAGAGCAAATGATCAAAATCGTCCTTCAATTATTGAAGGAGCTGATATCTTTTGAAAATTGAATTGAAAGGGTATTCAATTTTCAAATTTCCTCTCAATTTTGGAAACATATCAACTCTATGAATTAACAATTATGTGCCTTCACAGTTTATCAGTCATATAAGGTGCTTATAAAGAAAAAAGTTACGCTCGCAAAATATGTTTTTATATAGATTTCACATAAAATAATTATGTAATTTCTAAAAAGAATATTTTTGTTCTTGAATATTAAAGTGTATTGTAGTTTAAAAAGTTTTAAATATGTTGCTAAAATTTCAGGTTTATAGCTCATGTCTAGCATGACTTCTTCGTATGCGCAAAAAATCTGACACGTAAGGGTATCCTTAATAAAAAAATAAAATTTTGAAGAAGAACACAAAATCTTCTGAAAAATAATATCACATAAACTCATATTATTTTCTAATATATAACTATTTTATATAAAAATCAAATTCAATGATCTTAAAAGCGAAGGATAAACCTCAAAATTTACGAATATAATGCTTATCTATCATAAAACCATATGAAATATCAATTTTTGCTTTACGCCTATTCCCACTCATTATATTCGTAAATTTTGAGGTTTATCCTTCGCTTTTAAGATCATTGAATTTGATTTTTATATAAAATAGTTATATATTAGAAAATAATATGAGTTTATGTGATATTATTTTTCAGAAGATTTCATTCTATATGCCTATGAAAAGTACTCTCAAAACTAACTTTTTCCTAATTATAATTAAATCTAGAATATTGTATTATGCTTAGTATTATTTCATTTTTCTCATTCAATTTAGAATTTACAAATGTCAAAAAATTGAGAGATGTCACTTTTGATGAATTTCTGTTTATTACACACATGTACTATTCAGCTCTCTTAAATGTCTCAAACTATGTTATTGGTAGATCCTGAAGTCGATGCCAAACTTTTTTATTAGTATTTTTGTGTAAAAACAGTCTTAATCTCTTCTTTTCTTCTTAAAAATATGCAAATGTCTGATTTTTTATTTTTTCAAATCCATGCCAAATTTGAAATTCTTTTTATTTTATATGTTCTGAGTATAATAGTTTTTGTCAAATATTTTCTTTACAAAGCATTAAAATAAGGAGATTCGATTGATATTTCAAAACACCCAAATTTTAGCAGCCAAATCTCTATTCCCATATATCTGCTCTGGATGCTTTGTTATTTTCATTATGTAGCTAATGCTATCATAATTTTCTTTATGATGAACGTTTAATAAAAAAAAAATAAGATGTCGGAGGAGCTCCAAGAGGTCAACATGTCATATGTCTTGGCATGGCATCCATATTCGCGAGCTAACGACCTCCCAGAGGCATTTGGACAATTTGCGAAGGAACTCGAAGTTGTTGCTAGATCCAGAGGTGGTGTGGCCGCTGTAGATTTATTCACAGGAAGAGGTTTGCAGAATGGCTTCCATATTGCGAAGACCATTCTCCAATCAGTTGTATTTGGTGTTACAGATATATACGATTTATGTCTTCAACAAGCTGATGAAATTGAAAAATGCTGTGTTATAGAAGAACATGATATGGTTGCAAAAGTTAAAGGTCTTGAGCAAGGAGAAAGAGTTCCTATCCACTTTGGACCTGTTCCTGAACTCTTTGATTCCCTTTGCGAATTCTTGTGCTGCAACATCCTTCGCCGCGTCTTGGAGATGTGGATGGCTGTTGCTTACGTCAAGGCTGCTCATAAAGTTGCAAATGGCGATGCAAATGCTACAGTACCAAATGAAAAAATGATTAAATTCCTTACATACATAGCAACAGAATTGTCAGAACCACCGTTAGTTGTTGATGATGATCTTCTCGAATGGATCAAAGATGCAGCTCAGGACGCTATCAAGGATATTGATGCAAAATTCCAAGAATTTAAGGGTCTCTCCGCTCATCGCGTTGATGATTTCATATTCATGATTAATTGGCAAAATCTCTTTATCAACTTGTACAACGATATTCTTGTCATTTCTGAAATTATTTACACATCTTACGGAAGCAGCAAGTCCTGGGATCAGTCACCACTTTTACTCCCAATTGTTATGATGAGTGCTGGCGCTGTTTCTCTTCAACGCACTATTATGAACGTATTCAAGACATGCATTCCTGAAAACGCTCCAAAGATGCGTGCTCACCAACGTCTCATGCAAAAACTATTTCCAGCTTAAATTATTTTCATACAAAAAAAACATTTTCTGAATAAAACTAACTTATATTTAAGGGATTTTAAACACCTGATCGTTTTTGGTAATTGCTTTACCAAGTAGAGGCATTGACCTTGTTATTTGTCAAAAATAAGCAATTCAATACAATATGAATTTTCTTATTCTGATGATGAAAATGGCAACGTATATTTTATTAGAAAATTTATTAGTTCCTTGAACTACTTTTTGATTTGTAATCAATATCTCTGATTTTTTTTAGAATTCTAGCAATAGATTGATATAATATTGCAACATGCTTCAACATATAACAATAAAAATGGAATATGAACTTCTCAAACCTAATTTGTTTAAAACAATTTCATTGAATTTGAAATCATTTGATATATATCGACAAATCTTTTCCTTCTTGATTGTAATTTACAGTAATTTAGAAAGATAAAACATTTGATATTAATGATTTGTATAAATAAATATTTATTAAAAACTCTTTTTTGTTTTATTCCTCATCGAGTTTGACTTTATCCTTGACTTCCTTGAAAATCTTAACCACTCTGTGAGTAGAATCTCTCTGGAAGTGGTAAATTCCGTCATCGCTAGCAATCATTTTCTGGAAGACCTGGTAAATCTGGCCCATCATAGAAGCTTCAGGTAATGTGATGATGCTTGCGCCTCTTCCGTAAGCCTGTCTTTCTGAAGCCAACAAGACGTGCTGCTGCTTGTTTGTGCTGACCTTTCTCTCTACGAAACCGAGGAAGATCTGTTGGCAATCCATGAAACGACCGATTGCGACCCACTTTGCGAAGATGTTGGAGTTATCCTTAACTTCTGCGAGTAACAATGATGATCTGGCCTTCTCGAGGTCTGTTGCGTAGCTGACTTGTCTCAAAGATGTTGGTAAGTTGTTGAATGTGCGGCAGATAGCAATGGATGGACGTTCGCCTGGCTGTAATGGATCTCTGAGGCAATCGATCTCAGCACGGATGATGAATTCGACATTGTCGAGGACCAAACGACGATAAAGATATGGCTTTGAGTCATCATCGTCGCCTGGATGTTCTAAGTCATCGCCAAGTGTAAATGTTGGGCCATCACCGGAATTGGCAGCTGCCTGGAACTGGGCGGCGATGTTGGAGGCTTCAACAAGATTTCTGAGGAATTCTTCTCTTGTATCGTCACGGCGTTGGTTAACTGGGATTGTAATTGTTTCGAAGGATGATTCAAAAATGGCTGGAGACTCTTCGGTGCGTTGGTATACCCAAAGATTGATTCCGTCCTTCTTGAAGATTAACTCGAATGGACAGACGGATCTGTTAACAACAGAAATGGCTGCAAGAGCTTTGGCTGAAGCGAAAACACGGATGTTGGCCTTTGTCTTCTCCTGGGCGATTTCCTTGAAGACAGGATCTTCGAGGATTGGGCTTTCTTCCTTGTAATTTGCTTCTGGAAGTGCACGCTTCTTGTGTGGGCGTGTTGAAAGTAAGCTGTTGTTGAAGACTTTAGCTCTACCTGTGAATTTGATATCTTCTTCTGTAATTTTGCCGTTGAATGTAGCATCATTAAGAGCAGCACCTTCGATTGTATGGATTTGTTGCCAGTCGACGTTTGGTTCGACTAAGCCATGGAAATCGTATGGTGAAGCTGTAGCGATTGTACGACGCTTGGCACCTGGGCCCTTTGGCTCTACGTAGTTCCTATCATCGAATGTTTGTCTTAATCTGAATGTAAGCTGTGGAGCTGTGAAGGAATAGATTGAATGGTATGTAACCTGTCTGTATAAATCTTCAGAGATTTCTGTTGTATAAATATAGCCGTAGTTATGAGAAGAGCCTTTGAAAAAGGTAATGAACTCATTAACATCAAGTTCTGGATCGCCTGAGGCTGTTTGTTGCATTTTGACAAAAATTTTTGGGCTGAGGGACCAAGTCCTTTTAGGACATATTTGTTTTATTAAAGATTTTGGATATGGGGCATATGCTCAATATAAAAAATGAATTTTACCTTGATTTCTCATCAAACGAAATTCAAAAAAAAATTAATCTTCAATAGTTATGCTTTTATATGCATATATAAGAATCCACACGTGATTTACAATGGAAGTAAATAAGTAGATTTCTCACCTTTATCTCTATTTGTTGCGGTTCATATCTAGCCTATTCATACAGATGCATTCTACTTTTAGAAACCTTTTCAGTAACTTAAATGATTAATATTTCAGAAAAGCAAACATTTAAAATAAGATTTAAAAATTCCACAAAAAATACTTAATAACTCACTTATTTTATTAAGTTTTCATCAGTCTCCATTAATTTTTATTACATTTACATGATTTGTTATTTCATAAAAATCATTATGAATCATGAAAAATGTATTTTAAATTTAAAAACCTCCAAAAAAATTTCGAAAATCGAATTTTCTTTGTAAAAACATAGGGAATGATTGATCTTTTTCGAAAAACAAAAAAAGTTTGGAAAATCCACATGATGCAAAATGATATCAAATATCGTAGTCATTCAAATGGGCATGATTTGGGAATTCATTTCTTGAATTCAACATCTCGAACTTGATAAATGTGAATTTTTTCTCAAACATATAGCAAAATTAATGATTTTTGGATTTATTTCCTCATGATGGATCAACTTGGCAAAATTAGAAAAGAAAACCGATATAATTTACATAAAATGAGTAAACAAGATACTCGTGTTATCTTTGTAGGATGTTTAAGACCAAAAACAACAGAAGAAGACCTAACCAAAGCTTTCAGTACTGTTGGAAAAGTCGAAGACGTAATGATTCTTAGAGATGAAAATGGAAAATCAAAGCAAGTCGCTTTTATTTCATACGAAACACCAGAAATAGCTAAACTAGCCGTAGAAAAGTACGATCAAACTCTCCAATGCAATACTATCGTTCATGTTGAATTAAGAAAAACTAGATCCCCAAAGAATGAACAATCAGATGATGATCAATATCATAGAACGGAAACAGAACAATCCAGCTCCTCAAATTCATCATCTTCTGAAGATGAAAAACCTAAAAAGAGAAAACACAGCCACCACAGACATCACAAACATCATCATAGAAGACACAGACATAGTTCGAGTTCTAAGAGTGGTTCGGAAGATTCAAACAGTGAAGCTGATAAAGGAAAACACCGTTCTCACAGACATCATCACCATCACCATTCTAGATCCAATCATAGCTCCGAGTAATTTACTTTCGTTGAATCTTACTAGTTATTTAGTATTTATGTTTATTAATATTATTTTTATTCAAAATAAAATGCTTTCATAGAGTTTAATTACATTTTATCAGAGGCCCATTCGTACAAAGATAAAATCATTTTCTTTATGCAGGATAAAAACCAAATTTTTGTTTTTTATTTCTCAGTTCATTACTTTTTTGTCTTGTTTGAGATGATATGTGCTTGGTAATGTCTTTAAAACTAATGCTCCTTTAGTATTTTTGATAAAACTTAAAAAATTTGTTTTAGAATTTTAATTGTTTTCTTGCTTTTAAGGTTTTGCAACATACATATCAAAGCATTTAAATCCATGTTAATTAAAAATGAAACAAACAAATATGAAAGTTTTATAAGATAGAATTTCTATAAAAAAACAAAACAAGATATTGCTCTATTGTTGACTTCTAATGAGCTCACTTGGCATCTTAGCCATACCGTCAACTAAACTGTCATTTCCTGTACATTTTCCAAAACACATGTTTGCCCTTAATAAAATAGCGCAGGATATCATGAAGAATACAACTGACGTACTAAGGGCAATAAGAGGTGTTAGTGACAGTTTTTCAACGTAAATATATTGCGTTGGGAGAGGAATTGGAGTAAATGGATCAGTATCCATTACACCGTAGTAAATCGATTTAGGTTCGGAGGTTCCGTTGATGTATAATTGAAAAGATCGACTGGAATCAAGATTTTCAAAATTAAATTGAATCAAAGCAGTTAAATTATTTATGGTATTGCTATAATTGAACGGCTGCAATGATTTGTAACAATCCATTTTACCATTTTGATGAATGCAAATTTGATCATTTGGATTTATGGATTGGAAAGCGCCTTGTATTGAAAAAGGTTTAGGATCAGATATGAATATGCATTTCTTAACTGTATACGAAATATCGAAGTATGTATAATAAGATGACGGCAAATCAATGTATTGAGTATTTCCATTTAATAAAAGCACTCCATCTGGACACTGTTCGCTCGAAAATGTTGAAATGCATTGACATGAATCTTCAAGTATTGTGAAATCAAAAGAGTTTTTGAGAGATTTTGTTCTAATCGCGTATAATAAAGATGACTGAAGAGCCTCATAGTCAAAGTATGATTCATCGTCTTTGTTATATGCGTGATAGTGTTTTATCACTGTTCTGTTATTTAATTTGTTGAAAACCAGAAAATACTGAGGTTTTGTTGAATTAACACATATTGTTTTGCCTTTTGAAGGACAATAGCATCCAAGAATCGGTCCTGCATCTGGGCTTATCGATAAATCGCATGCTGACCGAGATAAAGAGAAAAAGAAAGATAACATTTGAATTAAAAGTGACAAAAATTTATTAAAGTTGAGAAGATTTTGAACAAATTTACATATCCTTTTAACCTAACTTTCAGAGTTATTTATGTTTAATAAAAAATGATAATGCTTTGAACAATTTTTGCATTAAATATTTTTATCATTTCATTTAAATTGAATTAAATCAGTATATTCTTTGGTTATGGATGAAAAGAGAATCATTGTTTAGATGGCAGAATCTAATGATATGATATATCCAAGAAATTGATCTCGGATAAGGAATAAATTCAAAATATTGAAATGTTCATATCACAAAATGACTCAAACAATTGAGAGACACAATTCAAATCACATTAGTCAAAATTACATTTTGGTATTTTTTTTTTCGATTAGTCAAAAAGAAACCTATATTTCTATCTGGAAGAAACAAATGTAAATGGCTTCAGAAACAATTCCTATCAGAGTGAGTTCAAAAAAAAATCTTAATTCTATGTAAACGACGTCAAAAAAAAATTCAGATGACTTCATTACTTTCTTTGTATTTATATGAATACTGGTCTTGTATATGACGAAAACAAGGCTGGCTTAGCTGCTCCAGCTGAAGAAGTAAGAGAAAAGATTATGAGCATTTCAAAAGGTTCAAAATACTTTGAACAACAACAAAAACGATCAACACGAGCAGATAAACAAATTTTGCAAATGAAAAACAAGCTTAAACATACAAGTGAGAGTGAACGCCATTTTGCAGAGATGCAAGTCGAAAATTATTTACAAAATCTTGAAAAACTTCGAGATTATTCAAAAACGTATTTACATGCTGATCTTGATTCATTCTTTGCCTCATGTGAAGCCTTGCGAGATCCATCTCTTGTTGGAACAGCCTTTGCAGTTGGCGGAGAAATTAAACACGGCGTTTTATCAACAACATCATACGAAGCGAGAAAGTTTGGTGTGAGAAGTGGTATGGCTGTGTTCATTGCTCTTCAGCTCTGTCCGCATCTAAAGATTGTTGAATCCCATTACGAACTTTACAAACATTATTCTTCTATCGTCCGAAAAATTTTTGAAAAATATGACAGTCATTATATCTCATTTGGCTTAGACGAAGCATCATTAGACTTATCAGAACATGTCAAGCTTGACTACGAAAAGGCCATGGATATCGCAAAAAACATACAGAAAGAGGTTTTCGAGCAAACAAAATTAACTATCTCATGTGGCATCGCCATCACTCCTCAGCTGGCCAAAATAGCAAGTGATGTGAACAAGCCGAATGGTATTTTCGAAATAAAGCATGACAGAGAATCAACACTCGATTTTATTTCGAAATTACCGATCAGAAAAATTCCAGGTATTGGAGGAGTGGCTGAACAACTACTCCACGGTATAGGAATTACTACAATGAAGGATGTTATGGATAAAAAAACTGATTTGTGGATTTGCATGCGTCCATTATTTTGTCAATTCATTTTTTCTGCATGTTTAGGTATCAATCGCCAGACATTTGGTGTTACCCGACATCAGCAAAGTATCTCCAAGGAGAGAACATTCGATAATACCAATGATAGAGTGTTTATGGAAGAAATTATCGAAAAATTATGCATGGAAGTATGCAAATTACTTCAAGAAATGAACGTATTATGCAGGAACGTGACAGTTAAATTCAAAGACAGTAGTTTCCAGACAATCACAAGATGTCTGTCGTTCGACCATGATACCAACAAAATTTTTGACATTTTTTGTGCATGTGTCAAAATTTTGAATGATGAATTGAGAAGTAGGTATGTGAAGTATAGGTTACTTGGTGTTAGATGCGGCCAACTTTCTACACCAAGAGCTAAGAGACAGATCTCAATTCAAACGATGTTCAAGAAATGCGAAAAGAAACAAAATGAAAGCCAATTTCCGAAAGAAGATGAAGAAATAGAGTACTTTAGCCAGCAATGTGATGAAGAAGAGCAGGAATACGAATGCGAAAGCATGGTTGAAGATAATCTTGATAATAAAGTTGTAATTGAAAGCGAATCTAGTCAGCAAAAGATTGTTGTTGATAACGAAGAGTTCATTTCGTTAGAGAAAGAGTTCGCCAACAGCCAGAAAGAAGAAGAAACCAAAAATGGAACTGGAAAGAAACAAAATTCAATTACACTTTTCGATTTCTTTGATAAGATCAAGGACACAAACTCAAAGATCGCTGTAATCAATCCTCCAAAGAAAAAATCGGAGAAAAAACAAAAAACTACAGGATTCTTCAAAAAGAAACCAACAGAAAAGAATCCAAAGCCAAAGCAGGTACAAAAGCAACTCCCATTTGCTCCTAATTAATCACAATCGTTCAATATATTGTTTATCCTGTTTTTTTTAAATAAAATTTTAAATCTTATTATTTCATTTAATTTTTAACAATGTATACATATTCTAATTATTTGAGCTCATGATAGATAGAAGATATTGATTTAGTTAAGAATTAAATATTGAAATAGAAAATATATTGGAAACTTCATAATCAGCAACCAATTTTATAACCATTTTCTACAATATGATTATGCTTTCATTCTCTATTAGCTAAAACAATAAAATGCATGAAATATTAAATGTTTTCAAAATTGTTTAGCGTATTGAATAATTTTCTCTACTAATATATGGTTACTATTAGTAGTTACTTCACAGATATCATAGAAGGATAGATTTTCTCACTTCGAGTTAATGATTTTAAATATTGCTTTCAAATGTATCTTATTTCATTCAATTATATATAAATAAGATTTTTCAATAGTAAAAAAGAAAGGCATTTGTATTTTGAAGAATAGAAACAATGTTTATTTTGATTATTTTCCTGGTTTTTTAGCGCGTGAAGCTGGTTTTGGTGGTGGCTTTTTAGCAACATCTTTTTTGTCTGGTTTAGTTGGCTTGACATCAATCGTTCCTTCTTCAGGAGTTAACGTAGCTAATAATTTATAAGTATATTGCTTTGGATCTTCTGTTGCACTGACTAAATAATATGTTTCGCCAACGCTTAAAAACTGTGTTGCATATGTTGTAAGATTAGGGCGAAGAAGCTTGACGTTTCCATCTTTATCACTTAAGTCTAATAAAAGAGAAGAATCAAGATTTGCGCACTTTCTGATGTGCTCTAGTATAACTCCGCATTTACAGTTTATGTTAATTGGTTTATTCTGATCATTAAATCTAATATTTATCTGCATCTTTTATCTAACGTTTTTTTTCCCCTTTCAAAAGAACCGTTTTTTAACATTATGGGATTTTTTATTGAGAAACATATTTGTGATCATTGAGAAATTTACTTACTATAAAGAAAATGAGCTTTTACTAATAATATAGTTATCCGGCCGAATAGCAGCTATCGTTATTAAAATCAAAAGATGAAATTAAGCTATTGAGATCAAAGGGCAAATTCACTAGTACGAAAGTTCAACATAGCATAAAACTATTTCCAAACAAGATAGGTATATATGTGAATGCCAAAGGAATCACTCAGAGTAACAATGTCCACTCAATTCAAGTTCAAATACTACCTAGTAATTTTTTCCTTTTCGAAAAATTGACATTTTTTCCAATTTTCCTACGATTAAAAGATCAAGTTGAAATGAATAACCATAACTCATAAACTTTTTTCATGAATATCTATCGCTATAATATCGTAAATAAGGGTTTCGTTTTGCTAAAATTGTCACTTTTATAGCATATTTGTTTTTGGATGTTTTGCGAAACCAAAAAAAACTATGATATACAATGTGTGTGTAAAGAAAATACTTTATTTACTAGTTAAAAAATCATTTGGTATTGATCAAGTTTTTTTTCTGGATAAGATATTATATGGATAATTGGATAGAAAATACAATTATATAATCTTGTACCTGGTTTAATTAAGCTAATTGTCATCAGAAACTTGTAATTTTTATGAATTTCAGATTTTCTTTTCATTACTGCTTTTCTTAATAGGTCAAGTTCTTATTTACGTTATAAAGTATGATATTTACAAATATCAAGTTATCATGTTTTTTGAGAAATTATGAGAAACAAACAAAAATGAAAAAGATAGGAATAAAAAAAAAAAAAAAAAAAAAAAAAAAAAAAAAAAAAAAAAAAAAAAAAAAAAGGTAGTGGGGCTTCCAGGCACTTCGTGCCTTCTAGCCCTGAAGATGTTTAGTATAAATGAAGTCTTAGAGGACAAACATGACTATGAGTTTTGATATGACAAGATAGAATATGAGAGAGGTCCTATAAACCGGAGAAAGTGTTATATAAACATCTGTCATATTACTCAGAATATTATACAGAATTCAATAAAAATATATTTTAGGTGAAGAGGTGAGATTTCACCTGTTTTTTCACCTCATTTTTCACCTCTTGAATTTTCATGAATTTCATCGTAAAGACTTTGTCAAGATTTCATCGTAAAGACTTTGTCAAGATTTCTTCGTAAAGACTTTGTCAAAACTTCATCGTAATGAGCGTAAATCAGACAAAAATATATTTTAGGGTAGAAGGGTATATCTACCCCGTTTTCTACCCTCTTTTCTACCCCATATGTACTTACTGAAAAAGTATGTGTTCCATCTGTCATTTTACTCAGAATTTTACACCAAAAATAATGTTTAGGTGAAGAGGTGAGATTTCACCTGTTTTTTCACCTCTTTTCTCACCTCTTGAATTTTCATGAAATTTACACCAAAAATAATGTTTAGGTGAAGAGGTGAGATTTCACCTGTTTTTTTCACCTAATTTTTCACCCTCTTGAATTTTCATGAAATTTACACCAAAAATATACTACTAGGGTCATTTACGAAGAAATCTCAACAAAGTCTTTACGATGAAATCTTGACAAAGTCTTTACGAAGAAATCTCAACAAAGTCTTTACGAAGAAATTCATGAAAATTCAAGAGGTGAGAAATGAGGTGAAAAAAGAGGTGAAATCTCACCTCTTCACCTAAAATATATTTTTGGGTCATTTACGAAGAAGTCTTAACAAAGTCTTTACGAAGAAGTCTTGACAAAGTCTTTACGAAGAAGTCTTAACAAAGTCTTTACGAAGAAATTCATGAAAATTCAACGGGTGAGAAATGAGGTGAGAAAACAGGTGACATCTCACCTCATATGTCCTTACTGAAAAAGTATGTGTTCCATCTGAAGTTCTTATATACGGGTCTTCCAGGAGCTTTTCACAAATTATATATGTTTTCATGCTTTGTCACTTTTCTGTCACTTTTCGGGTAAAAACATTTTTATTATTATATATAAATGAATTTTACAAAACCACCGTTACCGTTCTTTGGAAATAAGAGTAGATGTAAAGATATTATATTGAGAGAACTTAAGAAACTACCGAATGGTCTAACATTTGTAGATTTGTTCGGTGGAAGTTTCTATATATCCCATTTGTGCCATACAATATTCCCAGACTCAAAGATTATATGCAATGACTTCGACAACTATATGGACCGTCTCAAACATATTCCAGACACAAACAAAATATTGAAAGAGTTAAAAGAAAAGATACCTATAGGTAAGATGGAACGTATACCATTAGATAAGAAAAATATTGTGAGAGAGGTTTTGAAAAAGGCAGAATATATTGACTGGGATAGTATATCTGCTAGACTATTATATAGTGGTTCTATAAGAGTTCATGACATTGAAACACTTATGTCAAAAGTTTTATATCTTAACTATACAAAGGTTTTCAAAGAGAACATAGAAAAATATACTGAGGGTATAGAGTTTGTGAGATGTCGTTGGACAGAGTTGTATGAAAAATATAAAAACAAGGAAAATGTTTTCTTTATAGTAGACCCGCCGTTCTTTAACACATACGATTTTCAATACCAAGTAGACTGGACTTTGAGAGACTCTTTAGAAACTTTAGACGTTTTACATAACCATCCATGCTTTTACTTTACATCCGATAAAAGTGGTTTGGAAAGTGTCATGAGATGGTTAGAGGATATACATGACTATGAGTTTAGATACGATAAGATAGAATATGAGAGAGGTCCTATAAACCGGAAAAAGTGTCATAACAAAGAAATTTTATTGGTAACTAAATGTGGTTTGAAATAGGACTACTTGTTTTAGGTTTTTTCCATTGTGTCATTTACTTATTTGACGTGGCAGAAAGATATAGAGAATATGAAGATGAACCAATGCCAGCAAATGTTCAGCACATGTACTCGTAAGAGATATTTTTATCTAATATTAAATGGACGCACAGAACTTAGCGAATGCACAGCAACCTGGACAACCAAACCCAGAGAATATTCCAAATGAAGTTAGAATACAAACTGCAATGGCAAACTATGGTCAAGTGCCAACAGATGTACAAATGCAAACTGCCATGTCAAATGACGCTGCGTTAGGCTTACCACCATGGTATGCAAATATGAGATGGAAAGAGTTTTATACAAACCCTGAAGTGGGATATAAACAACTCTATGCAGATGACGCGAACACAGGAGTTGACCCAGAGTATGTTTTCTACCAGAGGAGAAACAGAATGTATGAGCTCCAGTTAAAGAATGCTATGGAACTCAACAGGAAACGTAAGAGACTAGGCGGACATTAGATTTTACATATAGTAAAATGGGTTTCTTCAGTAAGATAGGAAACTTCTTTCGAAATGTTGGAAGAGGTATATGGAATGGAATAAAAACCGTAGGAAGAGGAATTTGGAACGGAGTCAAAAATATTGGTAAAAGAGTAGGTCAGTTCGTTGGTATTATACCTAAAGACCCTGAACCAGAAGAACAAGCTCCTGTTATACAACAGCCTGAACCTGCACCACAGTCTAGTTGGCAACCAAATCCAACACCTCAACCGTATTAAAAATTATATTTTTACCGTTCGATAGTAGTTGTATATGAAACTAAGTTCTAAGTAAAACGCATGGTATAATGGAATTATTCTCTTTCTTCCATCTGTAGTAAACCATACTTGAAAGTCTGAAATACTTCCACTTGGTGGTTCATATAACTTTGTAGGTTTTTCGTAAAAGTCATTTGCCAAGCATAAGAAAGAGTTTTGAGCGCCAGAAAATGAAGCATGAACAATAATAGCAGCTGGGTCGAAAACATCTTTAAATAAATATGGTTCATCTCTTGCATATCGACTGTAAATATTTGCTAAAGGAAGTTTGACTTCTGATTTAACATTCTTTGCAAATAATACCATGACATTGCAGTGAATTCTGTATATATTTGTTCGTCTTTCTTTGGATTGTCTTCGTAGATTTGAAATGACACTTGTGAATTTTGTTTGTCATATACAATTCTCACATAAAGTGTGCTCTCGGTATTTGCATATTCATCAGCATATTTTGCATAACATGAATTTATTTTATCTTCTATATTTTTTAACGCAGTCTGTAGAGAAGATGAAAGGTCAACTTGTATTAGCTCAATTTCTTCCCACATTTTTCGTTTCCCTTCAGATATATAATCTATATGAAACCTTACAATAAATGGAAAACTTTTATCTTCTACAGACACAAACTTCATTCTACGAAAGCCAATAGCTTTGTGACAGATGGGTCTCTTAGCCATCTTAATGGGTAGTCAAAACGATAGCCTTCATGCTTTACGGTCTCTGTCTCAAACTTTTGACCGACATTCGTAAAAAGTTCATCTAATGGTTTAGTTGTAGCAACTCTTGAATTTTCTTTTTCTATTGAAAGCATATTTTATCTAGAATAAAAATGTCGAATGAAACAGCGTCTATGAGAAATACAACACAACCGACAACTCATTTTGCAAGCTCTAAATAAGAACACAACAAACTTTTCAAACTATTCTAAGATATCTGAGTCATTGAAAGAAGGAAACTTAAAACTGACGATAAACCCAATGACAGATGAGTTTCTGTTTCAAGACAGTAAGAACCATACTGTCTGTGTAAATCCAACAAAAGGAACTTTAAACGAGAAGCCTATAAAAGAACTTCTTTTGAAAGCAGATGTTGACAACAAAGCTGACAAAGAGTATGTAGACGATGCAATAGCAAAAGAAGAAGAAAGAGCAGATGCAACATATGCAACAAAAGAACATACTCATCCTGAACTAGCAGACAAAACATATGTTGACAATAAAATGTCAAGTGAAGTGACAAGAGCTGAAAACGAATATTCTAAAAAGACTCATACACATACCATTGCAAATATTACAAACTTACAAGAAACCTTAAACAGTAAAAGTGACGTTGGACATACACATACCATTGCAAATATTACAAACTTACAAGAAACTTTAAACAGGAAAAGTGACGTTGGACATACACATACCATTGCAAATATTACAAACTTACAAGAAACCTTAAACAGTAAAAGTGCCGTTGGACATACACATACATCTTCTGAAATAACAGACTTAAACGTTAGCCTTGAAAAGAAGGCAGATAAGAACCATACACACGATTTCTTCGCAACTGTTGGTATAGAAAATATTGCAGGAACGGTTGAAGAACCTGATGGAACTGGTGGGGATGTATTAAATTGGAAACCTCCTAACTTTCCACAAGGTTTAACATCGGATGAAGACATAACAACGATGAAATACACTAGATGTAGAAATGTTTTTGTCATGGAGGATGAAAACAAAGTTAAATTCACTGCTCAAGATTTATATGACAACAAAGCTGACAAAACATATGTTAACGATGAGTTAGATAAGAAAGCTGACAAAACATATGTTAACGATGAGTTAGATAAGAAAGCTGACAAAACAGAGCTTCAAACGTTAAAGACAGAAATACTTCAAACACTATATCCTATAGGCTCTATTTATACGTCAATGAACTCTACCAGACCAGAAGTAGTACTTGGTTTTGGAACTTGGACTCAAATAGTCGACAGGTTTTTGTATTGTGCAAACTCTTCAAAGGAAACAGGTGGAAGTAAAACGATTTCAGGTGAAAATTTACCTGCACATAGTCACTACATAGATTTAAGTACATCTCAAGCAGGTTGGCATAAGCATAAATTTTGGGATTGGCACGCCTTGAAAAAAGGTAAAGGATATGATGTTAAAGACGACGTTCAGTTTGCTATAAATTGTTACTGGAGTGACACTCAGGGAGATGGAAACCATACACATCGCGTTACAGGATATACGCAAACAACGGGACAAAGTAAAGACTACATGCCACCTTACATGACAGTTTACGCATGGTATAGAAATGCTTAGTCGTCATTTCAACTTCTTTAGCATATTCGTCAGGAGTTGTCTTATATTTGTTAGGAACTGTTTTTGAAAGTATACCACCTTGAACTTTGACAAGTTTGAACGAGGTCTGACAATAGTAGTTTTATCTTCTGCTTGCAGTCTGTACATTTTGCCATGTTTGCCTAAAACTTCATAATATTCTCTTGTATACTTTCTTCTATTTTTACGAACACGAATGTGAGTACCTGTCGAGTTCCATTGTTGTCATAGTCAATAGTATTTTCATATGGGTCGCGTTTAGGTATTTCTATTTTTACTTTGTCACCTTTCTTAAGTTGAAGCCTGGCATTCTTTCTTGTTGTCTCTTTTGACTAAACTATTAAATATATAGTCTTTCTCTAATCAGGGTTGTTTTTCATTTCTTCAGGGGAATGGTTTCCCAAACCTTTTTTTTACGGCTATTGTAAATATTTAAAACTTGTTTCATCTTTGCCATGGAGAAGTGTCTGTACTTGTCGTCATATGACATTTCATCTACCTCACCACCTTGTGGTTGGTTTAAGTCTCTTAAGATTTTTATACAACTGTCAATGACACCAAGAGCAGAATGGTTTTGGTCGACAATGAAATATTGGTTTACATTTTTGAACGCAGATAGTTTTTAATATCGTCTGATTTGAAAGAACTTTCACAGTCAGATGTCAGTTTTGTTGGATGGTATTTGTCAACGAATATTGTCAAAGCAGTTTTCACATCTAAAATATTTTTGGACTGCAATGGTATGGCTTCACAGTATCTTGTGTTTTGACGCGACAAATATTAGCCAGTATGGTGGTCCATCTTCTCTATACCTCGGAATGTTTTCCAAGATATCCATAAACCAAGCATTTGGTGTTGAACTAAAGATTTTTATCATGAGTGCTTTCTTTGTCGCTTTAGAAACATAGGGGTCCTTGTTTGGATTCGTCATTTTTTACCCCATAAGAAATGGGTTTATTTGGCGCATTAGCAGGAGTTGCATCCAGATTTTTGCCCGCAGTGGGAACAATAGCCAGAGGTGTATTTGGAGTTGGAAGGAAGATTTTGAGTACATTAGGTATACTTAAAGAGAAAGCACAACCTATTATACAAACTGTACAGAAAGGTTGGGATGTAGCACGAGATGCAGCAAATCTTATTCCAAATCCTGAAACAAGAGGAAAAGTTCAAGGATGGATGGACAATGTTTCCAGACAAGCAGGAAACTATTATAACAAAGCAAATGACTACTATAACCAAGCAGGACACTATATGGACCAAGGTGAAAGATTCTTTAACAGAGGATATAACCATGCACAACAGTGGGTAAACAATAACCAACCGCAACCACCTCAAACTTGGGGAATGTAAAGTTTTTTACTGAGATGAAATGAACAATACAGCATTGAGACAAATGGGTTCAAGATGGATTTGTCGACTTCCAGCAGTTACACAACCACGTGTTTGTCAAGTTCTTCCTATACCTCAAGAAGTTTTAGACCGACTTAAAAAACCTAAACAACCAGTTGAAAACAAAACAAACTAAAATTTTTTACTGAGATGAAATGACCGAAGAAGTTGAAACGGTAGATTTGACACCACAAACAAAAAGTTCAGAACCATTGTCAAAACCCGTCAAAGAACTTACAGATGAAGAGAAAAATTCAATAATAGAAAGTGCCAGGTCTGGAAATACAAACCCTAACTACAAAGTCACTTTTCATAGAAATGGAACGGCTAGTATCTCAAAAAAGAAACAGACTCTCACAAATAAAATATTGAAGTCTGAAGGAGCTTTCGAGACAACAGATGGAAAGTTTACTTCACTGACAAACAGTTCATTATAGAACATCTCATTGACTTAGAGTCGAAATATTCTAAACTTTACAACAAAACACAAAAAGTTGAAAAGGAAAACAAAAACAAATGGCATATGATATTTACGAAGATACTAACGACACAACCATACCTGCAAGTGAGGTAAAGTCAGAGGAACCAAAAAGTGACGAAAAACCAATAGAAGAAGGTGAGCCAAAAACTGAAGATAAACCAAAACCAAAGTTTAGTTTGGAAACTACTAAAACAAGCCAACCTTCATTAGCTGGTATGGGTTGGCGTCAAAGGCTTATGGCAGCAGGTGGTTATGTAAAGTAAAAGAAAAACATTGCATGAAATAAAAACATTTTTTTAAAAAATATATTTTTTTATTTTATTTGAAATGTACGTTGAGTTTGTTGAAGAAGACCGTTGGGAAACTTGTTTGTTAGATGAGAAATATGAAATTCACTGTTCTGAGCCTTTTGAAGTCAGAAACAAAAAGACAAAAAGAGTTTTAAGCGAATGGGAGCAAAATGACGGATATGCTAGGATGAGGATTGGTGGAAAACACTATTTTAAACATGTTGTCATTGCAACTCATTTTATACCAAACCCTAACAATCTACCTTTTGTAGACCACATAAACCATATAAGAAACGACAATAGACTTGAAAACTTACGTTGGGTCACTTGTTCTGAAAACAGTAAGAACATAGGCAAATTTAGAGATATTGTATTCGAATTTGTCGACGAACTAGAAGATGAAGCAATTGAAATTACAGACTATGGTAAGCATACGTTTGAGTTTTACTACTATAGCGAAGAACAGGACTCTTTCTACCTTTATACCGGCGTAAACTATAGAAAATTACAAGTATGTTTTACTAAGGCAGGCTGTGCTTATGTAAACACTAGAGATACAGATGGAAAACACGTTCATATATTTCTCAACAAATTCAAGAAGCTATATGGCATACAATTTTAAAACCATATATTTTTACATATATTAAATGTTTCAGGTTGAAAAACAAAGAACAAAAGTAGCAGATACAAAACCGTTAGACTATATCTTTACAAATGCCGGTAGAAATATTTCAGATGAAGAAATTTCATCCCGTTCATACAGGTTTGACTATCCAATTCGTTGGCTTCAAAGTCCTTCAGATGCAAAGGCAATAGGATTTAGAAGAGTTTTGTTTTCAAAAAGAACTAACGCGTTTATGTTCGCGGTATATTTTCATGGGCAATATATAGGTCCTAATGGTCTAATAGACAAATTTGATGAAATGAGAATCTTTACAGTTCGTTCAGACGAAAGTCTTGAGAAAACTCTAAATGACTTTCAAACTCAAATGAACAAATACTACTGGGAATTTCAAGAAAAATACGACTCTTTACTAAATGGAACATACTATCTGAAACTAGAATACGACAAGATGAATTCCACAGTTTCATTTCAAAGGATTGAAATTAACCCTCGAAGAAGTACAGAGTTTTTATTTTGGGAAGTAGACAAACGTTCTTGGGCACAATTTCTTCGGTTACTAAACCAGAACGAACCATTACCACCTGACGGTCCGTTTAAATTTATACGCCCACCAACAGATTTGACAGTTTATAGAAACGTGTTTGACCCTCAAAATGTTATGTGTCATGCAAGTTTCAGTTCAAGCAACAACAGTTTTCTTTGTATCGGTAAGGACTTTTATGACTTTGCTTCTAAATTCTACGAACCACCTAGTAACAGTTTCTCTGACTTTCAAGTTTGGTTCACAACAAATGGTGTGCAACATATTATTCCATTGTACTATGACTTTTATCTCGAATTGCCTTTCATATATAACTACGGAAAAGTGCTGAAAAAGTATTGAAAAATAATGTTTAGGTGAAGAGGTGAGATTTCACCCGTTTTCTCACCTGTTTTCTCACCTGTTTTCTCACCCGTTGAATTTTCATGAATTTTGTGCTGAATTCGACAAAAATGAGTTTTTGGTTGAAAAAAGAGGTGGAGCCAAAAGTGGCTCGACCTCAAAACAAGCATTTTGTGAAGAATATACCAACCCGCGGAAAACAGCGGGTTGCTTTTTATACAAAATTCAACAGGTGAATTTTCATGAATTTCCTTAAGATAGAAAAAAATATATTTTAGGCGACCAGGTCACTCGGTCACTCGGTCACTCGGTCAACTAACATCTTTTTGAAAAAGTGTGACAACATGACATTTTGACAACAACACAGGAAATAGATTTCATCGTATATTTTTTGTTAAGACTTCATCGTAAATGTTTTGTTGAGACTTCATCGTATATGTTTTGTCGAGATTTTTATCGTTGTGGTCCGACGGTTAAGCCACAAACGAATGTCCGACGTCCCACCAAAAAATATTTTTTATTTTTATTGTAAGAACAGAAATGTCAGTCGAAGCAAAAACGTTCACGAACAAATCTAATGGCGAAACATTCACAAAAGGCACTTACAACGGTATTGAAGTCTTACGTAGAGACAAGGATGGTTATATAAATGCAACAAATATGTGTCAGCAGTTTAGGAAAGACTTTAGAAGGTTGTTGGAAAATAAGTCCTGGGAAGAGTATTTTAAGGCATTTTGTGAAGAATATACCAACCCGCGGAAAACAGCGGGTTGCTTTTTATACAAAATTCATGCAGGAATTCCTGATGAAATCAAACAGGTTAGAGGAATGTATGTAGACCCAAGACTCGTAAACTATATTGCAATGTGGGCTTCTCCAAAATATTGTATAGCAGTTGGAAAAATTATGGACTCCATAGACAAGAAAGTTCATGAGAAGTTAGATGAAGAAGAACTTGAAGATACAGTAGAGAATGCAAAACC